TTTAATGATGCCCTGCTAGATTGCCTAGCCAGATGAGCAATCCAGCAGAGCATTTTGACAATATATTTCAGAATAGCTCTGCTAGATTGTCTAGCCAGCTAAGAATATTTGCACACTATATTTAAGGATGCCCTGCTAGATTGCCTAGCCAACTGAGCAATCCAGCTGAGCATTTTCACATTATATTTCAGAATGCGCTGCTAGATTGCCTAGCAAACTAAGCAATCCATCAAAGCATTTTGACACTATATTTCAGAATACTCTTCTGAATTGCCTTGCCAGCTGAGCATTTTTCACACTAGACCGGAATTTGGGAATGCCCTGCTAGATTGCTGAGCCAGCTGCGCATTCCAACAGAGCATTTTTCACGCTATATTTAGGAATACCCTGCCCTGATAGATGAGTAAGCGAACAGAGCATTTTTTACTTATTTATAACTCTGAAATGCCCCGCTAGATTGCTGAGCCAGCTTAGCATCATAGCAGAGCATTTTACTCTATATTTAGGAATGTTCCGCTAGATTGCCTAGCCAGCTGTGCATTCCAACAGAGCATTTGACTCTATATTTAGGAATGCACCACTAAATTGCTTAGTCAGCTGAGCATTACAGAAGATCATTGATTTCCCTATATAAATGGTAATGCCTTTTTGCTTAGCTCATTGTTCACTGCTGAGAATTAATGACTTTTGTTAATAGTGTAGATTATGTTTATCATAATTAATAAGTAAGAACACATCTACTTCGAATTGTTCATAAACATATTGGTGTGATGTCTTCATTTTATCTTTAACAACAGTTAAATTTAATTATAAGTCCAAACCAAAGGTGAGGTTTTATGCGCAGACTGTGTGCTAGCTAGTCAATCATGTCCATTTGATTTAAAATAAACAAAATGAACGACCATATTGGTATAATAATAAACATGATAAGATGAAACGAGATTTAGCGTTGTTAAACTGTACATGTGTATTTTCGCATAAATAGAGAAAAACTAATTTGTATAAAATGGAAACATATGTTGTTTACGATAATAATGTCATTTACCTTTTAAATATCTAGTAAAAAAACTATCCCATTTTCATTCGTTTAACTTTAAGAATTTCCAAAAACGTTATTCGTATACCATAATCTACAAGAGGAAGAAAAAGAACCGGAAATAAAGGTTAGGTTGACTCCCGGTAGAGCTTGAACCCACAACTCTGCAAAATCTGTATCCTCACCGAAAATGATCATTCTTCAGTTCTGTATTAGGCATATAATACATTTAATCTCATTATTTGTATATATGGTGTGTAAATTCATAAATTTTACATATGTTATAGATAGTTTATAGGGAACGTCTTAAAATTTATATAGAGATTCATCCTTGATTCCTGCACTGTCATATAGAGCTTTTTGTCTTTAATTTACTTTTGATAAACGTCCTTAAACAAGTCCATTTTTTACTTTATTTTCAATAATTTTATATGAACATATTGAAAGACAAACAAGCACAAGCCGTTACACTGTTTTGATCTTCAATGAATATTACATTAGCATATCACCCACCACGTGGTGAAATAAATAAGTAAATATATTTGCTTTGTATGAGTTTATGAGATGTTATAATTTAATTTCTTGATCAATACTGTTGTTCTGAAAGTTAAACGAAAAATGTACATCAAAAGATTCCTACTAATTACCGTTGGACCAAATGCTCCTGAAAAACGAACCTTTTGACATGAATTGAATATTAAAATAAACATTTACCAATTGTGCTATACAAAAGTCCTTCAACAAACACTTTCATACGTATTGCTATCCATCTTATTACTTCAAGCCGTTAGTACATAGTTAATCATAGACTGTTTTTGATCAATGTTGTGTTTCTATAAAGAGAGAAAAAAACAGAACCCCTAAAGAATGCCCATCACGATATAATTGAAAATGTTGCAGGCTCGGTTTCATTGAGCCTGTTCATGGACGATAGTGGTAATTGCAAGCTACTGTCACCAACTCCTAGCACCGCTAAAGCAGAATTCAGCATTTAACATGAACTCGTAAAATTTTGAAGTTCAAAACATCCTTAAAAATGTTGTGATCGAATGGTCTAAGACATGCAATTCTAAAGTTGATAACCTTGTTATAAGCATCACAGCTTTATGTTTACCTTTACAATGCTTTGTATTTGAACCTTTTGGTTTTACTTGTTTCGTTTAAAATTAAGTTATTTAGCAAAGAAAAAAACAAACAACAACTACAAATCAACATACTATTGATTTAACACGATAGTAGAGTGACTTCAATAATTACAAGTATTTCACATATAAAAATCAACAGCTGTGTTCTTTATAAAATGTGTTTCTATTTCTATGTTAAAAACAAAATATTTGTCAAAATTTGATTGGACGATATAGTAATAACAAGGTTTGTCAAGACCTTGAAAATAAACGAATATAGAACCTATAATGAATGATTGTTAACACCTGTTTCAAAGTTTGCTTAATAAATACTGATGACTCTCTGGTGTTATTATCTTCTCTTCGCCTTGGCGGAACAAGGGGTAAGTCTTTACTTAACAGAAATTAAATTAATTAAATGGGATTTTTCATCAAGCTTTGGTATAGTGAATATTTTATATCATGTAGAGGATATTTGTTTGGACAAATTAAGGTAAGTAAGTTTCTTTTCAAAGTTATTTTTTTTGTTTAAATATTAATTTTATATTCAAAATAACATCTATTGTCTTAGTTTCGAAAAACTGACAACAGTTTATGTGATAGAGACAAAAGATTGTTCAAAGTCATTTCGATAACTTTGAGAAATTCTTGACAAAAAAGTTAAGATAAATCATGATAACAATAAATTGATAGATAAATATACACACATATAATGAGATGGTTTAACATGACTTTATAATATTTTTTGACGCAAATACAAACAATAAATATGTACCATTTTGTTTATATTGTTAAAACCGTATGTATTCTGTTGTTCAGGCATTAAAAATAAAAATCTGAATTAAAAAGTTTAAGAAAAGATAAACTTTAACTGACTATACTATTTTGATTAAAATTAATTTCTTTCATTAAACATAAAAAAAGAAAAAAAGATCGTTATAGATGGCATGCTTATATTATATATTTAAAAACTTCATATCTTATTTCAAAAATCTTGAAATTAAATAAAATGAAATGAAGTCAGAAAAAAGTGTTATATAATTATATTATAAGTTTTGACGTTGAATGTTTCATGACTTAGTACAATCGTGTACAATATTCTGAATGGTAACCATAGGGTATAAACACTATATGTGCATATTGTAAATCACACTTGAGTGTATCAAATATCACCTTGTTATTTGTTTTACAGAAACTTAAAATATAGATAAATTAATGAATGATAGAAGACATTGAAATTAAGAAGAAGAATAAGAAATATAAAAACGATGTGAAGTTTCTAGATAAATCTTACCTTCACATTATTATCAGTTATTTCTTACAGAGTGCAAAACCTTTAAACACATTTTGAATTCAAAGATATTACAAATTTATCAGTAAATATATTTTTCCTTCGCCTAAAATAAAACACAAGAAATATTAAAGACAAAATTTAAAGAACTGTCCTTTATAATGTGATAATTTTTTATCACGGGCGACGATAAACGTCGAGATTTAATTTTCGAATTTTGTAATGATTCGAATTTCTATCAAAGTGATTTGTTTCTAAACCGTCTTAAATTAAATCTGTTATACACGTGTTTTATATGGTCCGGTATATATAATATGAGACAATCGGTTATAATAAAACTTATATTAATAACGTATCAATGCTTAATTATATAGCATGTGAAACAAAAATATAGTCAACATACTAGCAAACTAACTAAAAAGAAGAAATAAATAATATGATTTTTAAAACACTTACAATACACACATGGGAATAAAAATTAAAAACTGATAGAATTTGCAGTGCTCATCAAAAAGTCTTAAAGACGACTAGACTAATTAAACAAACAGAACAAAATGAAACTTTAATTGATCTTATAAACGAATGATAAACAATTCTATTTAAAGTCTATAAAACACAATTCAGTTGCGAGATATAATGGTAATTGTATAAGTGAAATGCAAGAAGCTTGTGTCATCTAGTAGCATGGTGAATTTTGCATAATCGAAAGAATTTAAAAAACGAATAACATTGTTTTAAAGTATAAATCCTCTTGCATACAGACACTGTCTTTTTTCTTTTTACAGGCAGATAGTATTAAAGTATTAACGATTTCAAGTCTAGTTTGAAGGATGAAGGCACACCGCTCTTTCTCGTGGAAATTTTTAAATTTTCGCCATTAAAAAGCCCGCAACACGGTTTTTAAAATGTTTCCTGTTCGTCATTCTTTTCAATACTTTCATTATTAATTCTGCTTCAGATATGGTTTGATGTGAGGTAATGAAACCTTTATAACGTCTCTCAACACCGGATTAAGCACTATTCAATATTTAAATTACATAAACAAATGTAATAAATGACGACGAAATATTATAACATTGTAATGACATGCGAGGCTACATTTTACAACAGAGATATTGTATATAAAATGTTATTCTGGATTGGTCATTTTTTGTAGTTGATATTTGATTTAGTTATAATAAATTCAGAATAAACTAGGACATGGAAATATTGCTTGCGTTATGTTTACAAAAAAAGCCCAGTATATGAAAAAAGTAAAGTATTACAACAGATGCACTTTCTTTGAATAAAGAGAATGCTGAAAGCCAGGAAGAAAGCATCAAAGAAACAAATAAGCGTCAATGTAATGCTACGTTTGTGAGCGGTGTCGAATACCCATGTTTGATTGTGTAACTATACCCATTTTTGATACGTCGTGTCATGCTTTATAATGATGCTTTTATTTAATATTTTAAAATACCGCATTATTCATAGGATGTGTTCGAACTGTCATTTATCTTAGATTTATAAAAACATTAATTTTTTTAATTTCCAGATCAATTTATGCGTAATGGCGCTTTTTATATCAAAGGCAGACACGTCATTTCTATCGAAAGGGAAACCTTATGTAAAGAATTGCGACAGCAACGATGAGGTAATACTTAAACTGAAAAATAATTATCATTTCGTTTCATAAAAGCATTAGCAGTTGAAGTAGAAAATCAATTGCTTTAACTTGATGCTTATGATTTAGTATTTACAATTATCTTATTTTGAATTACAACTGTAGATACTTTTATGTTTTGACATTTAATTTTAACATTTTTTAATGATGCTTACAGTTTGACTTTTGTCTTCTTATTAAAAAAGTATAATTCACAAACTATTATAAAATATTGTTTGTTTTGATTTCTTTGTAATTGTAGTTATTATATTGCTGAGTTATTTGTTGTTCAATAAAAAAATTTCAGTGTCCAAACGGGACTGCTTGCCTGCTTCCAGGCGCTGTCAACGCAAATCCTTCAGCACAGAGAAAGTGCTATATGTGTAAGTTGATAAAATGTTCCATTTTTAAACATGTTTCAATCATTTTTTCTTATCAATTTCATTTAGACAACCAACTTTGAATAAACGCTTTTTGACTGCTGTTTATTATCATATGTGTTGTGTAGTATGCAAATGTGATTAATATTTTTCAGGCAACTGCACTGAGCAGTCCCAGTGTTACTTTAGCCACCATATGATGTTTTGCGATTGTTCGGGAAATGGCTTCACAGGAGTGAACTGTGAAATTAGTAAATAAAATCATTATCAATATACCTTTTAAAGAATTGAATTTCAACGTCTTTTAAATGTTCTTAGTGCTGTGCTTTTAACTTGCTTTTAAATTTTCGAAGTGTCACTTTTCACTCGTTTAATGCAAATTTACATACATTTTATCTGCAAATTCTATAAAGTGATATAAGAAATGCAATGCAATGCTATCTACGTTAAGGTGTTTAATACTATATCAAAATGAAACTATTAAGAATGTGTTGAAAAGATTCAACATTTAGTATGTGTTGATATGTTATAACATATTCTATCTGTATTACAGATATAGACGACTGTTGTCCAATGCAATGTTTGAACGGTGCAACATGTGTTGACGGAATAAATGAATACTCATGCATATGTGCTCCGGGATATAACGGCACAAATTGTGAAATTGGTAAGTAAATGTTTTACTTGTAACAACCGAAAATGGAGTTATAGCCAATGCTGTAAGACATCTGGAGAGTCATTGCCGTAGCTATGTTAGTCTACCTTATAGTTGATAACAGAATAGCCATTATCATAATAATTTATTGCGATCATTGAATTTGCCTATTATGACAAACATCATCCACTTTTGTCTATTTATCAATGTATTTTACATTAAATTAAGCTCATCTAATCGTTAAATAGCTTATATTGCTTAGTTTTACTAAGATAGAAATAATGAATTCTGCCGTCTTAAAAACTGGAAGAATAACACATTTCAAATATTATAAAAGATACAGAAATTAGAAGAAATATGGCATTATTGAAAAATGACACAAACATCAAAACTGATAAACGTTTCAGGCTTGATTTGAATGAGTCTTGACGGTAGATGGAAGAGCAAGCTACCATCCATGGTTACTCCATAGCACCAGCTCATTGGTTCAATTTACAATGGTATTTTATTTTTAATTAAGAAATGACCACACGGCGGTTATCAGTGACGATTCCATGAAAAGCGGCGTATGGTCCACATGCCAAATAACGCTTGTGTCCTAAACGAAAAATTTTGTAAACCTGATATCAAAATTGTGTATAACTTTTGCTGTTTTAGATATAGATGAATGCATGAATGGTCCATGTTTGAATGGTGGAACATGTAACGATGGTGTAAACGAATATACGTGCACTTGTGCCCCAGGATTTACTGGAAACGATTGTGAAATAAGTAAGTTGACATTTTACCTTATATTTTGTTAATCTGAGTTCACGAATGGTCTTAAGTGTATTTAGTTTTAGTTAGTTTTGGACGAATGATGAAAAAGTGTCAAATGAAAATTAAATTATATTTTTAATTTGTTGGTTTGATGTTGAACTTTAAAATAATCAATTGTTTTGTAATTTACATAACTTGTGGGAAAACAAAAGAAAATGATGTTGTCTACATTGATTTTATTATCCATGCAATTATAGACATAGATGATTGTTCCACTGGCCCATGTTTAAATGGTGCCACATGTAATGATGGAATAGATGGATATACTTGTACATGTGCTCCTGGTTATACTGGTTACCACTGTGGCATAGGTCAGTTGTGCTTTTGTTTGTTTTTTTAGAATAAATCAATTATTGAGCTAGACGAAAATTTATAAGTAAAGCGTATTTGTAGGAAGTGGTAGTTGCTTTAGAGAGCCCGGTTCGATGAAATAATAAATTGTCTTTTAATTAATTAATTGATATGACAAAAAAGACACTGTGCTTGTAATCTTGTTCATTTACCAAATATCTACCAAATATTTTACAGCCAACGATACAGGTAAAGAACTGACAGAGTCCGTTGTCATAGAAGACATACTTGATTTTAAGTTTATTTTCCAAAAGTATATGGTCTTATATCGCATATTTCGAATTGCACATTTGAGGTTATTTGTTTATCGGTTTGTATGAAGTATTTTGATTGTTTAGTCTATTATTACCCTAAACAGATATTGTTGAATGCTACCCAATGCCCTGTTTAAATGGCGCCACATGCAATGATGGTATAGATACGTTCTCGTGCACGTGTGCTCCTGGTTACACAGGCACCACTTGTGAGATAGGTGAGAAACGTTTTGGTCATTACATTTATAGATTTTTGCTGACATTTGAAGGATTTTCCTTCAAAGACTCTACCGTGAGATAACGCAGAACACTACTCTGTTGTCATGAAAAGAAAAAATATAGATTAACTGTGACACGAACAAATATTGTAAAGTGTATAAATCTATATATCTGCTACAAAAATATTTTCTGAATTTTGAAAACGAGTACTTTCAAATTGCTTCTACGAGAAAGCTATGGTGAAACATGTATATTGCCTTTTAACAAATGGCGCAACCACGAATTCAACGCTAAATGGTAAAAACCATATATTCAAATGCTAAAAATAGCGGCAAAATATTTTGTTGTGGAACATTTAAAAAAAATATAGTATTCTTGAATGTTAAATTACAGAACACTCTTTGTTATATTTTTTTTGAGAATCGACGGTAGATGTAAGAACAAGCTACCATCCATGGAATGTCATTAGCACCTGCTCATTGTTTCAATTTATAATAGTATTTTATTTTAAATCAAGAAACATCAGCAGATATTATCACACGGCGGTTATCAGTGACGCTCCCATGAAAAGCGGCGTATGGTACACATGCCAAATTACGCTTGTGTCTTAAACGAAAAAAAAAAAATGAAAACCTGATATCAAAATTGTATATAACTTTTGCTGTTTAAGATATTGATGAATGCATGAATGGTCCATGTTTGAATGGTGGAACATGTAACGATGGTGTAAACGAATATACGTGCACTTGTACCCCAGGATTTACTGGAAACGATTGTGAAACAAGTAAGTTGATGTATTACCATAAAATTAGGTAAAGATTTTGTTCATATCAGTTCACGAACGGTCTTATGTGTATTTAGTTTTCAGTTAGTTTTGGATGAATAATGAAAAAAATGTTAAATGAAAATTAAATTATATTTTTAATTTGTTGGTTTGATGTTGACCTCCATAATAATCAATTTATATGTAATTTACAAAAAAATGTGGGAAAACAAAAGGAAATGATGTTGCCTACTATAATTTCATTTTCCATGCAATTATAGACATAGATGATTGTTCCACAAACCCATGTTTAAATGGCGCTACATGCAATGATGGAATAGATGGATATACTTGTACATGTGCTCCTGGCTATACTGGTTACCACTGTGGCATAGGTCAGTTGTACTTATGTTTGTTTTTCTGGAATAAACCAATTTTCGAGCTACACGAAAAATTACAAGTAAAGCGTATTTGTAGAAAGTGCTTTAGAGAGCCCGGTTCGATGAAATTATAAATTGCCTTTTTAATTGATTGATATGACAAAAATATTGTGCTTGTGAGCTTGTTCAGTTACCAAATGTCACGAAATATTTTTGTGGTACAGAAGTGACAGTTTCCGTTGTCATAGAAGACATACTGGATTTTAAGTTTTTTTTCCAAGTATATGATCTTATAGCGCATATTTCGAATGGCACATTTGATGTTATTTGTTTATGATATTTGTATGAGGTATTTTGATTGTTTTTTCTATGTTTACCTGAAACAGATATTTTTGAATGCTACTCAATGCCCTGTTTAAACGGCGCCACATGCAATGACGGGATAAATACGTACTCGTGCACGTGTGCTCCTGGCTACACAGGCACCGATTGTGAGATAGGTGAGAAACGTTTTGGTCATTACATTTATAGATATTCGCTTACATTTGAAGGATTTTCCTTCAAAGACTCTACCTTGAGATGACGCAAATTATATACATGTATATATATATAACTTTTGCTGTTTTAGATATTGATTTTTTAGATATATATATATATATATATATATATATATATATATATATATATATATATAAGTAAAATCTCTAACTTGCCGTATATAAGCAAAAAACGCTATTTAAAATTTGCCGTAGCTTTCGGCCTTGCGGCCTTCTTCAGCAGCATTTATTTCACATACCATGTGAAATAAATGCTGCTGAAGAAGGCCGCAAGGCCGAAAGCTACGGCAAATTTAAATAGCGTTTTTGCTTATATATATATATATATATATATATATATATATATATATATATATATATATATATATATATATAGCAAAAAGTATATATATATATATAATAATATATTTCATTAGATATAGCTATAATCTAGGTAGTTAACATATCACCCAATCAATCAATCAATCAATCAATCAGTCAGTCAGTCAATAAAAACCATTGATCAATCAATCCATCGAGTAATGTTTATTTTTGCGCAAATTACATACATCATGTTATGTTCACATTTCGTAAATAACTTCTTGCGAAATTTTCATGTATTGAAGTCTTAAAGGAATACCAGTTTCTTGTAATACCCAACGCTACAAGAAAATTTAGCATTTATATTTCACATAAACAAAAAAATACATCTAGACAAATATAATGTTGCGATATCGACGAGAGTTTCTCATATAAGATGCAGGAACTTGTTTCGGAACCGAGGTAAAATAAATATGTTTCAATTTGTGTATTTGTAAGACTTTTCTCTTTACGAAAAAAAAAAAAAAAAACGTTTTTGAGTGGATGATATATTTGTTTCATTTACTCCATACAGATATCAATGAATGCATCCCAAATCAATGTGTTAATGGCTTATGCACTGATGGAATAAATCAATACACATGCACATGTGATCCCGGATACACTGGCATTAATTGCGAAACAGGTTTTTTCCGCATATATATTCTGTCTTATGAATAAGTGGCCGATGGCCATTATTATAAGATCACCCGACTAATAGGCCTAGTTCTTAACAGTCAAACAGTTGATTAATTTATTAATTCATTCATCCATCAATTCGGCAATAAGTCAGTCAAGACATATGTTTGGCCGGCAATGCTATCCGCTGTTCATGTTGTTTTTTTCCAGACTGTATTAGGTACCACCCCATTTCAGTATTGTTACTATAATAAAAAGATATATTTATCATTTAATAAGTCTTTGCATGAGGAATATTAAATATCTTTTAAATGACTTTTAAGATTAATGATTTCTACAAAATACAATAAATATGAATTTATTTCATACCGACACAGCTTGACTTAAAATGAATGTTCCAAATAGTATGGTTTTAAAGGTTAGATTCTATTTACATGAATTACAGAAATCAACGAATGTATGTCTCAACCGTGTTTAAATTCTGGGACTTGTAATGACCTTGTTAATGGATTCACGTGTACATGCCCACAGGGATACACTGGTATCGTGTGCGAAGTCGGTAAGTTTCAACTTATTTGGAATAGCTTAAAGGAGCTCCACTATGGTAAAAATCCAAAAACATGAAATATCCCAAAGATACTTAAAACAGTAAAATTTCCGAAAGATTCCCAAAGTGTCATTATGCCCATCAAAGAGTATATAATGAGTGGACAGGTGAAAATCAAATTTAGATTTAATTATATTTTGACATAATGTCTTTTAATATCATAATTCACTTTGCATGAACGATACTCACATTGCCTAAGGAAGGTTTTCTTGAAATCCATCGGAATTTACCTGTAACATTTTTTAAAAGAGTGGAGCAGTCTGTAGGCAGATTATATTTTACGCAATATTTTACAATATCAACTGTTTGTGGATTTTTGCACAATTTTAATCTGGTTTGAGTGAAAAGTGTTGCAACTGTTGTGGTCATTTTTCACAATGAAAATAACTATTCCTGTAAAACGGAATTAGAGAACGATCTGAAATTTTGCACACAAGTCATCTGTTCAGACCTACATCAAATGGTACACAAACCTCGAGAAAATGTGTCCAGCTTTTGTATGTCAGAAAACCTCAATGGAGTCCCTTTAACAAAGGTTTGAACCCAGATAAGCTTTTGTAAAACTTAAAATGTATCATTAAATAATGATTGTTTATATCACTTTCTACGCACGTCATTCTTATTTTATGTAAAATTAGCTTAAGCTGTATTTTTGAAACGAGTTCACGACATTGATTTGATTTGTACTTGATTGACGTCAGAATCTGAAGAAAAAAATGAAAAGAGTTGAATATATATACATGTTAATTAAATGTTGCTTTATCATATGCTTAAGTATGATACATCTAAGAATCTCTGTACCCCAGGCACTTATGAGTCAATATGAAAAATTCAATTTATTTCTACTTTAGATATACTAAATGACTGCAATCCATGCTTTAATGGCGGAACAGTTGACTATAACTGCACGTGTGCCCCTGGCTACACTGGATCCAATTGTGAGATAGGTAGGCGTTTCCTTTGTTTAAAAATGCAGTAACTTTAGAAAACCGATTGTTTGTCATTGTCACAATAGCTTTTTTTTCAATTATTTATGGATAAATTATAATCCGTTCATAAACATTATATCCATATAATGAGAATTGTATCAAATTATGTATACATTTTACAGACACAATCAGTGTAGATTTTTCCCTTTAAACTAAGTTAATGATGATTTCTAACCCTTTTAAACATGCAAAGCTATGGTTTAGCCATGGATAAGATTATTTACATCCATTCTCATTGGTGAATTATTTAGAAATAGAGATTTGGACTTTACCTCCTCAAAGATGATGAGCTGTGTAAATGTCTTTGACCTATGTATTGGCATCTAGTATAACCGTTTTAACATTTCTTAAAATTGCTCGGACTCACTCGACAGTGAATTTATTTTTGCCATTGATTTTATAAAATTGCATAGCGTTTTGTTATCGTTTTGGTCCTTTTAAAGCTTATTCTTGTTTTCCTTTTTTTTTAAGCTTTCACCATTCTTAAATGGCATAACACAAAATAGTTTAACGCATATGCACACACAATGGAGATTATATTATCTAAGCAGATACTAGCATATTAGGGTGAAAAAATACACCTGAAATTTATTAAAAATAAATAGTCAGGAAATGTTAATTTAGCGGAAAACTATTATCAAGGTTCATAGTAAATTTGCAAATAAACAATACCGATCTTAGTTTTTTTGTTTCCATAGATTGTGTTAATCAGCCTACCTCATATTTGTGTTGTAATCCCGGATATGTTGATGCAGATTTTCCACGTGAGTACTGTTAAAAGTTTTACTTAAATAATCAATAATTACCTTGCCATAACAAATGATTCAGGAAATATGTTTGTTTCAATGTAGAACTTCTTTTATTATCAATAAAAAGTTTGCTGTTAAACTCACCTTTCAATCGCTTTTAAAACAAATCCAAGTTTTGCATTACATTTGTACATGACGCCCATGATGCATGAATACTTGTAAGTTGAAAATTTATTTCCAACAATAGTAGGAAATTGCTCTTCCTATTTATAAATTTTCAATGAAATAAGACAAAGTACATACTTAGGTGCATTGCTGAATTACTTGATGTTGTAACATTTGAATATTGACACACTATACCTGTATATTTCTTGACATGTTACAATATGTTTGATAAATATGTTCTAATGTGTTTCACTACGTCACAATATTTAACATCATACACTGTATATATATATTATGATATTAACAAACAATAATATGCCACAATAACTTAATTTGTCACATTTTGTTCTAAGGTGTCTCAATATTGAAATGTGTCACAATAAGTTACAGTCAATGCCATTAATTCTTATATAATTACTTTTAGTTCAGCCATATACATGTATAGTACTAGGATGTCAAAGTGCAAGTCAATGTACATGTACACCAGGATACACTGGGCCTTTTTGCAAAAGTAAGTTAAATATAACTTTGTTCATGATAACCAACCTTGGATGATTTTATTGCTGTTTTTCTTGTCTTTGATTATTGGTACAAACTAAACAAAAAACTATGAAAATCAAACAACAGAAACTGCAGAGTACGATACGGTAGTCGAGGATTGATCTAAATATTCGAATAACTCAAATTGGAATTTTATCATTTTTACGAGGACCAAGAAGATGAATGTTTTAGTTCAAACAAACATCGTTCCCAATAAACTCAGAAAGATAAAATAATGTACAATGATGTAATTAAACCAAATGTTTTAACGAAAACGCCCACTCTGCGTTTATGCACCTATATTTCACGTCCCCGGGCTCCCATTCGTTATTTTCAAAATCTAAATATGAGATGGAAAATCATTGCTCCACCAGGCAAGAGGGTCAAATTCTGGATCAACGACTTTTCTATCGATGAAGGATTCGATTTCTTCTACGTTCACGATGGTGAGAATTCAACTTTATTAAGCTTATTTAAAAATGGATCAAACTGTATGGTCTAATAAAGTTCTCCAATTCGTAATGTAAAAATATTCTTTATCTAAATGCTCGCGTATTTTTTTTATTATTACTAAATATATATGTTTCACAAATATGCCTAAAATATAACATTTAGATAGCCTGATATATTTCACATCTAAATGATCACACATGCATGTAATATTACAGTGATAATTACTAGGTAGTTTAGTTAAATGAGTTGGGGTATTTTGTTATTTTATGTTATGTTACATGTTTTTTGCAATAATTGAATCGGCCACATGTTTTTAAAACGTGTATGCAAAGAATCACATAATTGCCTCTTAAACTACAAAACAAGTGTATTTTTCATGGCAGCTTAACTTAATACATGAATTCAATTCCATCATGTTTTTACCTTTGCAGGTGATTGCTATGGCTCTCCTTCTACCTGCTCCAACCTGGGAACATATACTGGAAACACCATTGACTTCTTCTACCACGAATACGCTCATACCTATTTTAACTACCGTGCAGATCTTGATGCAACTTTGTCAGCACCTTTCATAACTTCCTCGGAAATTGCCACACTTACTTTCACTACCGAGGGAATCATCGCAGGCTTCGGATTTAGAATTGTTTACATGTATATAGATTAACCGTTTTGCTTTTCTTTGCTGAAAATGTTATTTGACTTATAATATCCAATTTTATCAAAAAGAAGATATTATAACTGTAAATCAACTTCCTTGGTACCTAACAAGATTCAAAGGTACCATGTATCTGGTTAGGTACCAATCGTTTTGCAAATGGAATTGTTATTGTGTATCATTTTACATATCAAATATAATATTTGAGATTTGGGTAGCATTTTTAAAGGTCACCTTTCATTTCTTGGATCTTGATTTAAATTGTATGTTCTTGTATCTATTATTTGTAAAATTTGGGTTGTTTTATCTTATAGTCTTTTTCATATTATGTGGGGTTTGTATAGTTTTAGTCAGTACCACACACTGTTTTAGTGAACGAGAATATGCCCTTTTGTGTCTTCCATTGTGAACATATGTATGGTTTATCAAAGTTTGATTGTAAATCGCTATTAATATCATTGGTGTGAGACCTTTTATTCATTTAATAAGATATCGATGTTTTGTCAAGGGGCACATATCAAATACTTCTGAATCGAGACATTTTGATCAAATATAATGCATATTACAAATTCAATTGACTTCCACCCTGGGTATTCCAATAACATATGTGTATAATATATGGGAAAAAAAGACAATAAATTAAAAAAAAAATACAAAAAAAAAAATAAATAAAAACTTGTTCTTTTATTTTGTGGATTGTTTTGAGGTAATAAAGGTATTTCTTTGATTTAGTGTTGCTTTGTTGATTCATTTCATCATCAACACCCATTGTAGCAAAATAAACAGACGAGATGCTATTAAATCAAGCTACCGATCCATTTTATTTTACAGTGTCTACTCGTTGAAATCAAAACCAAGTAATACGTGATATTTGAAGAAAAAAAACAACTTTTGTCTTACCTGAAAACAGTTATTTAATCTTTTTATCTTCATTATCAATTTTCAGAAACATGTTCTGTGCCTTATTCAGAGATTTACATTGACACTGTTCAATAAAAAAAAGAAATAATGGCTTCTATGCAATTGAAACCAAAAGGCAAGGACTAACATGTTCTAGACTTATTATGGTCAAGCATCGAAATCACCCGAACATCCCTTTGTTGGCTGTAAGCTCCTCTCCTACTTCTAAAGGAAAGCGATCGCAAACAAATGTGGCAGTAAAAATGTATATTTCTAAGGTTTTCACTCCAAGTACATTTGAAGCAATACTGGGCCAATTTATCTGCCTTTGTGCATACAAAAACATGAACATTATGTCTGTTTGTTTGTTTTACGGCGGACCAACGCAGTAGATCATTTATCTATCGTCAGGTGTAACAATTTCATAACAACACCAGGTTTCAGAAGACCACAATTATGTAAACACAATTATCCTGGATTACTACAAAGGAAAAGACATAGTATGTGGAGGAAAGTGTCTGATTATTATGATAGTTTCTTTAATATTTCCGACGTGTTATTTATTTCCTAAATAACATCTAACTTGTCAGATATGTTAATAATATGTTAACAACAACAACATTATCATTATCATCACCAATAATTATAACAACATCAACATCGTTCTCATCAGTTAACTTATTTTCTTGAAACTACATTTGGCAAAGAGAAAATCATTATCAAATAAAGTAATTTTACAACTGTATTTATTGAAACGCACGGTACTTTCACGAAAAAGGTAATTAAGATAAGTTATCATGTGCAATGATATAAATGGCACTTAATCGGTACACACATAATTTTACACATTTGTTTATCAATATATTTATAAAGCAATGATATGTTGAAACACAGATGAACATGGGAATACAAGAAAATAATAAAAAAAATCATTCAGTTCTTGTGTATTGTTTATGACACAATTAGCATGGATAAAAGGGATTATACTATTCTTATATCTGCTAATGAAGATATATGAATATAGGCCTATTTGAATTATTCAGTAAACCTTTATATTCAGACATGACTCTTGTGACATACCATAATACTTGTCACCGCTTATGTTCAGATTGTTAATAAACTTTAACTTATTATCAAAATGATTTAAAATATTTTTGATAAAGTCTAACAAACATTCAAGTTTAAAAAAATGATTATTTTAACCAAGATAAATGCTTATGTCGTGAATTTTTTTTTTTGAAAATGTATTAACAAGTATTATATTGTGAAGTGAACAAACAGTAATTTACACATTACAAACGACACTTACAATACACGTATATTGCATAACAACAACTTTAAATAAATAGAAAATAAAGAAAGAGATCATTATATGGAAAAAAACTTACTGCGTTACTCACGCAACTGCATAAGACAAACACTAGAAATGTGGTGATAAATACTACAAATTCATTCATAAATCGCACATTATATGTAAATCATTACTTGAATCTTAAATCTGTTTAATTTTTACCTGTCTTAATATTTTTGTACATTCTCTTAAAGTTTGATGGTAAGTTCTTGAAATATTTTGGCTCATCTTTAATACACAAACAATATACAACTTGTATGGAAACTGTTTGTTGTTTCATTATGTTGGATTTCAAATGTATTTTAACTGTAAAAGGTCGAACTTTAAAATTCTAAATGAATAATTTTTGAAAATAAAATCCATCTGCAAAATTAAAAAAAGGGTTTACCCCGGGTTTAAAAATTTTCTTACTGTAGAAAAAATTCGTTACTGTATTTTATTTTTCCCCCACTGCGTTTTTTAAAACCTTTTTTTACGAAAATTAGTTTTTAATACATGTAATCAAGCTTGTAAAATATGGAAAGAAGAACGTTTCCGACGATGGACGAAATAAACAAAGAATCTAAATTTAATGCACGAGAACTAACGAAAAGTAAATTTAAACTGGCGGTTAAGATAGCGCTGCTCCGAAATATTTGACAATTCATAAATATATTATTTACTTGGACGTTTTTGTGGTTTGTTTTGTTTGTTTTGTTTTCAAGTATTCTAGAAACTTTAAAGAATGTAGTTTTTTCTTGTTAGTTTTTATCTGTATGCAATTAAGTTTTTAAGTGACGTTAAACTTTCCATAAGTTTGTACACCTGCTTGCTTTCTGAATATGGTACTGGTCATGCAGTCGGTAAGCCAGCTTATTCTTGTTTAAAGTCATACAGATGCATTGAACATTACAGTGTATGTAGAAATTGCCACTTAGTCCAGGTCAAAGATTCTAGTCAAAGAGTAGATCACACTAACATCGGCTTAATTCTGTGTGAAGTTTGACAATTATGCAAATGAAATACTTTTTAAACTTCTGTTCTCGGTGATAAAAAAAAATAAATGATCAGCATGTGGTCAAAATCAATATTAAAAAGTAGCGACTCGTTTACGATGGATGATCTAAAATAGTATCTTTTTACTATCAATATATCAAACAAACTATTACAAACAAAACAACATCAAAACATAAATGGAAATATGAACAAAATATTCTTGCCAAAATAAATCATTCCATGAAAACTACACACAAAACAAAATAACCATTGTGGTGTGTCAGGCGCATGGCCATGCCGATTTTGTAATGTCGTTGACATTGTTACGTTGTTTACTGAATAACCCATGTGGACTTTTCTGCTGAGGTTACGCAGCACTAACGCTGTAATTATCATATGATGTTTTGTTAGCTTTATTTGGTTTGGGACAACATCAGGTGCCCTTGCGTGCATTATTTCAGGCGCCAATGGGACCATGAGCAAAGCAGCACGTTCTAAGTTATGAAAACTTTATCACATGAAAAAAAAAAAAAACCATTACGCTCGAATCAAAGCGGTGCCCCGGGGGAACCCCTCTTTTAAAATTTCTTTGTAATTTAAATATAAAATATAACGTACACCCAAAGTTAAATTAGGTCAGTTATTATAAAAAAGGTAACTTTTTTAAATTTAGTCTAAAATTTTTTTATCTATAAAGTTATTGCTTCTTTATGAAGATAGAACTGATACCTTTTGCTTTATAAAGACCAGAATCAGCTTCATTTGTACTGTCATCTGACTGGTGAGTGGATAAAAAAACATGTGGATTATAAATAAATATAAATTCTACACGATCGTAATTTGTTCAGCAAGTATTATTTGCGTCGCATTGTAAACAAATATAAATTATTCAGTAAGTAGAATTTGCGTCGCATTATAATATAAATTATTCACGATTGTATTTTGTTCAGCAAATAGAATCTGCATCGCATCGCATCAATTGTATCATAAATGAAATGTTATCAAATAATTTACATCATCTTTATCGAGCTTAGAATTTTTACTTTTTATGTTTGTTATTTTTTATATTTTATTAAGGACAGTGAGTCCTACTTTTTGTAAATATTTTTTTACAGATCATATATAATTTAGTAGTTAGAATAACGTAAAGTCATACACACGATCAATTGGGAATTTCGGCCCAAAATTAAAAAAATTTAAACCTTTTTTTTGCGATTTATGTTTTTTTTAAAAAAGCCTTGGGCATTGAACCCAAATCTATTTGTTAAAATGATTTTAGTATGAAATTTCGCCCCGCATACAGAAAAATTTTAATTCGTTAATATGTAAGTAAAACCTTTGTTTGTTGATGATTTTTTAAAGCCTTAATTTTGTTTAAATGATGTAAATACCCAAATTTGATATTCAGGTTAACAAAAAAGCCCCTTGTTAAAAAACCCCTGAAACGGGGATTTTTCCAATTGTATAATTTATGAAGGAATTTAATCATTATTTTAAAATTTGTAAAAATTGAATTTTAATTTACTTTTTGAACTTGGAAAGTTTTATTAATGTTAAAATTGAGTCTTATATTTGTGAAATGATTTCAGGTTTTTAGATAAAAAAATGTGCTGTAAAATTATGTGTGATTGATTGATTGATTTTCTGAAGACCGGGCGTCAAGAATAACCTACGAAAGTGCAAGCACTTATTTCCAGTATGGTCCTTACCTCAGCAGACTCTAGAGACAGCTATGAGACACAAGGGAATCCGGGAACAAGTCCCTAGCTCTAATTGAATAGATTCCTTGGTTCTTGTACATGCCCAGTGTATAGAAACTGATACATGCGAGGATCACCTGGATTTCGTACAAGTAAACCTCTAGTTAGGTGGGAAACACTGAAAGTGTTTCAGAAAAATCCCAAGGGTGTTACCCAGGATCGAACCCGGAACCTCAGGAGTGACAGTCAGTGATCTAACCGACTGAGCTATCGCGCCACCTAGTTTAAGATTTCTGACAGATTACATGACCGTGTTTTAACCGTTGCTTACCTAGAGACTCGGGTTCTATAGGCTTGTAGTCATACATTCAGGGTCATTAGACTCATATAACCTGTTTATATAACTTTCATTTGTGTGACGGTAAGGTGACATAACTCGGAACATCGAAAATATCTTATTTATCACATGCGCACTTGATAGTTGAATCATTTTGATGCCCCCTGATAACAAGAATATTTTGGATGTCATGTATGCTACCCTGGCAGGTCTACTGTTTTAAAATGTTATTCATTTGAACCGTCATTCATAAAACAGGAAATTATACCTTACGTGCAATTAAGTGTGACAATATAATTAGTTATATATCACTAAACTCACACGTTGAGGACGCATGTCATTAGTTAGCTTTATTTTAAAGAAAATTATCAGTAGAAAATAGGTAAAAAGGAAGCAAGAAAAAAGGAAAACAAATTCGGTACATCATAGGCAGAGTAAGGACTATCTGGAAGTGACGATGTTGCAGTTATTATCATTATTTACAAGCCTTACTTGTTTGTACTTAGTAACTTATCAAAATCTCGTTATGCCTCAGAGATTATTTTGTTTCTATTTCTCAAAAGATTTAAATGTTTAGTGTACTTTTATACTTTCCAAAACGTTTCTCATAGGCCAATCACCTGAACCATCTTCTTCGTATTTTGCCCTTGGAAATTAGTATAGTTATAGTGATTCATTGTTTTGTATGGAAGGCAAAATACTATTTTGTACAGAATGCCTTTTTATGACAAATCGTTTTACAGTTGTCGTTACATTCCATAGGCTACAAGTATCTGACATCCTCTAAAACTATTATTTAAACGTTGTAACATTCATGTTTTTATTTTCTAAAAAGCTACTTCTTTAGAAAGGGCAAACGGAATTTTTTTTCAAGTTTAAATAAATGTTTAATTTTAAACATTCAGTCGTTTCTGAGGCATATTGTGTCTATTAGCATGGATTAATTAAGTTGATGTTTACAGTTCTGAACTCGTTTCATTGCTTCAACGACATTGCCTCATTAAATCAGCATAACCCATTGAACAACATACGACCTAGAGATAACCTTTGGGAGAGAAAATAGTTTACACATAGATAGTGCAAACAAACATGTGTAAATCTAGTCAAAGATGTCATTGTAAGTATGTCACACATTGGGGCATTTAAACAGTTTGTTACAGCTTGAAACGATGCAATTTGATTTGATATACGAGGAAATAGGGGACTACGGGCGTTATCAAAGATGGGTTGTATGGACCTCAGCGTCAACGGGATTTTACTCTGGACTTCTTATACTTACATCATATTTTGTACTGGCTGTTCCGGAACATAGGTAATACTGTGAAGTCAGAATTTATTATATCAGGTATAGACGAGTATAAACAGATCAATTTGAATATATTACATGCAATAAAACTGTATCAACAGATTTTGCATAAAAGGAACGAGGTCAACTGAGGTCCAAAGTACATTTGTATTTATAAAAATTAGTTTTCTTACATCGATGAGCTGGGGAACTAAAAACAGAAAGCTATAATTTAAAAGATAATTAAGAAATATACACAGAAGTAAAATGAAAATCGTATCTGTGCAATTTGAGGAACGTTTTTAGATTTTGGGTCATTTGTCCTAATTAGCATAATCATCTTGGAAAAACGAAGTGAGCGAATGATTTGAAATTTTGCACAAAAGTTATTGGTCTAGACCTAGATCAAATGGAACATTAACCACGAAAACTTTCAGTCCCGTTATTTAAAAAAAAAACTCAGTGAAGTGAGTCACTTAGATATATTTTAAACAAGAGCCCATCTTTAGATTAATAATCGTCATTAAAGTTATATGAAAAGGTTAAATGACTTTTCACTTTTTGATTGAAGCAACAAAATTGTTTATTCAATTAATAAACCTATGAATCCATTTCAATTTTTCTTTAAGATGTCTCCAATATGGCTGCCAAAAACAATAAGTTTGAACGAAAAGTATGTTTAATACATTCACAAATTTTTATTGAATTTAGCTATTTCATTTTTTCAAATTTGTTGTAAATGTGTTTATTACTAATAAAAATTTACTTAAAATGATGTGTTTTACCAAAATTGCTCTCAAAATAGCCGCCAAAAGCACAAGAAGTGTATTAATTGTCATGTATAAATGTATAATCTATATACAAATACAATGCAGGTTACATCCTAGGAGACACAATCTTTACCCCTGCCAAATAAAACATGATGTAATGAAAAACAGACTAGGTATACCTAAGGTGCTTAGACAGCTCCAAGAAAGCACCAGGACCACCAGAACTGCAGCCTGGCTCGATTGCTTAAGGGTTTGGTCAACCAATCCGCTCATTATTTTTGCATTATCACACAGAAATACCCCACATTCTACATCGCAATTATCGGAATCGCAACGTTAGTCTTGAGAAAGATCCAATTGTATACAGCGCCAACAAACGCGTTGATTTAATTGCTTTCTGTTTCATTAAAGATGTGCAATTCCGGGCTTGGAGAATGATACGTTTGAGATACAAAATGACTATCATCGTGAAATCGTCAATAGAACAATACCCCTGGCGACACCTAGCGACGATTTCTACTACGATCAATGTCACTACAGGCTTGTTAATTATGATGGCCATGACATGATTGACAAATGTAATAAATGGGTCTATGACAAGTCAAAATTCACGACGTCTCTTGCTGCTGATGTAAGTACATGTATTTGAAGCAATATGCATTCCATCACAGTGCCTTAAGAAACAGTTACCCTTATACCTAAATTTGTCGTATTCCTGTCGTATATTGCAGGTGTTTGGGAGCTCGATAGTATGTTAAAACTAAACTTCTTAACAGTGGTAAAACTTCAATGTTGTATGTAAATATCTGCGTCTTTGTTTTGCCAAATTTATCAAAATTATTCTAAAAGGTTTTAGGCCAAAGGCAATGTCAACACCTTTTGGTTGGGTTTAACGTTGCACCAACACAGTATTGTTCAAATGGCGGCGTTCTAGCTTTACTGGTTGCAGAACACCTCGGGTGCCTCTTCGTGCATTTTTTCAGACACGCATGGGCATCTGAAATAGAACCACCTACGTTCCGTTACTAGCTTGCTAACTTCCTTATGAATCCACATTCCCTGTTTTTGTTTAAGTGTACATGTGTATTGTTTGTCAATGGTATACATTAGATTACATTTAGAGTACTTTGTCCAAACGTGTTTTGTAAGAACTCACATATCCTTTAAACATAACGAACGGATCAACGCTTACAAGACTGTGCTAAATACTCGTAAACAAATAACATGTTATGATAATTTATGAAATTGTATGTTTATCCTGAAAATTATAATTTAATTTTAGTTAGATATGGTTTGTGATGACACCATACTGAAGTCCAATGCACAGATGGTAAACTTTGCTGGAATATTTGTTGGTTCCCTTCTTACTGGCGTTATTTCAGATAAGTAAGACATTTGTAAAAAAACAAATCATTAGAAATTTCGTTCGAAAACAAGGAAAACAGTAATAAATGCATAGTGCAATTTTATTGTTGATACAAACAATGCAATTATACGACCAAGTTAAAACATTGCTGTACATCGATTTGGTTATAATACATTTAATGCGCGACAGATTTATCTTTTAAGTAAAAGTATATTACATACTTTGTAACCAAGAAACCGTTTATATTAATAAAAGAATACTGTTTCAGATTTGGACGGAAGCTTACAATGTGCACGTCGCTTACTCTCATTTTTGCATGTTCTCTTGGTATGGCATGGAGTCCAAACTATATTGTTTTCATCGTTCTAACATTCCTTGTTGGGTTTTTCAATGTTGGACAGTGGATGCCTTCATTTGTTATACGTAAGTTTCAGTTGTGATTTCCATTGCACACAAGCTCTTATTGAGACTTTAATCAAAATATTATGAAAAAAGTGGCTGTTAGAAATGGGAATTGTCTCCAACAAATAATATTTCTCTTAATCGAAATGGGAGAATATAAATATATTGAAATCCTATACCAGTAACATACAGTAAGATCTATACACTTAAATATCGTACATGTATTGTGAAATAGTCGATTGTTTGGAAAATATTTAGCTTTGAGCAAAGTTTATAGCTTTGGTCTCATGGTATCCAAATGGTCGACAAAAGGCATATGAGAGTGCAAAATTAAACCACATGGAAGGAAAAAATCCCCATGGGAGTGTTAAACCCAATAGGGATTTAAAAACCTCCCAACGGATGCTCATTATGCCTTCCTAGCACTCGGTTTCTTTTCTACATTTCTGAATTGTAAAATAGAATTCTTGTTTAACTCCGAACGGCATGGGTTTTTGTGGCCAAATGTATTCCTGAACTGCATTTAGAATAGTTAAAGCCATGTTTGAACAGTCTGGATTAGAAAAATAAATTTAAAAGCTGTTCTATTCAAATTACTTCTGATGCCTATAACATTATACAAAAAATGCAATATAGATAACTGTTGACTGACGCTCGATGTGTTTTCTTTACCATGGTTGTTTTATAAAGAGTTTCACTATGTTTTTGCATAACCATTACTTTTCATTCATTGATTTACAAACATGATTTATTTTTCGTTAGGGGTCGAGTTTGTTGGTCCACCAGAAAGACGATTTGCCGGATTTTTAGATTCCTTTTTCGCTTTATTTGGTCGCGTGGTTCTGACCGGTATGGCCTTTTACATACGAGATTGGAAAACGTTGCTGATAGTTGCCTCACTCCCAGGAATCCTCTACTTGCCGTTTTGGTTGTACGAAAACAATTTATTTTCATAAGTTTGTTATATTTCATTATATTTATAATAAAGGTAAAGGCATGTAGGTGATTCTTTTAAAAGATATTTTTTGGTTCAAAATGATATGATTTCTTTAACTTTGTTTGTGCGTTGAATAACAAAAAAACGTTTGATATGAATAAACTGTTCTAGTTTACCGTTCATACCTCTGAACCTATACATTTAAATGAGATTAAATGTAAAATAAATTGTATGTATGCCATAATGCATAATTATCTGTTTCTTTGCCGACTTTTAGAAAACAAGTGTTTCCCGAATCTCCGCGTTGGTTGTTTTCCCGCGGTAAAATTGAGGAAGGCAAACAAGTAATATACCGTTGGGCGAAATGGAACAAAATTCATCTACCTGACAGATTTTTCGAGAAGGTTCTAGCTGAGAAAGAAGAAGAAAAACAAGATGAAGGGAATTTGTGGAATTTGTTTTCATCCAAAGTTTTGGCTATACGGACTACACTGATTTTTATAATTTGGTAAGACTAGTAATAATAACCGATGTTTGTAAAATAACACATCCATTAATCGTTCCTTACAAAGTATCAGATTATTTTCTGCATAAAACAATTGTTTATAATTGACAGCACAACTTATAGGTAGAATTGTGTTGTTGTGCCATATCCCAAAGGATATCGTTAAATATCACAAATTATGGAATCATTAAAGGGCCTTCCAGTAATGTGGGAGAATGTCTTTTGAAAGTTATAAACACTTGTCTTTTTGACAAAAATTCATCTAACTAAAAACTTCAATGATTTTGAGAAAATGTGAAAAAAAGGTACTGGTACATCCATATACCACTTTAATTTATAGTTTTATACCTCAAATATTCTGTAGCTCTTGCAGCGGAAGTTTTCAATTCGTCTTTAGATATATTATTAAATCATACCTTATACGCTCATACATACTCATACTTACAACTATTTTATTTCAGGTTGAATGTTTGTTTAGGATACTATGGGCTTACATTTAACGCCGGTGATTTGGGAAGTGACCTTTATCTAAATTTCTTTTTACAAGCGCTTGTCGAGATACCGGCACTTATAATTTGTATTCTGATACTTGACAGAGTAGGGAGGAAACCCGTCTTGGTCGGTAGTATGTTTCTGGGTGGAACGGGTTGCCTAGCAACGATATTTACGTTGATTTATTTGCCAGGTGAATACTTATTCTTTATCTTTGCCGAGAGAAAAGGAAATTTGACAAAATAGTTTGTACATGCACATTCTCTTCAATCCGAGAAGACCATAGACACCTTGGTTGTGTCCATTAAATATATGTACAAGTTCCTTAATACTCCTTACTGTTATATGTTGAATTCATGACATTAAGAAAATGCGTTTATTACGAACACGTGAAGCGATTATTCTTTACCGATGTTTGACTGAAATATTTGTAAAGTTGCGTTCATCTGTACAAGAACTGTTTAATCTACATTAATTTGTATCAAAAGCTTCAAGAGCTGTGAAACCATGTTGCCCGACTAGAAACCGAAGACAGCGAAAGTGCATGCAATATACTATTTCACACAGCCATTTAAATGACTTAAAAAAGGTCACATGTTATAGAACCTTACATATTATGATCTCGGTTGTTTCTCCTTGAATTGAGATATATCTCTATCAGTTGCAGAGTACTGGAAAAAAAGAATGACATATCTCGGGTGTACGTCGACAATAATTTGAGTTTCTACCAATCTTAAGCCTCAATATCAATAAAAGTTATCTTTAAATATTAAAAGAACATGTTCGATCATTTCAGATAAGCCCGTTGCCACCACGATATTTGCGTTGGTAGGTAAAATGGGACTGGGTGGCGGATTTACTACACTGTATGTTTTCTCCGGTGAGCTATTTCCAACCGTTGTGCGTAATTCCGGTCTCGGTGCAAGCTCTTGCATGGCAAGAATTGGAGGGATGGTAGCTCCATACATTGCCGAATTAGTAAGTAACTTTCAAATACGAGTAAGTATCAGTTATATTTAAGTCGTACTTCTGAGTCACATCAGAACGTCTTGGTGGTCAACGGTAACTGATTTCAGATAATAAAAAAACAACAACAAAACAAACAAAAAAATAAGAAGAAAAATCAAAGGAAATAGTGTGAAAAACGAAATGATTATGAAAATACATAACTGAATACTATTTACTCATGCATGAAGGTTTTCCACATTTATGTAATCGTATTAAATTGGCAATACGACAATAGTAAGAATGTATTTCTGTAGCTTTAACAATTTTTACATCAATTTTAGGACAGTTTTGTGGACGGCAGGTATGGCAAAGCTCTGCCTCAAGTTGTGTTTGCAGTCTTGTCATTTGCTGCTGGAATAGCTGCATTATTTCTACCGGAAACGTTGAACCGGTTTCTTCCGGAAACGATCGAACAAGGAAAAGATTTTGGAAAGTAAAAATAGTTTTTCTTTGCTGATTCGATTGTGATCTCACTTCAAGTTTCTTCGGTTTTGAACTACATTTAATTCACATTTACTAACCTGGTACATAATTATTATATTTTATTTCCAAAAAGTTGTAATTGTCAATCGTATCCTCGTCTAAACGGAAACGATGGATTTGATTTTTAGATAAAAACCCCTCCCACCAAATAGTTAATTCTTCGATTATCCTTATTCCTCCGAAATGAAAAGGAAAACTGCAACGAACGTTCTCAAATGTATTTACATCAGATTCTAGTCTTATTTCTACTGATCTAAATATACGGGTCACTTTTCAGAGTGACGTCGGTATACTGACGTCATAACTTACGTCAAGAGTCCGCCTACGTTCTCTTTGCAATTACGTCATTTGGTAAAGCATTTAAAGTGACATTATGCCCATCAAACAGTATATAATGAGTGAACAGGTGAAAGTCAAAATAAGTTTATATTTTTGCCACAATTTTATAGTTTACTTGCAGGAATGATAAATAACTCGTGTGACCCCGAGGAAATTTCAATCAATATCCGTTATAAATTACCTGTACATTTCAGTAATGTTCAGTTTATCAAAAGAGTGGGGCAGTCTTTTTTATATTTTAGTAAGAATTCTATTTTTTCTCAAACATTTTCCAATATTAACTGTTGGTCAATCACCATTATAAAAGTCAATCTTTTGAAATATATAATCAATTCCACTCAACAATGGCAAAATGGGCATAATGTCACTTTAACAGCTATCGTTACTATAATTCTTAAAATCAAGTAAAATCTTGTCAGACGGCATTTTCTAAAATTAAACATTTACTTTGCTTTGGAGTACTAAACTTCAATTTGTGTTTCCTTTCAGAGAAGACAACGATAAGAAAGCAGTGGACAAAACCGAGGTTATTAATATTAAAACAATATCAGAGTCTACAGACATACAACACGGAACACAGTGATATAATTGTTGTCTTGGAGAGGCCATTAATTTTGATAACATGATATCAACTTTATCAAAAAATGAATAACACTAAAGATTGAAAATAAAATATTTTTATTTTTTATTGTTGACAACATCATGTGAACAAAAGTGGTTATACTCTATATAGTTATGTTAAATGCATAAAGGTAAGGCAAGATCTCAAATGGTATTATATAAATATAATTAAACACTCATAAAATATTGTTAGATATTAATAATAAACAAACGCTGTTTCCATATATCGTTACTCTTGCATTGTTTTTATTATCTAATCTAGCATTTGTTTTTCGTTGGGGTTTTACGTCGCTACACACTTTCCAGCTTGGTGGAAGAAGACCTAAGGTGTAACATCAAGAGTAGAAAAACCGACGAATCTAGCAACTCAAACTGGTACATAGAGCTATATACAAAAGCTGTCCTATCAGAAAAATGCCTGCCAAGAAAAATGCCCGCCAAGCGCATGCTTTCAGCTGGTATAAAGACAGGCAGTAACTCTGTAAAACATTCTGAACTGTATTGTAAGGGAAGTAACTCAAATATTACCAAACAATATCAAATGTCATACACTTGCTGTTATCAAAACATATCCTCCTTACATATTGTTTATCAGTAAAATGATAAATATATAGAAGTTAAACATTACAATACAATAAGTAACAAGGAAAATACAGACAGGTGCTTTAATTTAGTGCCATAGATAATTAGATATGTCACAAGCTGCCGTGTGTTACATTGTACATTGTATTACCTTTCGTCATGGAATTTATATATTTACACACATATCAGCAAAAACAACATAGACTGTATTCGAACCATACAAAGTGAAAACTTCTTTTTTTTAATTCAAGCATATAAATAACTGAAACAATAGGAATATATAAGTTAAAGCAATATAAAATATGTAAATAATACAACCAATAACTCTTTAACAAACAGATAAACATCAAAATAGTTATATCATATAACTAAATCACTTTAAACAAAAGATAATTAACTATATAAGAAACAAACTATTTGGTAATGAAATTTTGGCATATGCTTTTAAAAGGAAGTTAATTTTTTCTCATTTCCAAAGCTTTAATTCCTAAAGGGAGATCACTGAGGCAGTTTTGGCATGACGAGACTGGGAAAAATATGTTTCCGATATTTGTATAACAGTTGCTTGGACAAGCAGTTAACCTGTATGCAAATTTTCAGATCATTTCCCCACCCCGTTTTTTTAGCATAATCATTTTTAATGACCCTAAAATGAAAAGCATTGCAATGCATTTCACTCAAATAGGTTTTCACTCAAATTGGGCAAAGTAAGAATCCCACAAAAATCGATATCCCATTTAATACTGATTATATTTCTTTATTACCCATTGCAGATTTTTTGGTAAGTGCAGCACAAGATCATTGTAGGAATTTTAAATCATATGTTTATAAGACTTTTTACATCAGTGGAACTCTTTAAGACCAACTTCCATTGCCATAGCAACATTATATAAGAAAAGTACGTGACAGCATCTGCCTTAATGTTAAAATATCTGGTATATTTTATATTATCATGCACTACATGGCTTTATGATAAGAAATCATGTTTTACAATCTTATTTAACAATGTTACAGTAGTTAAAATACACAAATAGTTGAATAGGAAATTACTATTCTATTCCTTATCAGAAATCATATCTGTTTTGTTTTTTTTAATTTCACAAAATTTCTCAAACTAAACAAAAAAGTTTATTTTGTTAAAGAAGTTGTCAAAAGTCAAAATCAGCATGGACGCTCGCATAGACTGTAATAATACTTTATTTTATTTTGGTGCTGTAATATTTGAATTTTTACCCCTGAAAAATAGGTATTTTTTTTAAATTTAATTTATTGTAAGCAATATATAAAGCATCTACAGTTTCTATGCTAAAGATGGTATAATTGAGGTTTAATAACATTATTTCTGTTTAGCTTGCTAAACATAATCAGATAGAAATACTCAAACAAAATGCTGTTCTATTCAAGATTGTCATTACGTGTATATAATAAATTCTATAAATATACATTCTCCCTATTTCTACATGTATTTAATGCAATAACCGATAAAGGTGTACCATTAAATCTTAAGCAATTAACCTAGTATAAGCTACTGTACAAACATAGGATTACTAATTACTCCAATTATTTTTAACAGGGAAATAATAAGCTTGGTTTGTACCTTCACTTAAGCTAATTACGACCCACCCTTTCCCTCAAAATAACCAGAAACTTTTGAGTTCTGTATAACTACAATTGCCAAATTTAAATGACGAATAGTGATAAAATAAATTATCTATACAGTGAGCTAAATGGTGTACAAAATACATGTATATATACAGCTATAAAGCTTACATATATATTAACATATTTATAGAAACTAATATAACAGGTTAAAAATAACAAAAACAATTAGAGTGACTAGACAATTAACTTAATAAATTTGATTATAATAATAAAAAAATATAAACAAGATATGTTTGTAAAACATGTATGCCCCCTATCAGCAGCCAATTAGTCATGTGATAAGGTTATTATGCATGACTTCTGACCCAGTGATCAAACAATTAATAAGGGTTATAAAGTATCTACTGGTCATGACCTTGACCTTTGACCCCTTGACCCAAAACTCAATAGGGGTCATCTGCTGGTCACGAACAATCATCAAACAAAGTTTGAAGTTCCTAGGCCTAGGCGTTTTTAGTAAATTGATCAGAAACTGTTTTTACCTACAAGGTCAATGTGACCTTGACCTTTGACCCCTTGACCCCAAAATCAATAGGGGTCATCTGCTGGTCATGACCAATCACCATGCCAAGTTTGAAGTTCTTAGGCCTAAGGGTTCTCTTATTATTGATCGGAAACCGTTTTAACATACAAGGTCAATGTGACCTTGACCTTTGACCCCAAAATCAATAGGGGTCATCTGCTGGTCATGACCAATCACCATGCCAAGTTTGAAGTTTCTAGGCCGAAGCGTTCTTTAGTTATTGATCAGAAACCGTTTTTACTTACAAGGTCATTGTGACCTTGACCTTTGACCCCTTGATCCCAAAATCAATAGGAGTAATCTGCTGGTCATGACAAATCACCATACCAAGTTTGAAGTTCCTAGGCCTAAGCGTTCTTGAATTATTGATCAGAAACCGTTTTTACTTAAAAGGTCAATGTGACCTTGACCTTTGACCCCTTCACCTAAAACTCAATAGGGTCATCTGCTGGTCATGACCAATCATCACACAAAGTTTGAAGTTCCTAGGCCTAAGCGTTTTTAGTTAATTGATCGGAAACCGTTTTTACCTACAAGGTCAATGAGACCTTGACCTTTGACCCCTTGACCCCAAAATCAATAGGTCATCTGCTGGTCATGACCAATCACCATACCAAGTTTGAAGTTCCTAGGCATAAGGGTTCTTAAGTTATTGATCGGAAAGCATTTTTACGTACAATGTCAATGTGACCTTGCCCTTTAACCCCTTAACCCCAAAATCAATAGGGGTCATCTGCTGGTCATGACCAATCACCATACCAAGTTTGAAGTTCCTAGGCCTAAGGGTTCTTTAGTTATTGATCGGAAACCGTTTTTACCTAAGAGGTCAATGTGACCTTGACCTTTGACCCCTAGACCCCAAAATCAATAGGGGTCATCTACTGATCATGACCAATCACCATCTCAAGTTTGAAGTCCCTAGGCCTAAGGGTTCTTTCATTATTGATCGGAAACCGTTTTTACCTACAAGGTCAATGTGACCTTGACCTTTGACCCCTTAACGCCAAAATCAATAGGGGTCATCTGATTGGTCATAACCAATCACCATACCAAGTTTGAAGTTCCTAGGCCTAAGGGTTCTTTTGTTATTGATCAGAAACTGTTTTTAATTAAAAGGTCAATGTGACCTTGACCTTTCACCCCTTGACCCCAAAATCTATACGGGTTATCTACTGATCATGACCAATCACCATACCAAGTTTGAAGTTCCTAGGCCTTAAGGTTCTTTAGTTATTGATCGATAACCGTTTTTACCTACAAGGTCAATGTGACCTTGACCTTTGACCCCTTGACCCCAAAATCAATAGGGGTCATCTACTGATCATGACCAATCACCATACCAAGTTTGAAGTTCCTAGGCCTAAGGGTTCTTTTGTTATTGATCAGAAACCGTTTTTACCTACAAGGTCAATGTGACCTTGACCTTTGACCCCTTAACGCCAAAATCAATAGGGGTCATCTGATTGGTCATAACCAATCACCATACCAAGTTTGAAGTTCCTAGGCCTTAAGGTTCTTTAGTTATTGATCGGAAACCGTTTTTGCTTTCAAGGTCAATGTGACCTTGACCTTTGACCCCTTGACTCCAAAATCAATAGGGGTCATCTACTGGTCATGACCAATCACCATCCCAAGTTTGAAGTTCCTAGGCCTTAAGGTTCTTTAGTTATTGATCAGAAACCGTTTTTGCTTACAAGGTCAATGTGACCTTGACCTTTGACCCCTTGACCCCAAAATCAATAGGGGTCATCTACTGATCATGACCAATCACCATACCAAGTTTGAAGTTCCTAGGCCTTAAGGTTCTTTAGTTATTGATCGGAAACCGTTTTTGCTTTTAAGGTCAATGTGACCTTGACCTTTCACCCCTTGACCCCAAAATCTATACGGGTTATCTACTGATCATGACCAATCACCATACCAAGTTTGAAGTTCCTAGGCCTTAAGGTTCTTTAGTTATTGATCGATAACCGTTTTTACCTACAAGGTCAATGTGACCTTGACCTTTCACCCCTTGACCCCAAAATCTATACGGGTTATCTACTGATCATGACCAATCACCATACCAAGTTTGAAGTTCCTAGGCCTTAAGGTTCTTTAGTTATTGATCGGAAACCGTTTTTACCTACAAGGTCAATGTGACCTTGACCTTTGACCCCTTGACCCCAAAATTAATAGGGGTCATCTACTGATCATGACCAATCACCATACCAAGTTTGATGTTCCTAAGCCTTAAGGTTCTTTAGGTATTGATCGGAAACTGTTTTTACCTACAAGGTCAATGTGACCTTGACCTTTGACCCCTTGACCCCAAAATCAATAGGGGTCATCTACTGGTCATGACCAATCACCATACCAAGTTTGAAGTTCCTAGGCCTTAAGGTTCTTTAGTTATTGATCAGAAACCGTTTTTGCTTACAAGGTCAATGTGACCTTGACCTTTGACCCCTTGACCCCAAAATCAATAGGGGTCATCTACTGATCATGACCAATCACCATACCAAGTTTGAAGTTCCTAGGCCTTAAGGTTCTTTAGTTATTGATCGGAAACCGTTTTTGCTTTTAAGGTCAATGTGACCTTGACCTTTGACCCCTTGACCCCAAAAATCAATAGGGGTCATCAACTGGTCATGACTAATCACCATACCAAGTTTGAAGTTCCTAGGCCTTAAGGTTCTTTAGTTATTGATCAGAAACTGTTTTTGCTTTCAAGGTCAATGTGACCTTGACCTTTGACCCCTTGACTCCAAAATCAATAGGGGTCATCTACTGGTCATGACCAATCACCATCTCAAGTTTGAAGTTCCTAGGCCATAAGGTTCTTTAGTTATTGATCGGAAACCGTTTTTGCTTTCAAGGTCAATGTGACCTTGACCTTTGACCCCTTGACCCCAAAATCAATAGGGGTCATCTACTGGTCATGACCAATCACCATACCAAGTTTGAAGTTCCTAGGCCTTAAGGTTCTTTAGTTATTGATCGGAAACCGTTTTTGCTTTCAAGGTCAATGTGACCTTGACCTTTGACCCCTTGACCCCAAAATCAATAGGGGTCATCTACTGGTCATGACCAATCACCATACCAAGTTTGAAGTTCCTAGGCCTAAGGGTTCTTTAGTTATCACTCGGAAACCATTTGGTCTACGGACCGACGGACCGACAAGTGCAAAGCAATATACCCCCTTTTTTTCAAAATGGGGGCATAATTATATAAAAGCTATACACGAGCACCTAACACTTAAATTAATAGCTAGCTAATCTAACTTTACAATTCGATTCTTTTACCTAGGATAATTATGTTTTGTAACATATTTCAATTGTGGTATGTGACCTTGTATAATTGTGTTCTGTAACTTAAAATGATTGAGTTTTATAAACTATAGTACAAATGTATGATTGTGTTCCGATCATTAATTTGTATTCTGATACCTAGTTTGTATTTTGAAACATAGTTTGTATTCTAAAACCTATGATCTACCCTGTGTTCTATAACCTACTTTGTATTGTGAAACATGCAACCTAGTAAGTGTTCTGTAACTGAGTGTGTGGTGTGTTCTGTAAAATAACTTGTGTTCTGGAGTCAATAACCTTTTTTGCTTTTCTATGACCTAGTTTGTGCAATGTAACCTATTTGGTGTTCTGTAAACTATTTTGTGTTCTGTAGCCTAGTTTGTGTTCTGAAACCTAGTATTTAGTATGACCTAGTTATGTGTTCTGAAACCTAGTATTTAGTATGACCTAGCTATGTGTTCTGAAACTTAGTATTTAGTATGATCTAGTTATGTGTTCTGAAACCTAGTATTTAGTATGACCTAGTTATGTGTTCTGAAACCTAGTATTTAGTATGACCTAGCTATGTGTTCTGAAACTTAGTATTTAGTATGACCTAGTTATGTGTTCTGAAACCTAGTATTTAGTATGACCTAGTTATGTGTTCTGAAACTTAGTATTTAGTATGACCTAGTTATGTGTTCTGAAACCAAGTTTGTGTTTCATAACAAAGTTTGTGTTCGTATCCTAGTTTATGTTCCATTATCTAGTTTGTATTCTGTAACACAGTTTGTGTTCAATAACTTAGTTTGTATTATGTTACCTAGTTTGTGTTCTTCTACCTCATTTGTATTATGTAACCTGTAACTTGGAAGCTGTTACTAATTGATGAAAACCCTAATAGCTCCTCTGTGCATTTATCAACATTTTCAATAATTATTATGAACAATAAATATGAAACATTTCAAAACAAGAAAAAAGAATCATCACCAAAATTTAATTAAGAATAAAAACAATCAATAGATATAATCAACATTACACCTTTCCCAACAATTAACTTTATATACAAACTAAACACTTCTCCAAAGTTGGAAGACAACACTTTGGCATTTGAAATATATATATATATTCAAATTATATTATGACTTTTATACTAAATGTATGAGAAATAAAAGCATGTTTTATTTCAAATGTGGCATCAACACAATGGATGAAGCCCTTAAAGCATAAAGATACAGATATGTTCTTCAATGACATCACAAAACTCCAAAGGGAGCTAATAGAAATAGTTGACTAAAATACTTACAGTTTTTGATAGTCAAACAAGAACAATGTGCAAAGTGAGCTAATAGAAATAATTGGCTCTAACATTTACAGCTTTAGATAGAAAAATCAAAAACAATGTAGAATATTTCTTATAATCATATACAACTCATACAAGAGGTATGGGCCTTGGTAAAATCTGTGAAATAATGATTGAAGTTTTAAGAGAATATGTTAATATCAATTAAGAATTGAAGTTGCACACACAATCAAAACCAAGTGTTGCACCTATTGTCTAATCAATTATTGGCAAGTGTTATACCAATATCTATTGGCCGATATAAGACCTGGGGTGTCTAACAAGACACATTGAAAAAAAGACTTCAAGCTATAACTTAAATGAAATAAACTAGTTTAGTATAAAGATAATTTGCAACACTTAACATTTATATATATATAGCCTTGTCTTAAACCATATTTTATAACATAGATATGTTTGAGCAAAGATGTTAAAAAAATTCATCTGTAATATGAACACTTTAAGAAATTATGCATTTTTTATTTTTAGAATTAACAATAAAATTAAGAATATTACATAGATTCAAATTTCATATCACTTAAAAATAATCAACAATACTATTAAACAGTCATTAATAACATCTTTGAACACATATAACTAAAAAAATTTTTATCAAACACTGGAAAAAAAATTGTTAAGTCAAGTAGACTAAAAATATATATCAGATATAAATTTAAGTAATTCTGATATGTTTTCTGTTTATTTTACAGAAGTTATGAGATCAATGGAGGCAAATTTTCAGCCCAAAATCTCTATATTATTACCTCTTCTTGTCTTACATAAAATAGTAAAAAAAAATTGGAGACAGCCTGAGATTATGGCACAGTTTGATTTGATTTGAAAAGGTCATAATCCTTATATAGCTAGCACATGTAGCAGAGTTGATAAAGTATATAGGACCCCCTTTTTTACTAGCGTAATGTTTCCATTTAATGGCTTAATAACACTTCAGTGCCTTTTGTTAATGTGATAAATATATTTATGTTTGCTATTATTATAAAAAAAGTAATCATTATAAATGTTTGATGAACACAGTTGATAATGTAACTAAAAATATAAATAACTATCTTCTTGTTAAAGGTATATAAACAAATCAAGAACAGGAAATAAAATGGTATTTTTGAACGTTAATCAAGTTACTAATAATGTCTCAAACCTAGAAAATAATTAAACATGATGAATATTTTAACCATAAAAACAAGATTGCATTTGAGAAAAATGCTATGCCACCGCATTAATACCTAAGCTCTAGGCCTTTTGGGCATTTACAAGAAGGTATTTTAAGTTTTTGAAGCCTTGTACCTTGTACCTACAGACAATAAGATTTTTTTATTTTTTACTATATGTATAATTATATTTGAAAATCAATGACCCCCGGGGCGGGGGCAATTTTGACCCCAGGGCTATAATTTGAACAATCTTGCTAGAGGTTCACTACACAATGTTTCATGCAAAATATCTAACCTCTAGCATTTGTCAATTGCTAGAAGAAATTTTTTTAAAGTTTTTACTATATACATATAACGAAAACCAATGACCCCCGGGGCAGGGCCGATTTTGACCCCAGGGCTATAATTTGAACAATCTGGGTAGAGGTCTACAACACAATGCCTTATGCTCTAGGCCTTTTGGGTCTTTACAAGTAGGTATTTTAAAGTTTTTACTATATGTACATATAGTGAAAATCAATGACCCCCGGGGCGGGGCCGATTTTGACCCTAGGGCTATAATTTGAACAATCTTGGTAGAGGTCTACCAGGCAATGCCTTATGCAAAATATCTAAGCTCTAGGCTATTTGGGTCTTTACAATAAGGTATTTTAAGTTTTTACTAGATGTACATATAGTGAAAATCAATGACCCCGGGGCAGGGCCGATTTTGACCCCAGGGCTATAATTTGAACAATCTTGGTAGAGGTCTACCAGAAAATGCCTTATGCAAAATATCTAAGCTCTAGGCAGTGTGGGTCTGTACAAGAGGATTTTTTTAATTTATTCTTATCATTTCTTTTGGTTGCCATGGCAACCAGATTTCTGCATGGAATCAAATTTTTTGAACAACTATGGAAACCCTTCACCCAAGGAACAATCCTGCTAAGTTTGGTTGAAATTGGACAAGTGGTTTTTCACAAGAAGATTTTTTACGTTCACTATATAATCTAATATAACAATGACCCCCGGGGCGGGGCCTATTTTGACCTCAGGGCTATAATTTGAACAATGTTGGTAGAGGTCTACCAGACAATGCCTTATGCAAAATATCTAAGCTCTAGGCTATTTGGTCTTTACAATAAGGTATTTTAAGTTTTTTACTATATGTACATATAGTGAAAATCAATGACCCCGGGGCGGGGCCGATTTTGACCCCAGGGCTATAATTTGAACAATCTTGGTAGAGGTCTACCAGACAATGCCTTATGCAAAATATCTAAGCTCTAGGCCTTTTGGGTCTTTACAAGAAGGTTTTTTAAATTTGTTCTTATAATTCCTTTTGGTTGCCATGGCAACCAGATTTCTGCATGGAATGAAATTCTTTGAACAACTTTGGAAGCCCTTCACCCAAGGATCAATCCTGCCAAGTTTGGTTGAAATTGGACTACTGGTTTTTTCACAAGAAGATTTTTAAGTTCACTATATAATCTATATAACACACACACACACACACACACACACACACACAAACAAACACACACACACACAGGTGAATCGCTATATGCCACCGCATCGCAGATGCTGCGGTGGCATAATAACTTAATATCCATGTTTAGAATGAAAACAATACCCTTTAGAACATGATTTGTAATCAATGCTCCCAGGTTGTAACACAGGGGCCTCTAATACACAATACATGGATAATGATAAGACGTAAATATGCTCATAATAAAAAGCAGCTTCATGCAATATTGCAAATCCTATAAATATATTGCTGTTGATAGAATTATAAGGATGGAATCTTTGATATTTGTACATTAATGCAGTAACAGCTGTAAACTCAAACACTAAAACTATATTCTTTGTTGTGTTAAAGAAAATTCCAAACCATTGACAAAAAGTTATTCATCTAGAAAAATATGGAGATAAGCAGAAGAACATAATATCATGAAAACTTAATCGCAATTATTAAATCATAAAATGCATAAATCAGATCTGAAATCAAACACTGAGAAAAAATGCAAAAGTTACTGATTATTATAATAAGCCAAAAAGTCAATATTCAAAGATTATGTAACCATGAAATCCTTCAAAAAAAATCAATATACACCCTTTCCCTCTATCATAAAAAATATATCACTGTGGAAGTAGAAACCATGTGAGAACAATTTACAGTTATCAAGTGTTAAATCCATATATGATCTATGAAAGTTAAAACAAATCACAAAGGTTATCACCTTTCCTCAACATGTACTACAGTTTATTAAGCATTTAGCAACCAAGATGACATATGCAAAATCTTAGTTCTTTAGATGCTTACCTAATTATCAAAATTTGCAAGCCATTTTCTTGGATCTTAAACCAATAACCTACTAGAACCAGAACAGATTAGTCTTTGCTACCAGTATAGAGCCTAGCCAGGCAATCCACAGAGTCTGACAAGCTCTTGTACAGTTTGTGGCTCGATGTATACATATACTTTTATATCATTTAAACCCCTCAGATTATGAATGGACTGTTCCAAATTCAAAGCAGGGCAAATCCATTACACATATTCAGCAGATTAAAGGTTAAAATCATACTAACAATATTAAGATCATGTAATAAATTAAATTTTCGAGGGTTGTCTTTAGAACTGTTGTAAGTCCTTCTTTATATCATATAAATTACTACAGTTTTTTCAGTCAACCCTCTGTGTCTTTTCTCCAGATGAACTAGTGGAGGAATACACAAGGTGACCACTCATGCATTACAACAGGCATAAGTGGGCATCTGGATAGAATCACTGACTAATCAGTTTCCTAACATGAAAAAATCTGTAAATCATTAACAATGAAGTAAAAAAGTTTTACTAAAACTTACTTCACTTACTATTAGGATCTTAACTTTACAAACTTAATGTCATAACAAGATATATTCTACTTCAACACTTTAAGGACTTGATAAACATTATTCTTGAACACCGTTTTAAAATGTGGCCCAGGGTTGTCTTTCATTTTAGTACAAGCTGGAGTTGTCTCCCCTCTGTTTTCTTCATCTTCAATGTCCCAAATCTCTGCCATGCTACATCCTTGTCTGTAATGGATTAAGCATTTGTGCAATGGTTAAGTTTATAATCTGCTAATGAAAATATTTGAAAACTTCTTGAATAATTTTATTCTACAGCCATCTATATAAACCCATACTGACATCTCATAGTTAATAAATTGTTAGTAATTTTATTTTGGTGGAAAGTCTGACTGATATAGAATAAACTTCATTCCAGGAGGAACAATATATCTGCTGATGGACCTCCCCATTTCAGGATTTTTTATCATCATAGATGGCAAGAATTAAATATTTAGTTTTCAGTGTTATGCCCCTTATCTAATATCCGCACCTAGTCAAGATAAGCAAGTATTTCAAGTTTGAATAATGGGCTTCAATAAAGTTTTTTACATGACAACCACAACAACCCCCAAAATAGCTTGTTTTTTTCTTTGAAACAGACAAGCTAAAATTGTACAACATGCAACAACATATTTATGTTGTGCCCTAGAATCAAATCCATAAGCTTCACAAAATTTGAAAAATCAACCTTTAAAGCAAACAAAGGTTGTCAGTAAGACAACATGCTTGACAACAGGCATTTTCAGAAACTAGAGCCTGTATAATGTAGTTCAAAAAGGGCCATAATTCTGTAAAAATCCATGTCAGAGTTATGGCCCTTGGTCAGTGACCTATTATGCTCTGAAATAAGGGTGTGAAGTAACAACCCATTCTCTTCAGTAGTTTTTGATACACCAACTTGCACCCAAAAACTTAACCAAAGTGTGATGCCGATCCAACACATATAATATCTTTCTCTTTTCTCTGAATAGGCAAGCTAAAATGGCATAGGTTATAAATGGTACAAGTAAATGATCATACCTAGATCTCCGAACACACCATGAGTCCTCTAGTATAGCATAGTCAGCTTGTAAAGCTAGTAAATTCTTCTTCACTTCAGCTAATGGTTTACGACTGTACATAGTATATACTTTCTTCGTTCTTTCTCTACAACAAACAATATAGCAATACTTAGTAACAGGTCCAAACAATTTGATTCTTCTTTTATTTTTCTAGATAATGTTGAACTAGTCATTGTTTTTGTTAACTTTAAGACAATTGATCCTTTATTTCCTTTTTTTATTTGCTGAAAATGTAAACTATTAGGATCCATGTTTTTCTAAAAGGGCATGTTAGACAAAAGTCATGCATTGTTTATTTCATTTGCAAAACCTGGCACAATAAAGGTCTAAAGAAGTTTACAAAAAAAACACAAATCATTCAAATTCATATGTCCACTGCCAAGAAAAGCATGACAAAATTATTAATATATTAATTACCTGAGACCAGCATCTTCATAATGTGGATGGTTTACTATCGGACGACCTGTACACAGTTTAATTGTTGCCATGGTTGGCATAGGACCAGCAAATACAGCATCTGTAACAGTAATTCAATATGAGAAATCATTTTTATATCTTAAATCATTATACACCAATTTCATTAAAGTACAATTTATATGTACATCTAATTAGGTATCTATGGGCCAAGGTAGAACCAATAACCAACATATAGCTAGCAGGATAGAATGTACAAAGACATTCTATCCTTTGTTTGGTATTCAAACCCAAAATAAATTAGCTGCAAGAGGTACTTTTATTACATGTTTTGCAGTAGATTACTGAATTATAACGGTTAATTATATTCTGATAATTTCACAGCAATGATTACCAAATATAATTTCACAGTAGCCGAACTATATTTGGCGTAAAAATAAAATATTTATCATTAATGAATGTTTTTTTCAGCGGAAATGTAGTCAATCATAATAAAAATGTACGTGATAACTGTAGTTCGTAAATATTTACGAACGTTGTGCTGAAAAACATCTAAAATCTAAAAATAATCATGGAATTATATTTTGCTTCAACATTGTGACGTCATTATTTAATGACGTCATGAAGATAAGAGCATGACGTTACGCGGCAAAAATCAGTAAAATGGTGTAAAAATCGTTAAAAATCATGAAATAAACAGAAGATCAAATAATATTGCACTCGTGAACCCCAGCTATTATATTTTCACTCGTGGTTAGCCACTCGTGAAAAATATTGCATCTGGTGTTCACTCCGTGAAATATTTTTCGATCTTACACTGAAACAAACAAATATCCTCTATGTAATTACTCTTAGCTAATGGAAAATAGGTTACACTCATGTAACCTGTGCAGATCAAGATCAGTGGGCAAACATGTACTTTCTGATCATGGTCTGAATTGTTAATTCTAAATCAGTACAATATTTTGAAATTACCCCAAAATGATGAATGGATTTGTGCAGATTGAAAGATGTACAAGTCTGTTTAAGATAATTAACATCGTATGGATTAAACAGTGTTATTTATTACAGAAGTGCTTGTCAACGTTTAAGAAGAAGAAAACATATCTCACTAATTCAGGGACAGCAAAATTAACTGTCAATATTGCCCAGGCTTTTCCCCACGGCCTGTACCGATATGTGAACTTCTTCCAGAATAACATAATAAATATCATAGGGACACATAAACAAGAGCTGTCCGTAAGACAGCGCGCTCGACTTTTTTATTGCTTGCCAATAAAAAAAGTTTTTGCAGTAAAAGGCAATACAAGAATCTCTGTATTTTTAAAGTGAACTAGTTGTTTGATACCCTTGAATATTACAGCAATGTTTATATGACATAATTTATGGTAAAGTGAACAAGTGGATAGGAATGAATTTTTTTAGATTTTTTAAGTTTTTTAGTGCTTGCCTATAATACAAAACATTGACAGTTAAGGGCCATAATTCAAATAAAATCTTTGACAGAATTACCTTCTCCTGGACATGTTTGGGAATCATGATTGTAAACAAGTATTCCAACTTTCAAATTAATATCTCAAACAGTTCAGTCAAAAAGTGGACTGGTACTAAAAACTTAACCAAGATTCTAAGTCGATAAAAGGCCTTAATTTTTAAAACAAAATCCTTGACAGAGTTACCTTCTCTTGCGTACAGATGGGGGTAATGATGTGAAATAGCATTAAAAGTTTCAAAGCAACATCTCAAAGGGTTAAGGCAATAAGTGGATTTTACCCATATTCAATGTATTTTCTAAGTCAAAAAGGGGCATAATTCTGTCAAAAACCTTGACAGAGTTATGTCCTCTTGTCTGTTGATGAAGGTCGTGATGGTAAACAAGTATGGTCAGTTTCAAAGCAATACCTCCAATGGTTTTGAAATAAAGTGAGGTGGTACAAAAAACTTAACCAAGCTCAATACACTTTCTAAGTCAAAAAAGGGCCATAATTCTGTCAAAAACCTTGACAGAGTTATGTACTCTTGTCTGTAGATGGAGGTTATGATGGTGAACAAGTATGGTAAGTTTCAAAGCCATACTTGTAATACTTCTGAAATAAAGTGGGGTGGTACGAAAAACTTAACCAAGGTGTGACGCCAACGCCGACGCCGGGGCGAGTAGGATAGCTCCCCTTTTCATAGAAAAGTCGAGCTAAAAATTGCTTTAAGTGAATCAGACAAGCAAGTTTAAATTGGATTTTGACAATTATTAGTGTTCAAAACTGCTGAATCATGTAAAACCCAGGCATACTTGTAGGAGTTTTAGCTTTCGTCCACTCAACAAGCTCCTCTAATGGCATATTACTGAATTCTCCCAGAATGCTCCACTGATGTTGAAGGTTAGAGAGACCCTGAACTGTCATACCTGCCAGTAAGGCAGTCAATATGGCATATTGTTTCTCTTTGCTTCCAAGCCAACCAAAAAACTGAAAACAAACATGATATACCTTCATTTAAACTACAATAGGAAAACTGTAATACTGACTGATTACTACCATGATGAAATTGTAAAATTGATAAGACCTGTGACACAGAATAAAGTAATTTATAATACAGTTCATTCTCTCTTGGATTTGTTAAAGTAAAATAACCTCTGATAACTTTGTTTCTAAAGTCTTTTCGCCTAAAACATCGTAATATTTAGATGAGGTAAGTTCTAAATCCAAAGAAAATTAACAAGGGACACAGGATAAAGAATGAACCACATAAAATGTATACTTTTAATACATAAATTTAAGAGCATAACTGTAAAAACATGTTACTTAATAGTAAAACACTGTAACATACCTGTCTGGAAGCTAGTAATGATGTCATAAGGCACAGATGTGGTGTCCAGAACAATTTTAATCTCATTATAATAACAGCCATCATAGTAAAAGCTATCAGTTGGAAGAAATGATAAACAACCTGTAATTGAAAAATGATTTAAATATAATTATATAAAATACATTTTAAATTCTTTCCAAATTTGCTTTTACTTACAGATTTTAGTTAGAGCGAATAAATTACTATAACATATATACAATCAGTTCAATAAAAACAAACGTTTTCTTCAGCTTTTGACATTTTGTTTTCTTCAGAAAAAATTGATGTTTATAAAGTAAAAATGATGCAATGCCCGTTTAACTATATGCTAAGTGAAATGTGACGTTAAAGCAACATAAAACAGAACCTTTAATACAGCAATATACAATACAATATACATAGAATATGGATCTGCACATTTGATACAAAAATATATTTTTTTAATATTTTTTTTATATAAACATATTTGAAAATCAAGGAAAACCTACAGAGGCTTTAAATTTAAATGATTAAGTGATAATGGACATACTAAATAACCATGTAAGAATAAAAATTTTGGTATTACCTCAGCATTAGGTTTACTTCTATTAGGAATATCAGTTTGCAGATCTTTGCCAGGTTCACTGCTTGTTTTAACCCAGGCGTTATATTCTGTCTTCAACAACTGTAATATATATCTATGTATTCAATTATGTGTAACTCATGTTTGAATATCATACTAGAAATGTGTCATCATGCCACGGATGCCCCAGCATGCAGCCAAAATTTCAAATGTTATAATATTTAGTTCCAAATTTGTTTGCACAAATTATTTTTTTCATTCTAAGTTCAAAGCCTTAAAACTTTTCAATGTTAACAATGTTCAAGGCACTGAAATTATTCAGTCTTAACCTTTTGTAAATTGCATATTGCATATTTGTAGCCAACATAATGGCTATATACATTTCCACAAAAGTATGAGTGCTGAAACTGAAAGTTCAAAATTTTTCCAACATTCAGGAAAGATAAGTTTGTCTAAAATCATTGAACCACGACCAAATTCAAACTTAAACTGCTTATTCCTAAGATGTATCTATATTATTTTCAAAGTGAAAGGGACATAACTCTGCCAAAAAATCATCGAACCATGACCAAATTCCAACTTGACCTACGCATTCCTTTGACATATCCATATGTCAATTTTGAGTTGAATATGTAACACTGTTGGGTTGATAATGAACAGAAACTGTAAATTTCATATCATTTTCAAAGTGAAAGGGACATAACTCTGCCAAAAATCATTGAACCATGAACAGATTCGAACTTGGTCTGCGCATTCCAAAAACATATCCATATGTCAAATTTGAGTTGAATGTGTAATATTGTTGGGGAGATAATAAACGGAAACTGAAAATTTCATATTATTTTTAAAGTGAAAGGGGCATAACTCTGCCAAAAATCATCAAACCATGACCAAATTTAAAATTGACCTGCGCATTCCTTTGACGTATCCATATGTCAAATTTGAGTTGAATGTTTAATACTGTTGGGGAGATAATAAACAGAAACTAAAAATTTCATATTATTTTCAAAGTAAAAGGGGCATAACTCTGCCAAAAATCATCGAACCATGACCAAATTTGAACTTGACCTGCGCATTCCTTTGACGTATCGATATGTCAAGTTTGAGCTAAATGTGTTGTACGATTGGGGAGATAATGAACGGAAACTGAAAATTTCATATTATTTTCAAAGTGAAAGGGGCATAACTCTGCCAAAAATCATTGAACCATGACCAAATTTGAACTTGACCTGCGCATTCCTTTGACGTATCCATATGTCAAGTTTGAGTTGAATGTGTTGTACCATTGGGGAGTTAATGAACGGAAACTGAAAATTTCATATTATTTTCAAAGTAAAAGGGGCATAACTCTGCCAAAAATCATCGAACCATGACCAAATTTGAACTTGACCTGTATTTTCTCATGACATATCAATATGTCAAGTTTGAGTTGAATGTGTTGTACCGTTGGGGAGATAATGAACGGAAACTGAAAATTTCATATTATTTTCAAAGTAAAAGGGGCATAACTCTGCCAAAAATCATCAAACCATGACCAATTTCGAACTTGACCTGTATTTTCTCATGACATATCCATATGTCAATTTTGAATTGAATGTTTTGAACCGTTTGGGAGATAATGAACGGAAAATGAAAATTTCATATTATTTTCAATGTAAAAGGGGCATAACTCTGCCAAAAATCATCGAACCATGACCAATTTCGAACTTGACCTGTATTTTCTCATGACATATCCATATGTCAAATTTGAGTTCAATATGTGCAAGGGTTATTAAGATAATGTACGGAAACTGATGATGACGGAAGGACGGAATGACGGAACAGGGTAACACTATATGCCCCTGCCATTATATGGCGGGGGCATAAAAATGTGGGCAGATCAAGAGCTATACAACAAACTGCACACTCGACTTTCTTAGTGTTTGATAATAAGAAAAGAGACATATCTCTGTAAAATGGCTAACTCAAGAGTTATGGAACCTAAGCCCATCTTGTTTAAGAATCACAGAGAACAAGTGCATGAAGTGTGTAAACTTTCAACCCATTCCCTTTTTTGAGATACCAACTTCCACTCAAAAACTTAACTGAAGTATGACACCATTAAAAGAATGTGTACAATAGCTCTCCTTATTCCTTGTAGTTGAGCGAAACAAGAGCACTGCATGCTGTGTAAAGCTTGTCTGCTAAAACAATGTATGTTAAAAAAGAGCAAAATCCAACAATATAGCTTTCAGATTGATAATCTTTATCAAACTGCTGTGATATGTCATGATAAGCAAGCATTCCAAGTTTCACATTGACATTTTTAACATAATCAAATTGTTTCAGTAATGGGCTATATGATTGAAATACTGTTGGAAAAAGGCGTAAAATGAAACAAACAAACAAACAAACAGTAATGGGCTACACTAAAGGTTTTGCATAACAACAACACTGCCACAGCAATCATGATAGCTGGCCTCTTTCTTTAAATAGTCGAGCTTAGAGCTGAATTGTGATAAAAATAGGTAGAGCTCCAGTTTTGTAGCTTTAATTTCAAAAGATGTTGTGCTTAAGTGTTACTGAGATTAATATACACAACACTAAAACTGATTCTGTAATCATCCAAATAATTAATATGCAGATAATTTTGACAGAGCAGAATAACTTTATTAAAGTATCATCTCAAATGGTGCATATACAACAAACAAGAGGGCCATGATGGCCCTGAGGTCGCTCACCTGTATATAGCCCCCCCCCCCCTCACACACACACACACACCCATAAGAAGATGTTTCATGCTAAACATCTAAGCTCTAGCTCATTGGGCTTTTTAAAAGAAGATTTTTTTAAGTTTTTACTATACACATATAGTTAAAAACAATGACACCCCTGGGGCGGGGCCAGTTTTGACCCCAGGGCTTTTATTTGAACAAACTTTGTAGACACTTACTAGAAGATGTTTCATGCTTAAGATCTAAACTCTAGCTATTTGGGTTTTTTTTAAAAGAAGATTTTAAGTTTTTGCTATACACATATAAGGAAAATCAATGACCCCCGGGGCGGGGCCAATTTTGACCCCACAGCTTTTATTTGAACAAACTTTGTAGACATTCATTAGAAGATGTTTCATGCTTAATATCTAAACTCTAGCTATTTGGGTTTTTTCAATGAAGATTTTTTAAGTTTTTGCTATACACATATAAGGAAAATCAATGACCCCGGGGCGGGGCCAATTTTGACCCCACAGCTTTTATTTGAACAAATTTGGTAGACACCTATTAGAACATGTTTGATGCTAAATATCTTAGCTCTAGCTCTTTGAGTTCTTTAAAAGAAGATTTTCTAAGTTTTTACTATATGCATATAGGGAAAATCAATGACCCCCTGGGGCAGGGCCAATTTTGACCCCAGGGCTTTTATTTGAACAAATTTGGTAGAAACCTATTAGAACATGTTTGATGCTAAATATCTTAGCTCTAGCTCTTGAGTTCTTTAAAAGAAGATTTTTTAAGTTTTTTACTATATGCATATAGGGAAAATCAATGACCCCTGGGGCAGGGCCAATTTTGACCCCAGGGCTTTTATTTGAACAAACTTGGTAGGCACTCATTAGAACATGTTTCATGCTAAATATCTTAGCTCTAGCTCTTTGGGTTCTTTAAAAGAAGATTTTTTAAGTTTTTACTATATGAATATAGGGAAAATCAATGACCCCCTGGGGCAGGGCCAATTTTGACCCCAGGGCTTTTATTTGAACAAACTTGGTAGACACTCACTAGAAGATGTTTCATGCCAAATATCTAAGCTCTAGCTCTTAGGGTTTTTCAAAAGAAGATATTTAAAGTTTTTTCTTTCGGTTGCCATGGCAACCAGAGTTCTGCATGGAATTAAATTCTTTGAACAATTTTGAAAGGTGACCACCAAAGGAACATTCCTGTGAAGTTTGGATGAAATTGGCCTGGTGGTTTATGAGGAGATGTCATTTAAAGTAAAAGTTTACGGACGACGGACGGACGACGACGGACGGACGGACGACGGACGGACGCCGGACGAAAAGCGATCACAAAAGCTCACCCTGTCACTTTGTGACAGGTGAGCTAAAAAGTTATAGAAAATTTACTTACCTGATAAGTAACTGTTACTAGGACTATCAACACAGCTGGGGCTAATAATGTTTTCAAGATTCTTCCAGGAGTCTGTTTAAAGAAAAAGAAAACATTACCATGAAGGTGTTAACATTTTAATCAATGGAACAATTAACTGTCCAAGTTCCTTGATTAAGTACATTAATTTGTTCACATTTTAATAACAGATATATAATAATTTGATCAAATTTTATTTATAGGTTCAATAGTTTGTTCACTTTTTATTTATAGGCATTATTTATTTTGTTCACACAGTATTTGCATTATTTTTTATTTCATGCATGTAATACAAACATTGCATAGGTTTTAACTATGATAGAAAAATATATTATTGAGCTTATTTCTGGATATATTTGAATTTAATCTTGACATAACAATACTTGATTGAAAGAAGCTGGGGAAGTCCATCTAAGAAATTTCGCAGGTTAACATTTTAATATACTAAATGAAAGGTCATAGTGGGAGAAAAAATAGATCTACATAATTTGGCCCAAGGAAAGTGCTATACATATATAAATCAAATTCCATATATACCTCTGCCTCCATAAAGTCAAACTCTGCTGCACAAGTATACAACATCGTATGAAAGTTTTTAAAATCTGAGAATTTACTTCGGAATATATCCCCAATATGAGCCTGAAATGAAAGAAATTACATTCTAAGTTTCAGTAGGTTTTAAATCTTAAAAATATATTCTAAGACATAAATTCTACAAACATGTGGAAGAAATATAAAAGAAGTTACTTTAGTGTATCCAATGAAAACGCTGTATTTCTTAAAAATTGTGTGTGTTAATTTTCATAGAAGAACAAAAGTCGATACTATATCAAATTCCGTTCATAGTCGCCATCTATTTTTCATAGTACTTCATAGAACCGCGTAGTGCCGTAATTAAGTGAATAATAATAAGGCCAAATAAAGCTGGACACTAAGTATGTCGCTATCGCTCCCGTCAAAGTTTCTAATTTCTGTAGAACAGCACGGATGAACACTAACATATACGTAGAAAAGCTCTGTAGATTTTTTAATGAAACTATAAAATAAGCAAAACTAATATATATATAATGTATATCATTTCCATCAAACTAAACTTTCTGAGCTCATGTTTATTGTGGATTGATGTCAATATGAAGGATTATGTCCACTATGAGCATGTATCATATGCCATTTCGGTATTTTCTCTAATAATGAAATAATGATGATAAAGTGGGAAAAAACCTCTATGATCACAAAATGTTCAAAAGATAAACAGACGGCCACAGTTTGTTATATTTATTATGAAATTATCTGAAATTAGTTGATATTACCTGAAACAAGTCAATATTTCCTAATTCACTAAGCCAGTAATCCTTAGATTACTAGTCATGTTAACTAATTGACCACATGAAATTTAGAATGTTATTCATCCCCTGACAATAATAGTATTAATCATTACACCACCTTAAAACAAGGGGAATTGTACCTTTAGAAATGCCATTAAGCAAACTCCAAAGTCAAGACATACATGTATGTCATGCAATCAAAATTTTTCAGAAATACAACAATTTTGGACTAGTTTTAATACTTACATCATCTTCTATACTAAACAATTTTGCAACAACAAACTTGAATCCAACTGTCCCTACACCCAACATGGCTCCTTGACTAATCTATAAATAAATCCAACGTAAATAATTCAGATTAAAATAATGCAAATGCAATATAAATCACATACAACGTCTACTTTTAGTAAGAGACCACTAAATGTATTTTTGAAGGTTTGTTTTGCTATCAACAACATGTACTACATACCTTGTGTAACTTTCAATGATTAAAGACAAAAAATCATCCTGCACTATAAAGAAATGAAGAAAAGATCACAAAAAAACACAAAGCGCCAAAGAAAAAGTTACAACAATTCCATGTAAAACTGTGGTATGTTCCATACTTATTGAATTCAATATACTTTCCTCAAAAGAAGCAAACAAACCTTCTTTCAATAATATGTCATATCAAACAATTTTTGCATTCAAATTAGTAATACAATACTAAAAAAAGTACCAAAGAACACTAATTTATACAACACTACTCTGATATCATGATAATCTTTAACAGTGTAACAGTTGTGCATTTCTAAACTGTTTATTATTCAATGTAGTGAACAGGAACTAAAATTATATATAATATTCAGTTTCAGTTTCAAACAAAGTGTTACGATTTATATACTTCAGCAAATTAAAACAAGAGGGCCATGATGGCCCTGAGGTCGCTCACCTGTATATAGGCCCCCAACCCCCACCCCCACCCCTCCAACGTTGCAGGGCCAATTTAACCCAAGGGCTTTTATTTGCACAAACTCGGTAGACACCCATAAGAAGATGTTTCATGCTAAACATCTAAGCTCTAGCTCATTGGGCTTTATTGAAAGAAAATTTTTTTAAAGTTTTTACTACATGTATACACATATAGTTAAAAGCAATGACACCCCTGGGGCCGGGCCAGTTTTGACCCCAGGGCTTTTATTTGAACAAACTTTGTAGACACTTACTAGAAGATGTTTCATGCTTAATATCTAAACTCTAGCTATTTGGGTTTTTTCAAAGAAGATTTTTAAGTTTTTGCTATACACATATAAAGAAAATCAATGACCCCCGGGGCGGGGCCAATTTTGACCCCAGGTCTTTTATTTGAACAAACTTTGTAGACACTCACTAAAAGATGTTTCATGCTTAATATCTTAACTCTAGCTATTTGGGTTTTTTCAAAGAAGATTTTTTAAGTTTTGCTATACACATATAAGGAAAATCAATGACCCCCGGGGCGGTGTACCAATTTTGACCCCAGGGCTTTTATTTGAACAAACTTGGTAGACACCTATTAGAACATGTTTCATGCTCAATATCTAGCCATAGCTCTTTGATTTCTTTAAAAGAAGATTTTTTAAGTTTTTTACTATATGCATATAGGGAAAATCAATGATCCCCCGGGCGGGGCCAATTTTGACCCCAGGGCTTTTATTTGAACAAACTTGGTAGACACTTATTAGAACATGTTTCATGCTAAATATCTTAGCTTTAACTCTTTTGGTTCTTTAAAAGAAGATTTTTTAAGTTTTTACTATATGCATATAGGGAAAATCAATAACCCCCTGGGGTGGGGCCAATTTTGACCCCAGGGCTTTTATTTGAACAAACTTGGTAGACATCTATTAGAACATGTTTCATGCTCAATATCTTAGCCATAGCTCTTTGAGTTCTTTAAAAGAAGATTTTTTAAGTTTTTACTATATGCATATAGGGAAAATCAATGACCCCCCGGGGCGGGGCCAATTTTGACCCCAGGGCTTTTATTTGAACAAACTTGGTAGACACCTATTAGAACATGTTTCATGCTAAAAATCTTAGCTCTAGCTCTTTTGGTTCTTTAAAAGAAGATTTTTTAAGTTTTTACTATATGCATATAGGGAAAATCAATGACCCCCCGGGGCGGGGCCAATTTTGACCCCAGGGCTTTTATTTGAACAAACTTGGTAGACACTTATTAGAACATGTTTCATGCTAAATATCTCAGTTTTAACTCTTTTGGTTCTTTAAAAGAAGATTTTTTAAGTTTTTACTATATGCATATAGGGAAAATCAATGACCCCCCTGGGGCGGGGCCAATTTTGACCCCAGGGCTCTTATTTGAACAAACTTGGTAGACACCTATTAGAACATGTTTGATGCTAAATATCTTAGCCATAGCTCTTTGAGTTCTTTAAAAGAAGATTTTTTAAGTTTTTACTATATGCATATAGGGAAAATCAATGACCCCCCGGGGCGGGGCCAATTTTGACCCCAGGGCTTTTATTTGAACAAACTTGGTAGACACCCATTAGAACATGTTTCATGCTAAATATCTTAGCTGTAGCTCTTTTGGTTCTTTAAAAGAAGATTTTTTAAGTTTTTACTATATGCATATAGGGGAAATCAATGACCCCCCGGGGCGGGGCCAATTTTGACCCCAGGGCTTTTATTTGAACAAACTTGGTAGACACTCACTAGAAGATGTTTCATGCCAAATATCTAAGCTCTAGCTCTTATGGTTTTTTAAAAGAAGATATTTAAAGTTTTTTCTTTTGGTTGCCATGGCAACCAGAGTTCTGCATGGAATTAAATTCTTTGAACAATTTTTAAAGGTGACCACCAAAGGAACATTCCTGTGAAGTTTGGATGAAATTGGCTTAGTGGTTTATGAGGAGATGTCATTTAAAGTAAAAGTTTACGGAAGGACGACGGACGGACGCCGGACGGACGAAAAGCGATCACAAAAGCTCACCCTGTCACTTTGTGACAGGTGAGCTAAAAATAAATTCAGATTCTGGTCATATAGCAATGTTCCTATAGGACTAAGACCTAAAACACATCCAGTGCATTATATGAGACAAAAGAAGGCATCTGAGTAGAACCACCAACCTTCCTAAGCTAGCTGAAATGCTTTCTAATATGAAGGAATTCAAAGATCCTTGCACAGAGGTTCAAGATCAAACTGTTGTTTTAAGTATAATTATGTAATAGAAGCTAAAGGTATAATAATTACCTACCCATATTAAAGGGCGTATACGAAGAGTCTCAAGCACTGGTTCTATATACACTATACTCTGAAATAGTAAAACATTAAGTTTATTATTCATTATTCAATCATAAAAACTAATATTCAGCCAAGGTTTTAAGTACATGTGTACTAGATTATCAAATACCCAATTTTAATACAATACTTTACATCTTTCATTCTAAATAAAAATGAGGCTTGTTTACACCACGATTATGATAATTTGTTTATTTGATTTATAATTAAAGGCTTTGAAACTTTTAAAATGTCAGATATACCTATCTCATTACTTTGAAAACAAGGGAAATCAATGTTTATCATTTCTGCCTCTCTAGTGAATGTAAAGAGATTGTGAAATATAGAAGGCATTTTGTGATTATGAATTTACTTTGCACAAAAGTCACTTGTTTTACACCTTAAATAAGTTAAAACAAATTGCTTTTTACTTTTAAAGTTAACATTGCTTTCCCTTATTTTCATAGAAGAAGTAAAAAGAGAGACAGAACTACATGTACTCAAGTTTTGATGACAAGATAGGATTTTGTTTATTTAGGGAGAATGAGGAATACTTACAGTAATTGTCAGCAGACCAGAGAAAAAGAATGAGGTCAATAACATCTCGTTGCCAAACAGCAGAACATAGCTTACAATAAACCCACTCTGCAAAGCAATAACAAACATGATAATGCACAAACAAGTTAATTCATCAATCAAGCCCCCAACCCTTTAGGGCAAGGGTATTTAAAACAGAATTATCACATTTCGCAATCTGACAGTCTCCTCAAGATGGGTTTTTCATTTTGGTTTTCACACTGTTAGGCTGAGATGATGCAATTTCTTGCATATCAGACAGGATTATCTCTGTTTACTGGTGCTAGAGAAACCTGTCTTACACCCCCATGTAAGACAAGTTGCGTGCTTTAAATGACGTCACTGTCGCGCACCTTTAATGAATGAATTGCATTTTTAGGATGACGTCATTTACTGTTATGAATCAAAGTTGTAAGTTCTTACGCTACTATAAGAAAAAAGTGTGTAATGAGATTATCAGTTTTGGTAATTTCTGTTCTGAAAAAAAAAAAGATATGTAATATGCAAGAAAAATAATAAAACACAGGCTGTTGGTACAGACAGGAATATCTAGCTCTTGGGTAACTGTTTAGCGGAAACTCTGCAGAGCCTTGTTACCACCATAAACTGTTACCCTTGAGCTAGATATTCCGGTCTGTACCGGCAGCCAGTGTAAGATTCTTATATTCATATTACTTTAGTTTAGCATTATTTACAAAATCAATTTTAATTTACTGTTTAGTAGTTCCATGAATTGCATATGTATACATACCCCTATTCCAAGTAGAAAAACTTTCATTTTACGGGATCCAATATAACCTAGCACATATGTGGCAAAAACTGCAATCATTTCTGTTAGTAGGGCGAATTGAGCAAACTGAAAATACAGCCGAAAATTTGTAAAATATAAAATACCAAATATATGTGGGAAAAACATATAGGCTGCCATAAATATTGTTTTGGAACCTGTTAATCTAACAAATTTATTTTCTTAATCATCAGTATTTAAGAATACATGTAATTTATTGTTTAAAACACATCTTAAGACTGTAAATGTCAGTCTAGAATTAACTTTTTTTTGCTTTTTCTTCATTTATATTGTTTATATTCAAATAGTGTCATGTACTTCAGATCTGTTTTATCCTTTTCCAGGGTGTTTGTTTTGCATCACATTGGATATATGTCTTGCACAAAAAAACCTTTATTTCCTTCACGTGTGAGTGCCATTTAAATCCACTTTAACACAATTTTGGCAATATCTCAGCTGTCCCATCTACCTGGAACTTTACTGAATAACTAACCAGTAATTGATGATTTCACAACTTATCGTACATTTTTGAATTAACAGTGAGAGACAAATGACTATTTTACTCAACGTCTGTGATCAATTTTTATATAAAAAATTTCACCAAGCCTGCAGATCAAAACAAGCGACTCTGTACTATAAATATCAAGCTCTTCTCATTGAGTTAATTGGTAGACAGCTTCGTCACTTTATTATAAAGCTAACAATAGCAATAATATAACTTCTAAAAAGGGTAGAGTGAGACAGCCTTTATCATTATTCTTACAATTATAATAAAATACTAATGTTTACCTGCCATGGTAACATGAATAAAATGGTTGCTATGGCAATAGGTAGACTGTGTTTAAATGTTGGCGCTGATGTCCTGAAATGTATTACATAATGCCAATATTGCTCAAAATATGAATTAAACTTATTAAAATTTAGATATGAACTAAGAGTAAAAATTAGTAATTTTATAGAATGTATTGTTTTTTTTCATTACCTGTCAATTAAAACTGCTTTACATTCATTAATTGCAATATTCACTTTTTGCTGTATTTCACATTTTATTATTATGTGTAATATTTATTGATAGTTTGAGCTTCATTTATTAGGCATAATTTAAGCATAATTATGACTTAAAGAAATAAAGAGAAATAAAAAAATGTTTATTTACTCTGTAAATGTACACACATTGCAAAATTTTTACAAAACAAAATTATCAATGAATCTAAAATTTACTTTTTTTCTCTCAAAGACGTCATAATTACAATGGTAAAAAATATATATCATAAACATGCAAACACAATAGATCAATGTTATACCTGAGAAGATGGGTGACTAAAAACATCTGAATGACAAGAAACGGGTAGGCAAAACTTTCTCTTAATGGTGGTGTCCACTGTACTCTTGTTGCCTGAAGAAAGAAATATCACTTTTAATACCAGTACTTGTTTTTTATGAATTATCTTTCAATAACATTATTTATGCCATCTTTATTTTTCTTTTTATGTTTTGACTTCATAAAAAGTAAGCACTCAAAATTGAATATTGAAGAGTTTTGCATTTGTTGTTTGCAGTTAAATAATAAAAGTATTTTGATGTCAACACACATTGAAATAATGATGCAAAGACTGCACTACTTATCTAACTATAAGATGAATGAGAAAAACTAGAAGTCAAAATCTGATATTCAATTTATTCTCCTATAAAAAACCAAAATGGCTTTAATTAAATATGTATCTTTATTACAAAGAATTCACAACACTACAATGCACTAGTGGAATGCATCTTTAAGAGTTCCTGAAAATTTATGAAATAGTGAAAACAATGCTTATCTTGTACATTCTGCATCAAATTTTTTGTTATTGTTCCTAATAAAGAAAGTCACATGACAAAATATATTCTCAAAGAAGATTATAAGAACATTCTTATATTCTAAAATCTTATCACAAATTTTGTTATGACCAAATTTGTAATATTTATCATAGGTCAATAACATGTTCACCAAAATAACATAGCTTTCCATTGTGATCTGTTGACAACATTCATGTTACAAAACTGTTAAGATATTGTTGACATACATACATGTACATTTATACACATAGAATTATGTAAGTGTAAAAACCATACCTCGCCGTGATTAAAGAAAAATGATGCCACTGTTAGTATCCCTCCAAACATGCTTCCACTGTAAACAAACAGTCAAACCAACATGTAAACCCACTATACTAAATGCAAACCAGATTGTAATCACACTTTTCAAAATCCCAACCCATTTGTGATCAATATGTTTTAGAATCAAACCAGATTGTAATCACACTTTTCTAAATCCCAACCCGTTCGTGATCAATATGTTTTAGAATCAATCCAGATTGTAATCACACTTTTCTAAATCCCAACCCGTTCCTGATCAATATGTTTTAGAATCAAACCAGATTGTAATCACACTTTTCTAAATCCCAACCCGTTCGTGATCAATCAGTTTTAGTTTCAAACCAGATTGTAATCACATTGTTTTAAATTCAAACCAATTCATCATCAAACTGTTTTTATATTCAACACCGATTGAAATCACACTGTTTCAAAGTCTAACCAGACTGTAGCAAAACTGTTTCAAATCAAAACCAGTGTATAATCACACTGATCTAAATTCAAACCTGGTTGACATCACACTATTATTCATTCAAAACAGGTTGTAAATTCAAATCTGAATGTAATCACAATGTTTTAAATTCAAACCAGGTTGTACTCACACTGTTCTAAAGTTTAATCATGTGTTATCCCACAACTGCAAACTTAAAACACATGTGAAACATTTATCATAAATAAAACTCAACAATATATGTAACATCACAACCTCAAACTTTGAACACAAATAATCCCACAATTTTTAACCTAAAACATATAAATAGTATACAAGAAGGGCCAAAATCCTCACTAGAGGGTACGTAGTATACAGTTATTTCATGGGTGTTTTAGGATCAGTTAAAACTGTTGCCCCGACGTATCAGCGTTGACATTTGGAACTTTTGCCAGAGGCTACTATGTTCTTAAACAGACAAGAATAGTTTAAGCTGTTTTTTAGAGGACTATCAAAGGACCATTCCTATTGAGTTTTATAAAAATCTACGAACAACCAGCGTGATACCAATGGCACACCTTGAATCCTTACTCAACAAATAATGTACAATTAAAATTTTACACTTCAAACAATTATCTTATATTGTATTCTGATGGTTTAAAATTAAAATATGGTGTCATATTACTAACAATTAAAATTTTAAGTATAAAAAACTTTAAAAAATAAAAACTTTGTAAGCGGACAGTAATCAATCAAAAACTTATATAATATCTTTTCCCATGATAAAAAGTTTAAAATATTCATACATGTAATTAAATTTAAAACATATATTGTCACCCAGGTGCAGTAATGGGTTAACTCCTATTGCATTTTTATAGGAGTTAACCTGTTACTGCACTAAGGTGACAATAATAATCCCATATAAAACACATACATGTATCATGATTTTTGTCAGAATTAAATTCTACTTAAAAAAAATCAATCCCACAAGTTTTATAAATTGTAAAAAGAAACACAAACAAGAGCTGTCCGTAAGACAGCGCGCTCGACTTTTTTATTGCTTGCCAATAAAAAAAGTTTTTGCAGTAAAAGGCAATACAAGAATCTCTGTATTTTTAAAGTGAACTAGTTGTTTGATACCCTTGAATATTACAGCAATGTTTATATGACATAATTTATGGTAAAGTGAACAAGTGGATAGGAATGAATTTTTTTAGATTTTTTAAGTTTTTTAGTGCTTGCCTATAATACAAAACATTGACAGTTAAGGGCCATAATTCAAATAAAATCTTTGACAGAATTACCTTCTCCTGGACATGTTTGGGAATCATGATTGTAAACAAGTATTCCAACTTTCAAATTAATATCTCAAACAGTTCAGTCAAAAAGTGGACTGGTACTAAAAACTTAACCAAGATTCTAAGTCGATAAAAGGCCTTAATTTTTAAAACAAATCCTTGACAGAGTTACCTTCTCTTGCGTACAGATGGGGGTAATGATGTGAAATAGCATTAAAAGTTTCAAAGCAATATCTCAAAGGGTTAAGGCAATAAGTGGATTTTACCCATATTCAATGTATTTTCTAAGTCAAAAAGGGGCATAATTCTGTCAAAAACCTTGACAGAGTTATGTCCTCTTGTCTGTTGATGAAGGTCGTGATGGTAAACAAGTATGGTCAGTTTCAAAGCAATACCTCCAATGGTTTTGAAAAAAAGTGAGGTGGTACAAAAAACTTAACCAAGCTCAATACACTTTCTAAGTCAAAAAAGGGCCATAATTCTGTCAAAAACCTTGACAGAGTTATGTACTCTTGTCTGTAGATGGAGGTTATGATGGTGAACAAGTATGGTAAGTTTCAAAGCCATACTTGTAATACTTCTGAAATAAAGTGGGGTGGTACGAAAAACTTAACCAAGGTGTGACGCCAACGCCGACGCCGACGCCGGGGCGAGTAGGATAGCTCCCCTTTTCATAGAAAAGTCGAGCTAAAAAACAGACTTCATGTAGATACAAATATTTTAAATTAAATGTAAGACGTGCAATGATTTAATCACAGAGTGACATTTTACTTTCAATTAAGTATAAATTAGAAACATGCCAAGATTTTAAGCCCAGGTGATCTGATCTAAGTGAAGTAAGAAGTGAATAAACCAATAATAAGTGAAATTTTCAGTACCAGCATTCAGCTTAACCCTTAACCTTCCAATTTGCCTTTACCATCAGTACAGTGCCAGGCCAGCCTGTACATCCCTGCAGTCTTGTTAGTTTTTCTATTCTAATATGTTCTTCTATGACATTAAAATCCCTTAAACTTTCAATAGAGCGATCAGTCTTAATTCAAAGCTTAGCAAATTATTCCATCCTACAAAGTCAGCAAGTTTTAATCCATAACCTGCTGAATTTCTTAAAATGGACCAGTCCACCTTTCATTTTAGAAACTGTCTATTATCAATTCAAGGGATATCAAGTTGGAATTTTTCAGTCAGTTGACCAACAATAAAGAGCATAAATATCTAGGCTGGCCTCACTCTGAACATGTGGCAAAGGCTAATTGTCTTTGGCTCAAGCAAGATTAGGGTTGAGAAAATCATGTATCCCATACATCAAAAGCTTGAACAAGTTTTGGCAAACTTAGGTAACATGACATTATCATGTTTCTATATATACAGACCAGACTTTGCAACACTACAGGAAAACTTTTGAAAAAAACAAAAATTGAAATTTATATATAGAAATGTTATCATTAATATAAAATGAAAACTTGTTAATTTTTCTTATCTTTTCTTATTTTTCATAGATAAATCATGCACAACATTTTGTAATGATAACAGGCATTCTCTTAAATTGATTGACATGTTTGTTTGGCAAAAATTACAGTGACTGACTGACACTATGCTATACAAAATTGCTGAAATTTGTCAAACATTATCCAAGCTTAAGACGAGAGTATCACCTTCAGATAAGGACCTTATAAATCAGAATCAATCAGCACAAATATTTCCCAAAAGTTTAACACCCACAATGCAGTGCTACACTTACCTGAGGTAGGTGCCGAACAGAAAGAATATGGACATCATCATTCCATTCAATATGAACACATGTTCCACATAGAAATATGACGGCTCACCCAAACCTGAATGTACAGTATTTGGTTTAATCATAACATGTGTACATCAAATACATGTTTGCTATGTAATTGCCTCTCTTTTAAACGTCGGTAAAGAATAAGAAATCAGAAGCCTATGAAAACCAGAAATAATTTGTTTTATATATGTATTACTTACATGACTAGATAAACAAAATTATCAATCAACTGTTGATTATATGTCAATTTGTTTTAGATCGAATGTGTTTTAAGATATAAGATTGTTGAAATACTCTTGAATCTGTTCCTAGAAAAAACAAGTACTACATGTAAAGTTTTTGCTCATGGAAACAACAGCTTGCCTTTGACAGGGTTTGAACCTATGTGGCTAGCAATCCTTAGATGTTAGCCATGCCACCACTAATATCCCATCATTTATCTACTCTTCCTTAAAACTGGTAGTTTAGTGTAACTTATCGCTTATGTTACATGAACCAAACCTGTAACAGTGGGTATGTAAGTAAACAATTTTTTTTTATAAATTATTTAGCATGCAAAACATTTGGGTTTTTATTAATAAAGTACCCACACATGTAAATTTTCATGGGTGACCTTTATGCATATGGAGAATAACAAGGAATGGAAATTTTATTGATCTATTCAACAAACCTTCGCAACTTTGGACGGGACTAAGACCTTCTCCACGATTTACACGCCAACACATTTTTGTAGGTCTATTAAATGCTGCATTAATAGCTTCATATGCTCGATAACCAATAGCTAAAGCTACCTACAAAACACAGATATGACAAATATATCTAATTAAATATAGTTAGATATTCAATTTATAACGGAAAAAAGTTTAACTTATGATTCACAGAATGATGTAAATAAATTCTTCTTAGATTTCTGATATATGTACAGTATATTGATCAGAAGATCCAATTAATAAGATTAATGTGATACTTCAACTTAAAGTTATTTAACTATGAACAAAAAAATTATGTAAAATCAAGTGATTATTTATTTTCTACAGTTGATAATATGATAGTTTTATGATATTAGTTATAATGATTTTTGACAGGTTATATGGCCCTTTATAAACTATTGTTTGGAAATATAACCCAAGCCACTAGGTGAGGGTTATATTGCAAACATCTGTTTATATAGGGCCATATAACATGTCAGAAATATTTATAACAAATTTATAAAACAGCAAATAAGCATCTTTTTTTTAGAGAAAAAAGTGAGATTCTTCGTAAATTAACAGCAGCTGTGTATATAAAATTTTATAATATGTTACAATTATCCATTGCATAGCAATGTTACAAACATGCAGTATTATAAGAATACATGACTGTATATTTATCAATTATCTACTGTATATACTAATTTAGAACAATTAATGGTTGAACCATCTAAAGCAATAGATATTTAAATTAAAACTAAATCCAAATTTATTTCAATAAAATGACAAAACAAGTGGATTTTTAAAACAATTCACATGTAACTTTGTCTGGCAAAATTTCTTTGATGGAAAAGTCAAAGTCCCCTTCCCCAAGTTTAAATCAATCTATGTGCCCTATGGTGTATTATTTTAAGTTATCAAGCAGGTAGATACAAGTAGAACCACATACATTACAAGCTTGTTGAGTTGCCACCTCACATTAAATAATTCAAGTTCATGACATTGTTGGAATCCAAAGCAGTGAGAGGCAACAGATTTATATTCAGTGACATACTTGATGTATGAAATACCTTAACTCTCTGCCATGGTGGCCCTAATATGATACAATAATGAATTCCGGTGAGTTCAACTTACCTCTGGGTATAAGTTAAATCTTTTAAGAGTATTAATTGTGAGAGGAAACTCTGTGATGTTGTCATTCATGACCTGGTATAAACCATCTGTAAATGTTGGTGATTCTATCATAGTCTTGTAGTAAGAGTAGTACAGACCCTACAATATAAAACAATATTCTTTAATCGTCACTTGAATAGAAGACTCGTGTTGATAAGGATACAGAGTAGCATTTTAGTGGAATAAGGTATTTCGAAATCAAAATACTATTACTTTGCAGCCACATATGCAGTCACTAGGTCTGATTTTTTTCCACAAGTGGAAATGAAAATCCCCCCCCCCCCCCCCACACACACACAAAGGAGCATTTATAATGCCTGCAAGCACAGTCAAGCAGAATTAATTTTTCCCTCCCCTCACCATGATGCAACTTTTCCATTTCCATGATCTTGCCATCATTTCATCCCCCCAAAAAGCACTGCTTTGTAAATATTATCTTTTACCACCTAAATAGAACAAAAGAAAAACCAAAAACCAATTTTTCAGCAAGTATGACATAATTACAAAAAAATTTGGAAAGGAAAAATGCAATTGAGCAGAGTTTAAGCCAAGAAGACTTTATAAAATATTAATCCATGTAAATAAATTATAATAAACACTTGGCTAGAGTTAAAGCAAAGAGCCTTTTGTAAAATATTAATCCATATAAATTAACAAACAAAATAAACAAGCATCTGTTAATAACCTTGAGGTCATAGATGGAGACAACGTTCAATAATTATGTTCAGAAGAATGCCATTACTGTTATTAAACATGTAACATGATCCGAACATTGCATGCTCCCAGTCTGTTAAAGCTACATTTAAACCTATCATGTATCAAAGGTGTGTGAAACCTACGCCATACCCTTGTCAATAACAATAGTTTAATCTCTACATCAAATCAACATACATCAACGATAGCATTGTAAATTTTACTAGATATGAATCAAAGAGTAATAAATTATACAATTAAGGATATTTACTAACAGTTTTAAAACAAAAACCTTTATCATTAAAAGATAACCACAATAGTATAACCAGTGAAACATAAAAATAAACATCCATTTAAATACATGGAATGTTAATAAACATTTTGGTATTATGACAATTCTTTAATTATTTGTTGTTTTCTTTTCTAGTCAAAAGGCTTATTTCTTTAAAATAATTCTAATTAGTTAAAAAATACATTTGATGACAGTAGTTAAAATGTGGCTTAAAATAAAATGTATGTGAATTTTTATGATCGAAGATTCATGAAAGAAGTACATGTATCTAGTAATTTATTTTACAATTTAAGAATTCAAATGAAAAGGTTTCTTATGTTCTTCTAGTGTATGCAAGACTTGAGGCCTTTTGGTATTCTAATCTAAAACTATTTTTTTCTACAAATAAAAAGGAAAAAATTGTTTAAGTTAAAATATCATTAAATTGTTTGTTTTTGTTTTGAGACTATGTTTGTACAATGCAATGGTGAGCCATTACGCACAGATATATCCAAATTCTGCTTGACAATTGAAAGCATTTGGAATAATGTGAACCATAACAATTAGGTAGGCTCTGAATCAACGGTTTCTAAGCCATAAATCAAGTTATCTATGCTCCATAAATCAAGTTATCTATGCTCCATAAATCAAGTTATCTATGCTCCATAAATCAAGTTATCTATGCTCCATAAATCAAGTTATCTATGCTCCATAAATCAAGTTATCTATGCTCCATAAATCAAGTTATCTATGCTAAAACTTAATCACTTAAAAGCAAAGTTTTTGTTTGGGAAATATAAGTCAGTTTTTCTGGAGAAGGAAGACCATAGAAGCCCCTCATTGCATTATTTCAGGCAAGATTGATACCAAAGAAGAACCACTGACCTCTAGCAAGCTAGCTAGACGGCTTTCTAGCATCATAAGATCCAAAGTCCCTGGCAGTGTTTAAGCCAACAGCAGTGTGGGCATTGTGTTTAAAACATATTCAGCACTAATCTATGCATGGTCCAACTGTAATTCAAAAATATCTACTGAAATTGATGAAAATCTGTAAGCATACCATTTCTGTTCTAAAGGCGAGCTCTCTCTCTAGTGTTGACAGATGGGAAAAATGTCTATCTCTTTCAAACATATTAGCTATGTGATTTCTGAAAACAAAATGTAAAAAACATTTACATATTAATAATATCAAAAAAAAATATTTAGTGTTCACAATCGAGCTTAAACATATTCATTTAAGCTCCATAAATCATTGCGAAACAAATTCTTGATTCTTTACTCATACCTGTCATTTATAACTGATATTAGATAACAAAATATTTTCAGTGTGATTGAAAGATATACTTAATTATAGTACATCAGCACAATATATGCAACTTCTATTGTCAGAGCAAAATTAACTGACTTTGACAGGAAATTCCACAGTATTACAGCAAGTTATAAATACTTATAAATATAAGCCAAATCCAAGTATTCAAGTTCAAATATAAATATGTTTAATAATTTTTGATAATAATAAATTATTTACCTGTGACAAAATCCAATCACCAAAGCTGCAAGATAAAGAATAGCTACTCAGTACAGATTAAATTTAACTTAAATATATATACAATCTGACATCACAGTTTCAATTCATAACAGAAAAAAAGTGAGTTACAGAGTTAATTAGCCATAATTCAATAACAAATGTTTTTTATCACAGTCATTTGTAACCTGCTGGTATTAATATTCACATGTTGGAGAAATAAAATTAGCAAATCTTTTCTTTGACTGAGGTACAGCTGTCATCGTAAAAATGATATCATTTAAAAAAAAAATTATTAATTTGAACAAATTCATATTATTGGCTCACTAGGAAGTTGGCTCATTAGGAAGTGGCTAGCCGTACCGGCCAGTACGGCTAGCCAAAAGTTCTAGCCATACATGAGTCACGTACTGCTAGTCTGGACACACTGCATTGTCTAGTCGTACGGCACTTTTCAAAATTATATGAAAGTCGAAAATGCATATGTTTTTTATGGTTTGAACGAGGATTTTAACCAGGAAACAGCAATTGTCTTCGTATTTTTACTTTTTTAGAGATGTTGGCTAAATACAGAATCATATTGATCGTTGTCATCTCCAGATGGCGTGTTTAGGTGCAGTTAAATAACATTGTAATATATAATTATTATAAAGGTCCTTTTTTGGTTCAATAAGTTTAATTTTCAACACCTTTAATAATGAAAAAGCACTGAAAATAATTGTTGTTGTGTTCTGATAATTGCGTCAATTACTGACAGTAGAAGTTTGTCCATCATTATACAGTAAGGAAAGTTTGCATTTTCCGTATGTGAAATGCATTCTAAAAGTCCTAATAAGTCTCTGTACTATAGGCTTTAATTTAGGCTAATTGATTTTGATTTTATGTTCAAAATTTATCTATTTAAAAATACAATTATAGCAATTGCTATAAGTTGCTCATATTTTTTTCAATGTCCCAAACATGTGAACTTTTTTCAATGATCAAGTGGGAGATTTTTCTTCAAAAAGAGGGAGATTTTAGAATTTGCAATAACCAAAGAAGGAAGTTCTGAAATCAAAAATGGGTAGATTTCTTGAATTTGTAAAAATACCCCTTCTTTTAAGAAAATTCTTTGAAAATATGGCTGCAGAAAGTGGTAGTCTCCCGCTAAAAGTGGGAGATTTCACATGTATGATGTCCTATTTATTTATTCATTCCATTCTGTTCATGCCGTTATGAAACAAGCTTCTTTGGCCGTTATGATTATTCATTCCATGTGCTTAAATTTATCAACAAAAATTGATTTAATAATTCATCTTTATTACAAAAAAAACAACAACAAATCTTATATAATCATAAAAAACAAAAACATTATAACTTAAACTATTTATTATTTAATCATAGTTACTTTGCATACGCATATACAATGTACTTTGTATAGTGCGTTATGTCACTATAATTGACACTTTTATTGATAAAGTTTAGGGACAAACGCAGGTCCTTGGTTAAAATCCTTGTTTCAAGACGCAAAAGAACATATGCATTTTCGACTTTCATATAATTTTAAAAAGTGCCGTACGGCTAGAAAGTATACAGTGTGTCCAGGCTAGCTGTACATGACTCACATACGGCTAGAACTTTTGGCTACTTCCAATAACTTAATTTATGATAGCTCTTCATTATGGAGACAACCGGATCTTTCAGTGGTGCTTATTGTCTCAAGTGTAAAGAACCATTATAATTCTTATTCAGGAAGAAAAATAAATTTGAACTTCAGGAAATACTTGCAATTATATTATTTATTGAAATAAAAACAAGTTGTCAAAATTCTTCCAATAAGTACAAGGGAAAGTTAAATAAAGTTTTTATTTTTTAATTCACGACAAGCTATTATAATTATGATAGACAGAAGAACAAATAAGTCGAGTAGAAGAAAATGATGCCTACCCAATGCAAACAAGCAAATCTTGTACAGTACTGAGTTGGCATTCCTCTTAGAATGTTCATCATCTTTTGACTTTGCTTTCCCGCTTAATTTTGGTCTATTAGTTGCTTTACTAGAACTAGATTTTCCATTTGAAGCATCGGTACTTTGGGCATTTCGTTTCTTTGCAGCCATTGTTGATGTCGTGTAATTGACAGATGACTGGTTCTCCGATCGCAATATACAAGGCTTGTCTGCGACATAGTAATTGTAAAACTGCAAACCCGTCTAAAATTCAATTAACCATTTCCGCTCGTTTCAACACGCACCTGCTTACGGAAAATACCTTATATGGAAGTTTCCGTCGTGTCTCAGGGTAACAAGGAAGTTTACACCTGTTCGGAAAAGTAATGGTGTACAGGGAATAATGTATAAAATTGCATTGGAGATTTAATGGCTAAACTTAAGTGACAGTTTTAGATTTCCATTAGATAAACTTGTATATGCTAGAAAATTATACTTTTTAATCTTAATCATGACAGAAGTAATTTCTTCAGGCCCTGTCTTAGCAGATTCTACTTTTAGAAGTAGACCACATTTTAAAACCTATCTTTACACTGATGCAAATGCAGGTGGTCATGCTGTGCATCAGATTGAGGAAAAGAGGCGCATACGGCACATGAAATTTCCCTCATTAACTGGTCGCCAGGATGTAGACTCTTTTCAGGAAGATTTGAAAAACATATCATTTAAAAAATGGAATGATAATGGGGATCATAGGGCTGAAGCACCATACCGTAGTTACGATAACATTGTTGACCCTGTATCAGGTTTTGTCAGTGCTGGTGGGGATGTTGATCGCAACACGGGTCACCAGAAAATTAAATCTTTAGTTCAATTAAGTGATACTCCTCAATCTGCACCGCCCGTAGCAAAAGACTCGGATAGGAAGAATGAGAGGGCTGCGCCCCCTGAGCTGCGTCGATCCAATACCTATGAGCCAGGTGCACCCTCTGCATGGAATAGCAGAAAAACATCTGACATATGGATAAGATCACAGCTAGGTGGTGGGTATTAATATATTAGATATACTGTTGTATTTAGTATGCACATTTGCACATCTTTATAGAATTGATCCCAGTTTTAATAATTTTAAGCAATTTTTAAGAATTCTATTCATTTGTTAAGACTGATTTACATCATAATTTAAAGTGACAGATTTGGGCTGACACATAACATACATGTAGTAACACTGTCTATGCTGCAATGTTGATTTATATATAATATTGGCTGTTTTGATTACTAATTAATACAAATCACGAGTTTCACCAAGTAGACAATTAATGCTAAAATTTAGATTATATTGTCTGTTTTTGATACTGATATAAGCAGACAAGGTGCCACAAGATACATGTAGCTCTAATAAAATTAAATATTGGGTAACATCAGCATAGACAAAAAATCAACACAGTCCTCAGGGAACTTACAAATTATTTATTATGTGTATGATTTTGCAATTACATTTGAAGCTGAAATTTTTATTTGCTCTTTTACTTCAATTGTGCGTGTAAGTAAATATGTATCACCTTGGCGAATCTGAAATTATTTTAAAGAAAAAACACCTCATAAATAACTATGGCAACAAATGTTTTTAATGATATAAAATTTAAGGTATGAGCCTCCTAATGGGCACTATAAGGAACTATAAAATTGACAACATAGGTCAGTTATATACCTTAAAAGACACAAGAATGCAAAATTTAAACAAAGTTTACCGTATGGTTTGCAAGTTAGGGAGATTTTTCTAAAGTAAAACTTGGCTATTAGAAGGGCTCTTTTTTAGAAATTAGAAACTCTAATTATTCTATTATATAATCATTATGAAATAATGTTTTCCTATAGAAAATATTTTAGAAACAAATAATAGCATTCAGCTAACAAATGACCCATCAAAATTATTGTTTCTACTCAAAATGTTTGAAATATGTATATAAATGTTATCCTACCCCACCCATTTTAAGTAGTTGTTTGATCATTTGTCTACTTGGAGGGCCTTATTCAAAATATCCCTAAAATTTACTCAAATCAGGGGCTGTTTTCAAAGTTTGGATAAATTTTCTTAAAAGTATATTGGATGCACTTGTCAAATATAAAATACTTTTACCGTCTTGTTTTTATTTTATTAGACTTTGAAAATATCAGGTACCATATTTTATAATAAATTTTGCACAATTTAGAAAAAAAAATACCAATAATAATCTTATAATTTAAATGAAACACTTTTTTCTTATCAAGAGTGATCTGAGAGACACAAAAAATGATCAAAGAAAAAAAAAAAAAAGAAAAAAAAAGTTGCCTCTTCTGGGGCTTGAACCAGCACCCCTCAGTTTCAATGCAGTTGACAGTAGTTCTAGCCTATTTGAGTACTCTTCAAAGTGGAGGTAATGCATTAGGTGGCTCATACCTTAAATGATAAATATCAGATGTATCAAATATTTCACAGTTGCACACAATCAATACATGGTATAATCTGATGTAGCAATGGTCTATTGACATTTTAAGAATTCACAATAGCAGTCTAATATATTCAAATCAATTATTGAACCATCTTTAATTTACAGATAGAAATATACAAAGTAAAGTGTTTTGTTTTGGTATTTATTGTGATCTTATATCTTAAGTAGGACATGCAGTATCTGTTGTAAATTTAAGATAATGATTTACTGGTAATATCAATTTACCGTATGTATAATTGCAATAAGTTTAGATAAATAATATTTGAATTCATAGTTAGATAATGATCTCCAATTTAAGATTTATGATGTCTGTGGAAGATAACAAATATTCATTCATCTTGTTTTATAATCATGTTTTTAAATCAAAGATTCAATCCATCTTATTAAATATATAATATTAGAAGGGTGTGAGAAGCTATTTTTTAACTCACACTCAAAGCAAATTGAATATATTTCAGATTAATCTTAAAGTTTTAAATTTTATAGCATTTATCAGTGCTTCAATATCATGAATATACTTGGGGGCGTGAGGGATGTTGCACTTATTCATTATCCCTCATGTACAGACTCAATCAAACCGAGTCTGCAATTTTCAAATAATTTTGTTGTGATTAATGCTTCCAAGGGATCACAATGATTAATGCTTCCGAGGGTATAATCACTTTGTTTCCAGTTTTTAGCTCGACTATTCAATAAGGATAAGTAGAGCTATTGTAGTCACCCGAGCGTCGGCGTCGGCGTAACCACTTATGTTAAAGTTTTTGTAATAGTTCAAATATTTTCAAAGTCCATTGACATATGGCTTTGAAACTTTGCACACTTGTTCACCATCATGACCCCGACCTGTAGACAGGAGAATGTAACTGTATCAAGCATTTTGACAGAATTATGCCCCTTTTTAGCTCGACTATTCGATAAGAATAAGTAGAGCTATTGCAGTCACCCGAGCGTCGGCGTCGGCGTAACCACTTATGTTAAAGTTTTTGTAATAGTTCAAATATTTTCAAAGTCCATAGACATATGGCTTTGAAACTTTGCACACTTGTTCACCATCATGACCCCAACCTGTAGACAGGAGGAGGTAACTCTATCAAGCATTTTGACAGAATTATGCCCCTTTTTCGACTTAGAATTTACGTTAAAGTTTTTGTAATAGTTCAAATATTTTCAAAGTCCATTGACATATGGCTTTGAAACTTTGCACACTTGTTCACCATCATGACCCCAACCTGTAAACAGGAGGAGGTAACTCTATCAAGCATTTTGACAGAATTATGCCCCTTTTTCGACTTAGAATTTACGTTAAAGTTTTTGTAATAGTTCAAATATTTTCAAAGTCCATTGACATATGGCTTTGAAACTTTACACACTTGTTCACCATCATGACCCCAACCTGGAAACAGGAGGAGGTAACTCTATCAAGCATTTTGACAGAATTATGCCCCTTTTTCGACTTATAATTTATGTTAAAGTTTTTGTAATAGTTCAAATATTTTCAAAGTCCATTGACATATGGCTTTGAAACTTTGCACACTTGTTCACCATCATGACCCCAACCTGTAAACAGGAGGAGGTAACTCTATCAAGCATTTTGACAGAATTATGCCCCTTTTTCGACTTAGAATTTACGTTAAAGTTTTTGTAATAGTTCAAATATTTTCAAAGTTCATTGACAATATGGCTTTGAAACTTTGCACACTTGTTCACCATCATGACCCCAACCTGTAAACAGGAGGAGGTAACTCTATCAAGCATTTTTTTTACTATCAAGCACTAAGAATAGTCGAGCGTTGCTGTCCTACCGACAGCTCTTGTTTGACTTAGAATTTATGTTAAAGTTTTTGTAATAGTTCAAATATTTTCAAAGTCCATTGACATATGGCTTTGAAACTTTGCACACTTGTTCACCATCATGACCCCAACCTGTAGACAGGAGGAGGTAACTGTATCAAGCATTTTGACAGAATTATGCCCCTTTTTCGACTTTGAATTTACGTTAAAGTTTTTGTAATAGTTCAAATATTTTCAAAGTCCATTGACATATGGCTTTGAAACTTTGCACACTTGTTCACCATCATGACCCCAACCTGTAGACAGGAGGAGGTAACTGTATCAAGCATTTTGACAGAATTATGCCCCTTTTTCGACTTAGAATTTACGTTAAAGTTTTTGTAATAGTTCAAATATTTTCAAAGTCCATTGACATATGGCTTTGAAACTTTGCACACTTGTTCACCATCATGACCCCAACCTGTAGACAGGAGGAGGTAACTGTATCAAGCATTTTGACAGAATTATGCCCCTTTTTAGCTCGACTATTCGATAAGAATAAGTAGAGCTATTGCAGTCACCCGAGCGTCGGCGTCGGCTTAACCACTTATGTTAAAGTTTTTGTAATAGTTCAAATATTTTCAAAGTCCATTGACATATGGCTTTGAAACTTTACACACTTGTTCACAATCATGACCCCAACCTGTAGACAGGAGGAGGTAACTGTTTCAATCACTTTGACAGAATTATGCCCCTTTTTTGACTTAAAATTTACGTTAAAGTTTTTGTAATAGTTTCAATATGTTCAAAGTCCATTGACATATAGCTTTAAAATTTTGTACACTTGTTCACTATCATGACCCAAACCTGTAGATAGGAGGAGGTAACTCTATCAAGCATTTTGACAGAATTATGCCCCTTTTTTGACTTAGAATTTACGTTAAAGTTTTTGTAATAGTTCAAATATTTTCAAAGTCCATTGACATATGGCTTTGAAACTTTGCACACTTGTTCACCATCATGACCCCAACCTGTAAACAGGAGGAGGTAACTGTATCAAGCATTTTGACAGAATTATGCTCCTTTTTCGACTTAGAATTTACGTTAAAGTTTTTGTAATAGTTCAAATATTTTCAAAGTCCATTGACATATGGCTTTGAAACTTTGCACACTTGTTCACCATCATGACCCCAACCTGGAAACAGGAGGAGGTAACTCTATCAAGCATTTTGACAGAATTATGCCCCTTTTTTGACTTAGAATTTACGTTAAAGTTTTTGTAAAAGTTCAAATATTTTCAAAGTCCATTGACATATAGCTTTGAAACTTTGCACACTTGTTCACCATCATGACCCCAACCTGTAAACAGGAGGAGGTAACTCTATCAAGCATTTTGACAGAATTATGCCCCTTTTTCGACTTAGAATTTACGTTAAAGTTTTTGTAATAGTTCAAATATTTTCAAAGTCCATTGACATATGGCTTTGAAACTTTGCACACTTGTTCACCATCATGACCCCAACCTGTAAACAGGAGGAGGTAACTCTATCAAGCATTTTGTTTTACTATCAAGCACTAAGAATAGTCGAGCGTTGCTGTCCTACCGACAGCTCTTGTTCGACTTAGAATTTACGTTAAAGTTTTTGTAATAGTTCAAATATTTTCAAAGTCCATTGACATATGGCTTTGAAACTTTGCACACTTGTTCACCATCATGACCCCAACCTGTAAACAGGAGGAGGTAACACTATCAAGCATTTTGTTTTACTATCAAGCACTAAGAATAGTCGAGCGTTGTTGTCCTACCGACAGCTCTTGTTCGACTTAGAATTTACGTTAAAGTTTTTGTAATAGTTCAAATATTTTCAAAGTCCATTGACATATGGCTTTGAAACTTAACACACTTGTTCACCATCATGACCCCAACCTGTAAATAGGAGGAGGTAACTCTATCAAGCATTTTTTTTTTACTATCAAGCACTAAGAATAGTCGAGCGTTGCTGTCCTACCGACAGCTCTTGTTAGAATTATTGTGAAAATTAGATTAGAAATAAGATATAAGTATCAAATTGAAACATTAAGGGTTAATATTGGTAAAAATAATCAGTGATAATATTATTATAATCATTTGCTAATCAGTATATTCTTTTTTCTTTACAAAGGATGGACAAGTGCTCATGACCCAAGACACCCTCCCAAAGAAGCTTTGGATATGAGAAGAGCAAAGGTTTACACTGTTTTTCTTTATCAACTTTGTAAAATAAACAACATATTTACTATCATTATCAAACCGATCACTGTATTCACAATTTTCCTGGTTTGAAATTGTCCACTCTCTTTTTGTGAGAATAAGAGATAATTATCAATATCAAAATACTAAATTGAAATACTTGGTGAACTGTTAACACAGTCACATACATATACATGATGTACATGTAGCAGGCCTGATCTACTGATACATGTAACCGTTTATAGCCAAGTTAAACTTAATTCACTGCTTTTGGTCAGAAAGATAAAATCCATTTATTTTCAGTCATCAGTTTTTAAAGCAAATATTTCAAGATGCTAATAAAATGTAAAACTATGAAATATGTAATTAGTTATTTATAAAAAATGAAATGATTTTGTTTAGTTGTATAAGATGATGCTTGGCACATTCAATATCTATGTGAATGTCTTGAGCACTTTTTAAAATGAAATTCTTTTACTATTAAACAAAATAAGTTTTCTTTCTATTTTGTTATATGTATGTTACAATGTCAAAGAAGGAGACATTGAATCAATTAAAGATTAAAATTTAATTTTGAAAGCATATGATATGTCATGTTATTATTTATTTGCTATTATTAAATCCAGGATCTTTCTTCAGAATCTGATATTATTTTATCTTATATTGGATCATATATTACAATGATTGTGAAAGATTTTCCATAATCAACTTTTTAATCTCCCTTTTATTTCAGTCAATGTTTGTAGAAAAGCCTCCATCAGAACAGAGCAAAGAGGGCCGTGATCATCTTGCAATGAAATACCAATATAGTACTTCAACTCAAAAGTAAGTTAACTGTCGTTACCTTTGCTTGGCACCCGGAAAAGCTCTTTTCAGGGCTATGTCCTTTTCTCATATTGTTCTGGTTTGTCCTGTACATTAAGTTTCTCATGCACAATTACCTATATTTGGCTCAAAATTCATATCTTTTGCTTATAAATTGCATGAAGTTAAATTGTCGCCACTTTTGACCTTCATTAAACATAGACTTCATACATGCATATTTAACTGTGCAGGCTAGTTAATCAAGATTGATTTAATCATGACCATAATTTAAGTGTGACATATTATATTTTAAATAGTTCTTAAACATTATTTATTTTAGCTTGTTTGCTTTGGAAATACATTTGTACAGAAACACTCAAATTGGTTCCTCAGGACCCAGTAATTACTCAGCAATTAGTGTAAAGTGTCTTGCTCAAGGAAACAATGGCTTGCCCCTGACTGAATTTAAACCCATGCTGCTAGCAATTCTTGAGATTACTAGTCTGAATTTTAAAGTTATAAATTTTAGAAAAAAATATAACCTTTTATCTATAATTAGAACTTTAAAAATTGGCTTGCCCTAACTGGACTTTCAAACCACATGACTGGCAATTCTTATGACATAACTACATATAATCTGAATTGATAGTTATAATATATCGAAAAAAATATAATTTTTTATCTATTAGAGCTTTTGAAGAAGTGCCATGGGATACAATGTTACCTCCAAAGCAGTGGGCACCAACCTCGACACTGGAGGAGAGACCGGATATGATCTCACAAACATATACCTTACATAGATATGATCCCGCTGCACAAGAATGGCAGGTAAGATATGATCTCACAAACATATACCTTACATAGATACGATCCCGCTGCACAAGAATGGCAGGTAAGATATGATCTCACAAACATATACCTTACATAGATACGATCCCGCTGCACAAGAATGGCAGGTAAGATATGATCTCACAAACATATACCTTACATAGATATGATCCCGCTGCACAAGAATGGCAGGAAAGATATTGATCTCACAAACATAAACCTTACATAGATATGATCCCGCTGCACAAGAATGGCAGGTAAGATATGATCTCACAAACATATACCTTACATAGATATGATCCTGCTGCACAAGAATGGCAGGTAAGATATGATCTCACAAACATATACCTTACATAGATATGATCCCGCTGCACAAGAATGGCAGGTAAGATATGATCTCACAAACATATACCTTACATAGATACGATCCTGCTGCACAAGAATGGCAGGTAAGATATGATCTCACAAACATATACCTTACATAGATATGATCCTGCTGCACAAGAATGGCAGGTAAGATATGATCTCACAAACATATACCTTACATAGATATGATCCCGCTGCACAAGAATGGCAGGTAAGATATGATCTCACAAACATATACCTTACATAGATATGATCCTGCTGCACAAGAATGGCAGGTAAGATATGATCTCACAAACATATACCTTACATAGATATGATCCTGCTGCACAAGAATGGCAGGTAAGATATGATCTCACAAACATATACCTTACATAGATATGATCCCGCTGCACAAGAATGGCAGGTAAGATATGATCTCACAAACATATACCTTACATAGATACGATCCCGCTGCACAAGAATGGCAGGTAAGATATGATCTCACAAACATATACCTTACATAGATATGATCCCGCTGCACAAGAATGGCAGGTAAGATATGATCTCACAAACATATACCTTACATAGATATGATCCTGCTGCACAAGAGTGGCAGGTAAGATATGATCTCACAAACATATACCTTACATAGATATGATCCTGCTGCACAAGAGTGGCAGGTAAGATATGATCTCACAAACATATACCTTACATAGATATGATCCCGCTGCACAAGAATGGCAGGTAAGATATGATCTCACAAACATATACCTTACATAGATATGATCCTGCTGCACAAGAGTGGCAGGTAAGATATGATCTCACAAACATATACCTTACATAGATATGATCCTGCTGCACAAGAATGGCAGGTAAGATATGATCTCACAAACATATACCTTACATAGATATGATCCTGCTGCACAAGAATGGCAGGTAAGATATGATCTCACAAACATATACCTTACATAGATATGATCCTGCTGCACAAGAATGGCAGGTAAGATATGATCTCACAAACATATACCTTACATAGATATGATCCTGCTGCACAAGAATGGCAGGTAAGTCCATTATAACCTTCACATTGAACCTGTTCAGTTATTTGTGATAAACAGATTATTTAATCTAATACTTAAAACATGTATACGTATGTGATAAAGTATTCCCTGTTCCGTGTGATCATTTATATCCTTTATAAAACTTTGAAACTCTAAAGGAGTGTGATCTTTTAATTCCTTTAAGATTTTAAACTTTGTTAAATCCAGAAGAAGGCATAATATGCTGATTTTTCACAATGATTCATAGTTATTCATACTAACTACAAATGTACCTTAATTGATTGCTCAATACAACTGTGGTTTGGACATTGATCACTAGGCATTTTGAATTTTATTATGTTTACACCTGGCTGTAAAAGGATGAATGAAGGTAGCCAAGTGCATGTTTTCACCAGAATCCTTGTTGTAGATTTGGGCAATGGCTCATGAATTGAGTCAAAGATAGCATCTTTAAAGTTTTATTCCAACTTCAATTCTTAATGCTACACAAGATATTCTTTATTGATGTTACTCTGTAAATTTGGTATTATGTATGCTAAGGTGTGTGCTTATTGTTAATGTTTTACAACATGTCCCTGGATGTCATGCCTATTTATTATCACTTGAGTTTTTCATTCTCTTAAACATAAAGTATTGGTCAAATAGGAGAACATGCTAATGATAATCAAGATGCTCTACATTGTATAAGATGACACCTTCAATTTCTTTAACATGTTTAAGCATTCGGAATTTGATATTCCATACATTGCGGTATGTAGATGTATGTGGCTGAGTATACTTCAATGATACCTTTAGGCAGTTTATCATTAGCTGCATGAATGACTTGAGATTATTGTTTGCCTGATGACAAAGTGTAGAGCAATTACATCTTTGAACATACACATGGCATGAAATTTGATTATGCATTTATTTTTTCTATAAATAGTAAACATAATTCATGATATTTACAGAATGCAGGTAGATCATGGGACTGGTTTCAGAAAAGAAATGCTTACTATAAGACTGCTCCTATTGTTTTGTAAGTTACAAATCCTTTTTTTTCTTACATACACAGTAAGCATTCTGCATTTGTAGTATTATAATTATCCATTTATTTCTGATTATGTGTAATGCTTATTATTGACCCTTTTTAAATTAAGATTTTAGTCTTAAATCACACTCAATTTTATAATGATGGTTTGAATAGAGATTTAGTAGCTTAACAAAGTGTTGTCTTGAAAATCAAAGATTGTACTTATTAATTCTGCACACACAAAAAACAATTTGAATAAAATCATATTATGCGAGCCTCTGGCAAGCATAATATATTATTATATTCACAAGTTCAATAAATTCAGTAATAAACCTGCACGGATATAATATTTTATTTATCACATAGTGAAAATAATGACTGTTTAAAGTGAAAAAGAGTCATTTTTCATTTGCGCGCTAATAGTGTAAAGCTTACATTTAGTTGTCTTTACATAGTTTTCATGATGCAAATGACATCACTTCAAAATATATGCACGGTCGTGCAATACCATTTGCAGTACCCGAATTGTACGGAGCCTTAAAAGCGTCATTTGTATGTCAACATTAAATATTGCAAATCATTTTAGAAACCTAGAAATGTTAGGAATATAACTTTATACATGCGCTTTTTGTATATGTAGCTGTAGTCAGCCACCTAGGAAACAACATATACCAGGGTATGGAGGTGGTGTGGGGGCAGTGAACCTGGAGGAGTTGGACAATGCTAGTATAGAGTTCAAACCTTTTACAGTGAAACGGGTCAACATACCACGCTATAGTGAAACATCACAGTAAGTTCTTCCTTTTGATTTCAGTATTTAAGTCCCATTTTTTATGAAAGTCTGATTTATTTTGAAAAAATTTATATAAGTACAAATGTACTGTATTTTATTCACAAAAAAATGATGAAACACCACATTTATAGATTGATTCAGGCCTAAAACCAGACTGCTAAAACTATACAGAATGGACATATCTCTCATTTCAATTACTTGTTACTTGTATTGAAATTAGTCTTTGAACAATGTGAAAATTTTCATTTCTAATGCTCGTTACTTGTCATGAGATTAATTTGAGCCATGCCATGACAAAACCAACATAGTGCGTTTGCGACCAGTATGGATCCAGACCAGTCTGTGCATCTGCTCACTCTGATTAGGATCCATGCTGTTCGCCATCAGTTTCTCTACTTGTAATAGAGCTTGTAAGCGAACAGCATGGATCCTGATCAGACCGCGCGGATGCTCAGGCTGATCTGGATCCATGCTGGTCGCAAACCCATTATGTTGGTTTTGTCATGGTGCGGCTCATTTCAGTCTGAATATCGCAAATTCCTATTTTGGATGGATGTTTAAATCTAGACAAAACCGTTATTTTGTAAGGAAAATTTTAAGGATAAGCACTGTGAGAGAAGCAAACTGTTCAGACCATGTTCAGATATCACATAATCATATTTATAAATGTATATATTTTTTATATTTCAGTAAACCAAACATACCTGGCTACCAGGGTTGTACACTATTTAGAGGACAGTATGCCCCCGCTCACAGTGCACCTCACCCTCCAAACAGTCAGGCCACTACTAAACTTGTTCATAAGTATGACATTTTTCTTTTTCAATTTTTTTTGCAACTATTTTGCTCTTTTGTCTAGGCATTATAGGTATCATAAGTTTAACATTAAATTTGTGGAACTGTGAGTGATATGCCATTACAACCAGTATAGAGCAACAGGGTCGGTACATAAAGTTTTATTTTTAGCCCAACTATTTGAAGAATAGGGAGAGCTGTTATACTCATAGAGGCATCAGCTTCAACCTAGGTTGTTTTTGCATGCAAGTTGGTATCTCCAAAGCTGAAGGTAATGGATTGAAACTTCACAAACTTATTTGAGAGAAAAATAGGAGGTCATTGGCCAGGGACTATAACTCCATAACTTGGATTTTAATAGAAGTATGACCCTTTTTGAACTTATTTTTTTTAATTATCAAGGCTCTGGTGTTACTTTCAAGCACAGAGAATAGATGAGTACACTGTTCTGACATTCTAGTTTATTTTGATATTGAAATCTCTTACACATTTGATAGTCTGTTTCAAATTCAAAGCAAAACACATCAATATCACAAATTCGAAAGGTTAAGGGCAAACATTTTCTATGTTGTTGTTGTTTAGCTTGTTTACAGGTAAAACATTCTGGTTGTTGAAACCATTTTGATTCTTTTTTCTCTTTGAGCTAAACGCTCAGAATTTGAAAGAATAATTTAAATTTCGTGTTACAGTAAAACAATTTTGGTAAACGTTTAAAAAACAGTTAGTTCGTAGGGAACAGGAAGACTTGGTTGTATATAAATTTTGATAAAGAAATTTGAGTTGTCTCCCTTTAAGTATAATTATGATTGAAATGATTTTCATAAATTTTGAATAAACACCTTGAGCAAACAATATTTTATGAAAAACAGTCAACTGTAGCTGTATATTTGATATAAAAGTGAAACATGCATGTGGATAAGTTATTATGATTAAAGTTACTTTCAGTAAAAAAAATTTAAAGTATATTGATTTATTTTCTTAGACTTGTATTTCATATATCAATAATGGTCATATAAACATGAGCACAATTTTATATTTTCATCATTAAATGTTACAGAGAGAAGCCAGTTACGGACTCTGCCAACCAAGGATACAACCGCGGGGGTAAGATGTCAAAGATGGTCACTCTTGTACCTCCATGTAACCCTTTCAATCAAATCAACAAATTGGAAGAAGTCATTGCAAATAAGGTGGACTAAATATAGAAAAATGTCTCAATATATTTTGTTATTTCCTTTGTTTTACTGTGATGTTGTTTTACCTGTTTAAAGAAAATAGACATTCCTTGAAACCTCTGGACATAAGTTGATATACAAAACATATGAAAGCTGGAGAGCCAGTGTTTTAGAATAAACTCATACACAGATATGGAGACTAGTCTAAACCTCTCTCATCTGATTGGCTGAATTTGAATATTCAAATTTTGAATTTACCAATCATATTGTACCATTTACAGACTGGTTCCAAAATTTTGAAACATTTACCCAGAGAATCAATCATTCTGCACACAGTCATTTAGTCTGTTTAACTGTATATCAAAATGGTTACTTCTTATGAAAACTGCCATTCAAATTTCACTTACAGCATTAAACACTGTCTTTCATCCATTTAACTTCTATGCAGTTACAAATGTTAAAGATTAATAAACATAAATACTTACTTTTGAATTAAAGATTTTTTTTATCTGTATAAGCTCAAAAGTGATGCTAGTATTAAAGAGTGTATTTAGATATTTTTGCTTGCTGCCATCTACATTTCGTACATTACATTCATAATAGAATTAATTTCGGGTAGATGGTTGGCCATTTTCGCTTTTAAAAGGAAATTCAAATTTTAATCGCAACGATACAGATTCTGATAGCTGAAGTTCAATTCAATGATTCAATGCATGTCAGGCCACAAAAAAGTCTTGTTTTGGTTTTCCCTATGGTACTCATTTTAAATGTTGATCATAGACTTTTGTTTTTCCTTTCCACTTTCCTTTAAAATATGTATTTGTATACATAAAATTTAGGACAAAAAAAAAATGATTATTACTACCCCCCTTTTTAGAGACCAGACACAAAACAACTTTTTCGTGTCAGTATTAAACAAAACATTTTTACAGCATTACAATCGATCAAATAAGTTCTTCCTCTGTGATTTCTTTCTTATTGCAATGTAGTTTTTTGGCAATAAATTTTTAGAGGAAGGACTTTCTGATGACCAATAATTTCTCATTTAACTTTGTGTCAATTCTGTTATCTTCATACATAGGGTTTCTCTATGTTGCCATTTGTTTTATTTCATACCAACATGAGTCCTGCTCCTTATGCCTATTATGAATGTTTCCTGTGATATATGGGGGGCAAAATTTGTATTTGTGTTGTTCATTTGTAAAGATTTACCAAGCAGTATTGTGTATAAACAAAATGGGTAAGCATTATATGATAATAGATAGTTATGAAGTTACAGATATCATATGTAGAGCAATAACTGAAACGAGATATTTCATCAGTATTGGTTCAATAAGATGTGATAAACAACATCTACAAGGAAAGGCGGCATTCATTGAAAGCAATAAGCCTAAGTCCTGAAGCCTAAGGTTGGGAAATAATTGACAGAGAAATTTAGTCATTATTAGTTTTATTAAGTTAAACTTAAAAATGGATAATGTTAAACATTGTAGTTCATCAGTATCAGCTTATTTCAGTTTGAAAAACAGGTAAGACTATAAAAAAAATAGAATCAAAAATAAATCAGCAGCAATGTCTGACTGTGTTTTCAAATTGGGCAAGCTTCTCAGTATTAGATTTAGAATCAAAAATGGGTAAGCAGTAACAATAGTTCATCAGCATTAATCTAAATTAAGATTATAAAATCAAAACTATCGAATGTATAATTATTCTCTATATTTTTATATATATTTTTGCACATGTGTGTTAACTAAGCACTGGTGTAGGAATTACTTGCATCTTGTGTTTTTGTATTTTTTTTATATTTTATAAGATTGGTTAATAATGATATATATTTAGATAGAGAATTGGTTGTCTCCCTTGTTTTGAAGTAAAATTTTACATGCAATGTTTATTACAATGACTGAGTCATAAATGTGTTACTGTTATTTTATATACGTTTTGTCTTTGTTGTGTTTATATATAATGTTTATAATATCTGTTGTTGTTTTTATTTTTTCTCAAAACGCTGCAGTGTGGAATGAATGGAAGGAATTGATATATCATTGTTAAATTGTTGTAGTTTGTACATGATACTTCATTATTGTAACATTGGCAATTTCGTGAATCAGTCACAATTTACAGCATTTGATTGGTTAATTTTAAAGGTTACTTTGAAGTTGACCAATTGAAACGTTGCTCTTTTAGACTGATGAATCCGCCATATTTTACAACATTTGATTGGTTATAATTTTAAATGTGAATTTGAAATTGACCAATGGATACATTTTTAGGGACTGGTGTACTGATTCAGTTATACAATTTGTAAGGCTTATTAAAGCAAGTTTTAGGTATTTTAAAGAGCAATTACACAAAAAGAAAAAATAGTTTTGAAAGATTATGAATTTGAATCTGTTTTTTTTATTTGAGTAAATCCGTTAAAAAGTACATGATAGTTAATTAAGATATATCTATTTTTTTAGAATTATGTCGACTGCTCTTATTAGTAAACACATTTAAAGAAACTTTAAGATTAATAAAAAAAAATTATTTGAATATTGAAATTAACATAAGTATTTGTATAAAGATATTTTATTGCATAAATGGCGTTGTATAAACAAATGATGTACGTATATGTTGTTATAAGTGTTTTTGCAAAATAATGAACAGTATTTCACCTTGTGTTGTAAAATGCACTCTAATTTTGTAGACAAACAGTTTTTACATTTACGGTTGTGCTTTTTTATAATCAATGTTGAAGTTTTTACACCAACAATATGTTAATATTATATTTTATATATTCATAGACTGATATGAGTTGTTTTTATATATTTTTATACATATCACTTTCTTATGTCTTAATCATTCATAGCAAGGACTGCTTGAATACTATATTCAAAGTATTTTCTAACCAGTTTGAAATAAATTCTACACTTTTCGGATTTTCTTATCAAGTAATTGATACACTTTTCGAGTTAGACTTATGTCTTTTCGAGTTAGACTTATGTCTTTTCAAGTTAGACTTATGTCTTTTTGATGCACACTGTAGAATTTTTTAATGAAGATACCATTAGTCTGTACAGAAACTTGATAATAAAGTCACTAGGTAGTTTGACTTTCATAATCATATGCACAATATACTTAAAATGTACTGAATGGCTAATGTATTGTTAGTATTTGCTACTTTGGTAAAAAATCAACTTCTTTTGACAGTACATGTCAAGGGAATTTGGAAGTTTAAAGAAACGTACTTCAATATTTTCATCTGATAAGTTAGCACACTTCTGCAAAATATATTAGATAAAATTTACTGACTAAAAAGTTAAACAATAATATTTACCATTTGATATTTGGAAAAAATAATTAGATCACCATTGTTTCATCCCAACCTTTTGTCTGCTTTCAAAATTTAGTTAGTGTTCTGAAGCTAAAGGCTGTTCAGCTGCATCATTGAAATAAAACTTTGATATGAAAATACACATTTTTTAGTCCCCTACCGGTTTACCGGAGGGGACTTTAGGTTTACCCTCCGTCCGTCTGTCCGTCCGTCAGTCCGTCCGTCCGTCTGTCCGTCCGTCAGTCCGTCCGTCCACAAAACTGGATCCCGCGATAACACAAAAAGTACTGAAAATATTTTAATGAAACTTGATATATGGATAGATGGCAGTATGGAGATTATGCACGTCTTTTTCATTTCTTCCTATGTTGAAAATTCTGGTTGCTATGGCAACAAATAGACTGAAAATATGGCAAATTTTACACATAACCTGGATCCCGCAATAATGCAAAAAGTACTGAAAATATTTTTATGAAACTTGATATATGGATAGATGGCAGTATGGAGATTATGCACGTCTTTTTCTTTTCTTCCTATGTTGAAAATTCTGGTTGCTATGGCAATAAATAGACTGAAAATATGGCAAATTTTACACATAACCTGGATCCAGTGATAACACAAAAGTACTGAAAATATGTTTATGAAACTTGACATATGGGTATATGGCAGTATGGAAATTATGCACATCCTTTTCTTATCTTCCTATGTTGAAAATTCTGGTTGCTATGGCAACAAATAGACTGAATTTCAAGATTTCTGATTCTAGTTATTAAGTTTTTTCACTATAAGTTCTTTATTTCTTAAGGTATTTTCTTCAAACTTTAAATATAAGTTGCTTGTAATCAACCACATCATATATGACAAGGTTTACAACTCTAGCACAAAATTTATCAGAATTACCTCCCTTGAACTTAAAATTTTCATGAAAAAAAATTGTTTTTTTTTTTTTAATAACTTCTTTTTCTGAATGTATCTACTTCAAACTTCATATAAATGTTTCTTATTATCACTCAACATTTGTGAGTGTTCAATACTCTAGCAAGACTATTTCCAGAATTATGCCCCTTTTGAACTTTTTTTTTGAGAAATTGGTAATTTTTACTCCAACTTCTTCAATCATGATAGGATTTTAAAAATGTTATATTTTGATAACAGGGATGTTTAAAAAATAACTTTAGAGTGTCCTCTAGTCCGTCTATCTGTACATAAAAACTGTTTCCTGTGATCACTTTTAAAGAACTTTTTCAACAAATTTACTTAAAATAGGAACATAAGTGAATGGCCAATGGCCCTTCAGAATATTGCTTGGGCTCTTACCGGTAGGGGACTTATGGATTGCTTGCAATACTATGATAATTGCTTGTTTTTCATTGTTATGTTTTTTATTCCCGTTTAAAACATATTGTTAGTATTCTGTTATGCTGTTATACATCACATATTTTTGTTGTGAGTTACAATTATTCTGTGATAATACATGTCAGTATTTTTTTATTGTCAAAACTTGTTATAATGGCCTAGAATATATTTTAAAATAAAAATCTCCAATTTCACATTTTTTTCTTGGCTTTCTGCCAAATTAGGGAAGATGTGCAACTGTTACATTAATGTCCTCTTATGTGTAAATCCTGCACTTAGTTGAAAATCTTGATCATTTCTTTAATTTAAAATTTAAGTGATGTTAACATAAAATAGATTAAGATTTTACTTTGTGCTTCATAAACTTCTGTATGCATAAAGCAATGCGCTACATAATTAACATTAACGACTTAAGTTTAACTATTTGTACATGTAATTGGAAATACATGTTTACACCTTTTTGCACCCATGATTTTATGTTTGAAGAAAGTCTACCTTGGATTATGAAAATACAATATTGTGAACAGAGTGAACTGCTTCAATAAATATCTTCTTAACGAAATGTTTCTTGTTATTTTTACATTCACCAGACCTGTTGAAAACAATACATAAAATCAAAATCAGATCTGTGACAAATTGAGGTTAATTTTTGCATCAAAAATTAAATTTTTGAAATGGGAAGATTCTCCAGGAAGAGTGAGCGCATGTATGGATAGGTAAGAATTGCAGACTTTAGGCTTGATTTGAGTCTGTTATTGAGATGTATAGACAGGCGTCACTTCCCCTCACACCCCCTAGCACCGACTTGTATTGGTTTCAATAGTCAAGGTGAACAAGTACAAGGTAGCAGAAAGCTTTCTGGGTTTGTGTTTGATAGCGTCCAATTTTGGCGCTCAAAAGTAATTTTGGCGCTCAGAAGTAAGGTTATATTTTTCGAACTGGTCAGTATGGTTAAGTGTAATTTTACTGACAGGCGTATTCTGTTAATGGTTAAACAACAATATATGCTTCAATGTAACAGTACTGCAAAGTTGACCATTGTATTCACTGATACGTAAGCAATGAATATGTGATCCATGTAAACCACTAAAATAAGTGCCTCTTGAATAATAGTAATTTAAACGTACCGAAATATTTTTTGTAAAATACATTTGCAACACTTTTTTATAATTCATTCAAAACAACAACAAAAGCGAAGTATTTTGTTTACTGTTTATGTTTTAAAACAATTAGCACACAAGTATCAAGTAGTGGTTTTCAAGGACTTGTTTATTTTGTCTTTTTTGTTTTTGATTTTGTTACTGTGATATCGACTTTTTTATCACGTACATCTATTTAACTTGACATTTTTGCAAATTTTACAATGATTGCTATAAAGAGTTTTTATTGTCCTCTTTCTAAATTACCACTGTATAACATCAGACACAAGCTTTCTTTAGTAAATTACGTTTTTTCCTTTATCAAAGTATCGAGATTATGATTCTGCAACGTATTATCGTCTGTATCAATAAAATCTAATTGTTTAAATTGAAACCTAATTAAACGTAAAAAGCTTAAATAAATATATTTTATCTCAAATGCGTCTGGACTAACAAGATCTAATATTTCTCACATAAGTCACGTGGTCGTGTTGCGTGTATGTATCGAACCCACAACTCCTGAGACGTCTGATAACAAGCACACTTACAGCGATATAATCGCTTCTTGTTGTTATTAGCATAAACTTTTGATATAATTCATGAAACACCACCACCACAACAACAACAACATTAACAACGAGGACGACGACGGCGACAACAAAAACAACAACAACAACAATATTAATAATATTAATAATGGCAAAGATAGATTCAATAATGATAAGTTATTTTTGTTTATAATTAGCCAATGATACTTTTGTCCGCATTCTGCCTTTGTCCATATTTTTTTCTTCCTGATATGAACCAAACGTTTATACTGATATCCTGTTTTTGTTTTTTGTTTTTTTTCCGTCATCGTTTAAAAGGCATCTAAACAGAAACATGTTTTTGTTTATTTTCTATGGCAAATTTTATCAGTTAATATATTTAATTAAAGGCACGTTAAGTCTCAGAAATGAATATAGTAAAACTCAAAATAAAAAAAAAAATCCGGCAAACACGTGTTTTATAACGTTGTCATTAATAGTGGATTTAGAACATGTAAGTTATAAAAGAAAATAGCGCTGAAGATAAAATTATTTGTGTCAAAGGCATAATGTAAAGAAATGGACAGAATGACTTTGATTTCGATACAAAATACTAAACCATAATAACTTTGCTAGTTGCGAGAATACAAGGAATGCAAAACAGGCGCGCTCAGCTATTATGGTCAATGGGTAACATTTTGGAAACTGTAACAGAAAATCCAAAATAGAATGCTTTTGAAAAATCGCAAAAGATTGGTATATCGTACGCTTAATTGGCCTATAAATATATCTTATTAATATGAATTGGAAGACCAGACATTGACAATGGGAATATGTTTAAAATAAATGCCAAGATCTGCAAAATGCCATGTTTCTGGCAAAAAGCTCGTTGTTATAAAATTAACCTAGGCAAAAATAGTATTAATTGTTAAACATATATTTCTGTACAGTCATGCTTTGAAATATCACGAAAGTGTGAATGTCAGGTATAACAATTAAAATAAGTCAATTTGAATTATTAAAACTTTCCTTATTTTTTCAACCCCACCAAAATTATTTAACTGGGTGAAGAGAAAGGTGGGGGGGGGGGTATTGGGGTCGGGCGATACGATATCGTCGGACATAATTTAATTTCACAATTGGAAATTGCATTTTGACATAGTTATGCACCTTTATAACTGTATACTGTAAATCGTTCTAAAATTTCCATTTAATCTAATATTTCCGAAACCACACGGCAATTACTTGACAATTTTTGTGTATATAAAGTGTCACAATCATGTTCAGAGGGCAAAGTACTGCATTTTGACATAATTATACCCCCCCCCCCCCCCCCCCCCGTTTCACTAATGTTATGTCTGCTATATCATATATAGTTACTGGACAAGCACTGGACAAGCATGGGTAGAGAGATTAAACAACACAACCGTTTGGTTTCTAAATCTATTTACTAATGATACTACAGAGAGGTGATGCCAGGTGAATTTAGGCGGGCTTATCAGCTAGTGGCTGAAAGTTATATTTATTGAGCATCCGCTAATGTCGCCCGTGTCACATATAAGACACCATAGTGAACACTACTTCGTTTTGTATGTTTTGCATCTTGTAGTTGCAAAGTAACATTGTTTTTTTCATATGTGATACACTGCATCTTTGACGTATACAGATGTGCATCAAGTAGATTGTTTATTATGTTCTGGCCAGTCATGTGACTTGATGTCTGTAAAAATATATATAAGTACAAGGCTAAAGCAATCACACATATATTACATTATATTGATCCTTATCTATCCGAGGATTGTTTATGTAGTGAGGAATCATATACATGAATATTAAAATTAGATATGGTAAGCTGTGCATATTTGATTTGTTCATTGAATGTTTATTGCTAAATTTAATCATATTTCAAACAGTTTTCAAACAAACTATAAGATAATTGTATTTGAAAGTGCTTAAAACCGATAAATTAAGTAACTGACATAGATTTATACATGCCATAAGGGTACACATTTAATTTTAAGGTCTAAATATCATTTTGTCATAAAAACTACATAAATAAGTGTTGTTATTTTTTTAATCATTAATCTTATTAATCTTTCTTTTCAATTCTTTCAATTGCTGGCTATAGACGGTTACCTAATTATTTTGTTATACTTAAAATTGGCTTCAAATAAATTTCAGGACTCTACGAAAGTATTTCTTTTTGCCATTCTCACGGTGACAGCAAGAGCATTCCCAGAGGTAAGGCCTATTTTTTCTAAAAAACATTGTCTTAAGCACTATTTAGACAAGGCACTATTCAAACATGACAATATAATAGAGAATGAATTAAACCTATACGAGTATATCTTCTGTTATACATTTATCTATCACGACCTTTAAGCTAGTGACTCAGAAATGAGTAGCTGATTCATTCGGTTCGATGATATCACTATGCTCAAACAAGGCTGCACCTTATCACCAACCTTGATGTTTTATTTGAGTACATCTTATGAACAGACTTCATCAAACCGAATCTGCAATTTACACCGTTTATACCTCTTGTTAGGGTTTGCTCCTTGTCAAAATTTGCTTTTGCATTTCAATACTTATCTTATCTTCAGTTTCACAGCTTCGAGTCTCATTATGGAGGAGAAGTGATTGCTGTTGAAGACGCTGTGTTTGACAAACAAGAACAATATGCGCTGATAAGAATAAATTCTCTGTCAGATATAATTATGTCAACCATCAATTTGCATGACTTTCACTCGGTATGTTTTTCAAAATAATACGTAAAATCAGTCAATTTAATTATATTCACGAACGCTTTTACATACTTGTCTTTACATTCACTATTGCTCTAATCGAGTGAGTTTTACTAATGGTTTGGTTAAGGATAATTTAATTATTATTTTGTAATATATACCATTGCCCACCATTATGCAATGGAAGAATATGTTTGTGTTGTTGGGTTTTAATTTACAGAAACACTGTAAAGGTCATAAGGTCGACCTTTTAACTGGTGAAGGATGACATCAGGTGCTTTATTCCGAACCACAGTAAGCTTGCTGGATAGTTTCCTAACAATAAAGAAACCAAAATCTTTCGCGGTATTTGAACCCAGGACCGTTAAGGGCAAACTGAAAGAAAAAAAACGTTCCAAAATATAATACAGTACATTAGAAATATCAAATTTATTTTCGAATTTTGTTAAAAAAAATAATAACAGGTATGCCTTTTTTTATACCAACACTATTAAAAGGCAATTCTCTTGTAAAATAGGTATTATCCACAATACTGAAACACTGTAACACCACTATAAACAATATATTATATCGGATGATATAATTATACGATTTTCATGAAAACATGTGTTTACTTTCTGAATTCTTTTAACAGAATTACACCGCCATCAGGAATGACAAAAGCCAAAGATGTAATATCTTCCATACACGACATACACTTGGTGAAATGATAGATATGTATAATACATCAATGAAAGTAAATATATTTCATTTTTTACTATTCTATACATTATAAGAAAATATGGGATACAATTTGCGTCTCATTCAACATCAATTCACTTGACTCAAAGGTTTTTTGTTGTTTTTACTCTAATTTTTACATAGTTTTGGTCATATCTCAGTCCACCTTACTGGCTTTCCCGGATAACAAATCGGTAATTGTTCTGCAAGAAGCTTACTTAAATAGGACCAGATGTCAGAAACAAATGACCATTAGGCTCAATGTCTAAGATCATTTGCCATGGAGAAATTCCGACTTGCCCGAGGATCGAACCAGCATCCCCTTGTTTACAAATTTATTAATTTCCCTATTGAGCTAAACGAGAGAACGAAAACATTATATAATCAAAGCACAGAAGGCGCTGAATTTGTTTGGGTCTCAGAATGTAAGAAAGGTGCAAGTTGTGAGATTATATGTATAGTGCCATCAATGCTTTCCAGCGTTTTAATTGTACTAAATTGGCTATAAGACTAATTGCAACACTGATATTCAATCCAATGTTTATTTGACTTTAACAATTTGAAAAAAATGAGTTACCTTTACTGGGATTTGAACTCCAGACCTCTCGCTTCCTAAGCGAGCCCGAAAACCCTTCAGCCACGGTGAATTTATATGTGAACGGGCTGAAGAAACCCATATTATTCTAAATTAGGGCTTGTAACGACTTTAACTGTTGTTTAACACAGATGTAAATAATCCTGGAGCTTACTATAAGCATTTATATTTATAAAGAATCAAAGGGCTGCAAGTTCTGTGGTATTTTCTGATCTTTGCAATCTAAATCAACTGTATATCTGTATGCATTTTCCTGTATAGGTTTATTTTTATGTATTATAGTTCATTTTGCAAGGCACCAGAGTTTGATACATACGGAATTCTGCATAACTAGAGTTGCATCAAAAAATCATTTATGTTCATTTTTTACGACAGCCACACTTTATCCTTGCATATCATGGCTACTTCCTTAACAAAAACACTTAAAAAAGAATTTAACAAAAAAAAAAGTTTCCTCGACTGGGATTCGAACTCCAGACCTCTCACTCACTAAGCGAGCGCGTTACCACTGAACCACGGAGAAGTTACACACAAAATCTGAATAATATCAAGTCATTCTAAATTTAGAACTTCCATTGCATTTCGGGTTTGTAATCCTTATTAATTTCGAGGTATTTTGTTCAGGGTAAACCTGTTGTTTAAAATTGAAGTAAATATTTTAGCGAAAATCCTCTCGCCCAAACAGTCCGACATGTAGAACCTATAAATTCCACTACTCGGTTTGTGTAGTATTCGGTAATAAATAGTATTTTCATTGATAAAATCATATTCATCCGCGTAATTTGTAATTGTGCATTTATTGACAATTCTATAAGCCAACGCTATTGTTTAACTTTAAATGCGTTGTAATTTGTTGGATACTTGTAACAAAATAAAATATTTCTTTCTTTTAAATCGCTAGTTTTAAGCTGTTTTGAGAACTACTTGTTGTTAGGTTTGTCGTAAACTTCTGTGTCAGAGATTGAATGTCCGCTTTGTATTTAGTTATTTTCGATCAGAAAATACAATAAAACAATATTAGAAATCTTCGACCATTCGGGAATTACATTGCTTGAAAATTGATGCGCCTGTCTTTGACCATCTTTACGCAGTGATCTCCCCTGAATTTTTCGGCTTTAGTGTACATACAAAAGGGAAGTAACCGCTTCAAAAAAAGTGGACTACTTTCGGCATTTGCAATTAACAACATTAGACTCTGAAATTTCGCTACCATTATTTGTTTGGTCTGACGACCCAAACAAATAAAAATTAGGAAAAACTGTTTATATGTATACAGTGATGGTGACTGTAAAGAACATAATTATGTTGTGGATTAAAACATGTTTCTCGACAGAACATAGAACAATTGGAGGATAATATTTATTAATGTAAGTGTGAAGATGAGATACGCGTTAAAGTAATGTTCCTATGCGAGTAAATGTAATGTACATATGCGAGTAAATGTAATGTACATATGCGAGTAAATGTAATGTACATATGCGAGTAAATGTAATGTACATATGCGAGTAAATGTAATGTACATATGCGAGTAAATGTAATGTACATATGCGTGTAAATGTAATGTACATATACGAGTAAATGTAATGGTGAGATACGTGTAAATGTAATGTTTAGATGCGAGTGAATGTAATGTTTAGATGCGAGTAAATTTAATGGTGAGATACGTACATTATCATTTCAGAGAGATGGATTCTACGACATTACACAAACATTTACCTGTATCTCAAATGAGATTGTCCCGACATCAGACATATCTCGTTTTGGAGAAAAGATTGCTGAATTCTGTAAAGATGACGACGTTGTGTTCTCGACACGAAAATTCCTAAGTAAAAGAAAGCGGTCAATCAGGACAATGTCTGTAGCTGCAAGTAAGTGGAGAAATTTAATAACCTATCTTTATTTGCAGAAACGTTTTAATTCTGAGATTTCTTATTATTTCAAACATGATTTGTTCTCTTACACTTCTCTCTTAACTAATTGTTATATGTGAACTCGCATATTTTAGATTTTAATCTTATTTATATCGGATTTTCTTGCATAATGAGCCGCACTGAGATCAAAAAGCCTTATAACATAAGTTATTGGTTCAGACGTTCATTAAATGGTACAAAATATCATGACGTCAAAGTATTTCCAGTCACGTCATTTCAGACAGCCTTAGTGGAGTACCTATTTACTAAGATAATGAATTAAAGTAAGAAGATATATGAATATTTGTTATTTTGTTGAATCTAGTAGATACATGTTACACTGATTTGTTTCTCCTTTATAACAGTGAACTGTGGGTTTTGTATTGGAAACTGTAACTCACGACCAACAGACCTATCACAACCATCAGACGATAGGAATTAGATAATGCATTGACTAAAGTGAACACCTTTTCCTAGAAACTGTAAACATGCAAATGTCAGAAATGGTGTATTTCTGCTGTCGTGATATGTATATGATTTCAAAGGAGACTAGTCATAAACAAACATCTGTTTTCCGCCCGTAAGCTTTTTGTTTTCACCTTATTTTCATTAAATTAACTTCATATCCCGGTATTCGTGCGGTATAAATATATGGAACAAATGCAACCGAGTGCTTTTTATGTCTTCCAGTGCCAAACATTAAACGTTTATGAAAGACTTATTTAAGTCTTTATATTTTTCATTTGCCTTCAAAGAAAAATAAAATGCATTGCACTTATGTTGTTTACAGATAACTTCTACCAAATACTTGCATAGCTTTTTGCTCTTAATATAAAACAATCATGTTATTTGTTATGGTAAGAGGTAACAATTGAGGCATATTTAAAGTGCTTCCGGGACATAACAGTAAATAAGTATATAAAATTGCATTTCTTTCCGCTTATATTTTGACCGAAATAAAGATGTAAATAATTACTTGCCGTCTGTCTTTAATTGTCAATATATTTTTGCACAAGGCGTATAAAAAATGTCCCCTCTGCATTTTTAATACGTATTTAGAATAATATACAGTATCAAACATTAGCGGACGATTTTACTATGCAAGGGATTTTATCAGGTTTAATGTTCGCATAGCTTACAAAATAAAAAAAAATACAACTTATAACAGTTTACATTTTTTTATATATAAATACAACATAAAACAGTATGCAAAATACGGAAGAATAACAATTTACAACAGTGTACAAAAAGTATTACAATTTACAATAGTTCACACAATACAAAAGAATAGAAGAAACAAAATACACAAAACAAAAGTATTATAGCAGTATCAACATCCTGTAAGTTACCTACAAGATTACTCCCAAGGATATAGAGCAACTGAAAGAATACTGAAATTTCGATAGCTTACTCTCATGAACATATGAGCTGCGTCACGACAAAACCAACGTTATGCGTTTGCGACCAGCATGGATCCAGACCAGCCTGCGCATCCGCGCAGTCTGATCAGGATCCATGCTGTTCGCTATCAGTTTCCTTTCTTGTAATAGGGTTTGTAAGCGAACAGCATGGATCCTGATCAGACTGCGCGGATGCACATAACGTTGGTTTTGTCGTGACTCGGCTCATATTGCTTATAAATAAAGCATGCTTACATTTAGGAGGACTGACAAGATTGATCATTGCATATTTAAAACCAACAGTCTCTTGTTCCCAGACTATCAACAAACTTATAACCAGAGAGTAATTTACCTGTACAGTACCTCACCTCTGATTTTATTCATGCCAATTTTATACAAGACTTAAACAATTAAGCCTCCACAGTCTCCAAAGATGTGTTTACAATCACTTCTAATTTGTATGAGCAATTAAACGAATGTAATCAACACCATTTCCATTTATTTGGTGCCTTTTACAAATGGACTGCTTATAATTTACACAAACATAACACGGTATAAAAACTATTTAAAGGCGAGATGTCTTGAGAGAAATGATATAAAACAAAATAACGGAGATAAACTCGTAGATGCGTTTTGCAGTGATATAACAAAGTGTAATATATCTTGTCATATCAAGACCCATGGAACATGTTAACGCAATTTTAACTCGCCAATACCAAAACTCATTGGAATCAATGATCACCAAACACTCGAAAAATATTCAAAATTAAGTATGACCGACTTTTACATCTACAACAAAAAACTTAACGCCTACTGAAAATGTTAATACCTACATTCACGGACACCATGACTCGACAGTTAATTGGAATTTAGGGGCGTTAAAGCTTAAATGTTTAAACATGACAAAAACAAGGAAAATAATAAAAATAAGGATGATCATACTGTCAGATTTTGTAGTTGATACTGACGAAAATAGAGACAAAATAGATCGTGAACTTGATCATCCACACAGTGACTCAAGTTTTGAACTTAAAGTACAGTGCATATATATATAGGAGTGGATTTCTATATGCATGAATAGTCCCCTAGCGATATTTTGCAAAATTTATTATTTGTAGAATTATAAATCTGATAACTTCAACTTAGGGTACTGACAGAAAAATTCAAGATGGTGTCCATGATGACCGCCAAATATCTAAAAATTTATTATTTACTCTAAAATTTTCAATTAAAGGCGCTTTAAAAAAAAATTATTTACCTTTTGCACAAAATGTTAGTCAAATTGCAGTTGTAGTATCTATTTGCAATGTTAAACAAAGAAGTGAATATATCAATACACATATTAGATGAATGGATTAGATTAAAGATGTTCTTGTCTATTTCTGCTATTTTCATTATAACAGCGTGAAATATAATATAGGCAAAACATTCACAGTAAACTAATCATTAGGAGAGAAAAATGTGTTTATCCCATTTAACAATTTAAAGTATTCAAACGAACCCGTTTTAAACTGACTGACTTAAAGTGTTTTTTTTTTCCTTTTGATAAAGAGATAGCCGTTTACGTTCAACCGTATTGTTCTGTATTCATATGTTATTTTATTGAAACGTAAACAAATATACAAACATCCTTGTCCAAAATTAAAGTCTAGTTACCCTATATCTGGATTATCAGAATCTTGGTTTCCTGTAAATGGCGGAAGAATGAACAGTACAAGTTACAGAATTGTGATTTTTCTAACCTTTTTTCTATTGTTACGAGAACTTGTTAAGGGCAGTAGGCCTATGAAAAATATTATTTGCTTCGTGGTGCTGACCTCGTACAATTAGAAGATACTATTTCATAATAAATTTATTATTTTTATGACACAAAAGGCATTGGTGCTATATTTAATAGGTTATTAAATTGTAACGTGACAAATATGTCACTTCCCTGAAGTTGCATAATTATATCATATAATGAGAGCATATAAAAAAGAAAACACATTATCAACAAATAACCAAAACTAAAATTTCAATTATAGTAATAATAAGTAGAAAATAAATGAAATAAAATTCTGAAATCATTTTGTCTTTACATTATAATACGAAGTCTAAAATTCTAAACGTTTTTGATATATCTATTTCTCAAATTATTCGAAAGGAAAGTAGCATAAAGTATGTGATTAAAGGTTGGGAAACTGATTGGAAAGTTTGAGTACTAAGGCTTAGGTACATTACAATGAATTTGGTTATTCTGGTCACTCGACACTTCTATGAAAAAGACATAATCATGGGGTAATATCATAACCACAAATTTGACAAAACATTTTATTGTTTATTATACGATTTTTGTTTTGGATCTGTTTACATTTGTTTTTCTTGCAATCTGGGAGGGTGTTAAAGCAAAGGTATTTCAGGATTTCAGTTGGACTGTTTACTCACACTTGGATGATAGGAATCTCTTGACCTATATTAAATTACTAACCAAATATGTTAGCAATTTTGTAAACAACACCTGTAGAAAAACTGTAGCTGATTATATGGGCATAGATCATAACATTATAACAACATACTGAATGGTTTTGGAAAACCTATAAATAACATCGCATCATATTTTTTCTTCATTATTCAAGTTCCTGCTGTTAGAATAAAGCAATTACAAGACAAGCAATGGTAAGTGGAATTTCTACAAATTTTATTTTAGTCTTAATTGTTTAAAATAAATCATGATTTATTTAAACATAACTGTATGCAATACTTTTAAATTATCCACATTATATGCGATGGTTTGAAAAGAAAACAAAAGATGTACACAGTTTACACAAGATTTGTTTTGTGAGTTTAATAGTAACATAAATATCGTTCTTGTATTTGCAAAAGAAATCACTTGATAAAGGGTCACAAGAGTTTAAATTGACACTAAAGGTGCTCATTGATTATGAATGAATTACTATATGATGTTAATTACTAACAAATAAATCATCCTAATTGTAGATAAATGAGTTCAAACTTCATTTTACATATGTATTAAATTCACAGACAATATGAAATAATTAAGTCTTATTTTATAAGCATCATGTCAAGTTTCGAACTTCATGATATTTACAAGAACATTTAACATAAATATATACACCTGGAAATAAGTTAAGCACACCCCGGAAATTTAAAATTGGTTTTGATTGACAGCACTATCAGGAGATGGCGACTTAATTGAGCTAAGAAATAGTAATTTGATAAGTAGTGATACCAAAGTTATAAACCAGGACATTTATTAGTTAAGTTTATTCATAACCAAATTATTGAATCATAAGCAAATATGTTGTGTTATTTTACCAGAAATGTAAGTGTTTATAAGTATGGTGGTGGAACGTTTACAAAACATGTACTGAACGTTTTTTTGGGGGGTAAATGTTGACGATGATGACGACGATGTAATCTTTAATGACATTATGTAGCCAAATTGTAAATAACGTGTGTAACCGTCATACTACCAGTAATGCGTCTAATGCGATTATGAGGTAAATTTTACCATTCTTGGTGCAGAGCTTGTTCCAGTCGTTGCAAGTTGACTACAGGTGGTTCGTACCATTGCCCAAATAAAATTTAAAAATTCAGTTGTCGTCATGTCAAAATTGATGCAAAATGCCGGGGGGTTTACTTATTTCCAGGCGTATAGTTGCAAAAAAATTCACATTGTCATTTCAAATTTATTTTGTTAAGTAATTCTTTGTTATATTCACAGGAAAACTCAAGATATATCATTTTTGTTCTTGTCTGTGTTATCTTAAGGATCGAAGCAGTACCAGAGGTGAGTTCATTTTCCAAATATTTTGTAATGTTCAGATAATCATCTAATCTGTTCTTAACAGGATTTTTTTTGTTTCAGAACAACTTTAATGATGTTAGAAACGGTTTAGGCATTGGTATCTTTATCAGAATCAAATTTATACAACACTGAAACTTATCAGTAAAGTGGCATCCATGTTTACATTTAAATTCATGATTTCACAATGCATTTATACTGCAAAGAGAAATTCTTTAGATATTGAATAGTCCAAAGCTGATTAACTACAAGATGAATTAAGGCAATATTTCATGATAATGTATTAATCAAAAGCGGCGTTTTTTTTTTTAAAAGGTACTTTTGTATCATCCGGAAATCAACCTCTTAAAATAAAAGACGTGACTTATGGAAACGATAATAGCTGCTAATATTTATACTTCTTTCAGTATCGAAGAGTGGTAGGACACTTTGGAGATGCTATAAGGGCCTACGAGGATGTGATGATTGACGAGGAAGACGAACTTATAATAGCAACCGTCGCCAAGGTTACATCCAAGAAAGTCACGCCATCTATTGCGTTCCATGACTTTTCTGTGGTATGTTTACATGTTAATTTAAATGTTGCATATTTGCTTCAATAAGCAACTATATATGGTATGTTCACATACCAAAAAATTACTTCATAATCTATTAGATTAAATTCCTTAGAGAATATTTATTCAAAATATGTCGTACCATTCGTTATTTCTAATGAACAGAAGAGTCCCATCTCATTATTTTGTTCCTATAACTCTCTCTAGAAATAAAAACAACAGCAAACAAAACAACCTTTCTATTTAAATCAAGTATTTATTTTGAGATTTAAAACAAAGTATTACATTTTAGGGATACAGTGTCATTAAACTTGTTGAGAAAGGCGTTTGTTACATAGAGAAAACTAGGCATTCAATGGAATACTTGAAGGATATTCTTTACCAAGCAGAAAGAGTAAGTTGCAGTCTTTGTCTGAATATAATCAAGTTGACTTTGATTGTAAATGCATAAATAAGTTTGTTATGAGGTAAAATTTTTCGAACATCAAAACATGATCGGAACAATGATGACCATACTTGCCTTTTATATCGGGCCAGGTTATCCAAATGAATATTGTAGATTTATTTGCTAAACAAATAGTAATTTCAACTTCTAACTTTATCAATCAATTATTTGTATGAAATGTTTTTGTATCAACACCTTGTGCTTTAATTCAGGACAATGGTGACTATGAAATCAGGCAGACATTCAAGTGCACGTCAAAGACGTTTGTAGAACCGTCAGAGGTGGAAATGTACGGAGAACGGATAGCTGCCTTCTGTAAAGATTACGAGTCGGTGTTTGTTGAGAAAGACTACACAATGCGTAGTAAGAGAGCAACCCAAGCGTTTGAAGAACAGAGTTGTATGTATCTTTTTGTCTACATTGTATTTGTTTACTTAGATTTGTCACTTATATGACAAATTCAATTAATGTTTAAAGTTAGGACATGACTTTGGTTCACTTAAAACAGCTTATTACTTTTCTCTTGATACTTAATAAAGAGAGAAAATGATAAAGCAAACTATAAACCGGTCACTCTCATGAGAAAAAAGAACATGTACATTTATATTTATTATGCATCGAAAGACCGCGCGTAATAAGGCAAAATAAATTCCACAGAACGTAAAAGTTATCTTTCAGAGCATGTTATTGTAAAAGAATGTTTTCCAATCCATATATCTTATGATCTAAAATGATACGTGCTTTTAAATTTAATCAATATATTATGTTTCAAGAAATTTAAAAGAAGATCCTGAAATATATATACAGACATTTCATACATGAATATTGATATAATTTTCGCATATGGAAGAAAGATAATTTATTTTGTCATTGTTATCAAATATACTCCTTTTGTACCTGGCGTCGTTTAATATCTCTTATTTTGTTATGGATGAATTTATTTATGATTTTTGCAAATGTCTTAATATATTGTATAATTGCTTTTTAGTGTGGTGCTTCATTTGCAAAGGAAGTTGCAACGACAATCCTCCTCCTGAAAAAACTTTGAAATAAACATACACCGACAGCCGACAGATAATCAATAATTAGAAAAAATAACAATGTTACCTTTCTATCTTCATTATCAATATCATGCAATATTTTATCGTAATTAAATAGCTAAATAGTGTTTTTTACATGCATTTTTGTCAGCTTGTTACCAAGCAATAACACAACAAACTCGAAATTGTTAAATATGTTTGTTGAAAAGTCATTGAAGACAAATATATAAGAAATGTGTGTGCACATCTCCAATAGACAGACCTATGGTAACTTGTCCATGACAGTTATGTTTTGGTCCAAAGAAGAAATATTGTGTTTTATTATATACTTATAAATGAAATATTGAGAAATATTGATGAAATAAATTGCGTATTTTTATTTCCATTATTTCCACTGTAAAAATTTATTTTTCACTGCAGTGAAACATATTTTCCGTATTTTCACTGGTGTCTTGCCGGACTACTTTCTTTTAAATTCTGCCAGTACACAAAATTTAAGGGAAAGTCTTTCAAATTTTATCGCAAAAAAAGAGAAAATGTATATAATAAACAGAAAATTCAAGTTTTTTCTATAAATACATGATTTATTTTCATCTTGTGGCATGAAAATTACCATATTTCACTCGTGGCTACCGCCACTCATGAAATATTTATTTTCATACCACTTGATGAAAATAAATCATGTATTTATAGAAAAAACTTGAATATCCTCTATAAATTGACGTGTATCGATCTTGCAGTGAAATAAATAAAGCGAAACCTTAAAAGTTGTTTTGTTATTTATCATGTTACAAGTATTATAATTGTATTAAAACAGAACATAACGAAATTCATCTTACATGGTAACAGAAAGTATATTCAGCTGTATTGTTGCCACGACACATGCTGCAATAATTAAATCATATTATAATAAGTAATAATATTAAGAGTTTACTAGTATGTCCGTCTTTAATATATTAGTTCACCTCCATTAGTTTCGACTGTTTTACATTAAACAATGTCATTTACGTGGTTGGCAATATGTTTTTAATCTGCCTAACAATGTCCCACTAATGTCATATAAGAACACAAAGATGCTTTAAGTTGCTTTTGTTTAACCATTCATTTATCTCGATAAACACTATCAGTGCCTACAGAAAGTAGGGCAACAAAAATTGTAACAAGTGATAGAAAAGTTAATAAGACGCTAATAAAAAAACTTTTAAACACACGCCCCTCTTTAGCTGTTTCATTTGTTTATTCCTTTCTTTTACGTCTAAGTATCTATTGCTAGTCATCTTGTCAATTTAGTAAGGGCTACTTTTATATCTGTTTGTTTTATTATTTAAGGTGCCAATCTAATTATGAAATTGCCTACACTTATTTTTTTCATTTTTTTTTTCATAATGTTGACTAATGATTCAGCAAATGATTCCAGATTTAAACGACTTTGTATCCCTATGGCCATATTTGGTAAAAAATGATCGAAGTTAGTCAATGAAATATGAATACTGCTATCGTCTAGCCCGTATAAATCAAACAAACTCCCATAATTCGTACTAGGTAATTAACGAATCAATTACTGTATGAATGTCCGACAAATCTAGACAATAGAAATGAATTTAGAAATAGTAGTATGAAGAAAAAATTAAAAATAATAATATTTATTAGTCTGTGTTTGATTTGATTTATACATTAAAGGCCGTCTCTTATGTCTCTGACAACGATGTACAACGATGTAACATGTATCTTATCTTAATGATAGAAACCTTGGAACAAGTTTCCGCATAAAGCAGGGCAATAAATAAAATAAATTAAGAGAAGGTAATAGTCAAAGTATAGCTTTTCATATCTGTTACTTAATAATATCCGAGATCTAGAATGAAACGAAAATTTATATAATAAAACGTGAGACTGATTTCTCAACAGACATAAAATATGTATTCAAATATGCGCCATATACATATTAAAAACAATAAAAAAAATTTGATTGTTACTAATCGTTTCTTTGCAGTGAACGACTCACTGACAGCTGCAAGGTCCTCAAGCGCACAAAGCGTGTGACTTAAGTGCAACGAACGTCCTTTTTGCGTTCAATGAGCGTCATTTGACCGTTTTCCTAACGTCCATGCATATTTAAAAACAAGAATCATTTGATTTTGGGCTCCCATAAAGAACACCTACTATGGAAAATACTGAAAGATTTAGTTTGCTATATATGCTTGCTATAGCCAAGTATCAAGTAGATGTACTGTACTTAAACACAGCGGAACACATCGAGGGAATTCACACGCAGAGAAGAAGATCCCGACGAAGACGACCAAAGTGTTAGAGTAAATCAGGATTATATAAAGGGAATACTCTTCTGGCGTTGTCAAATAGTAAGACGCACGCTAGTTATGCGTTCGACACAGTGTCACGTTAATCACACGCCAGATGTGTCAACCTGAAAAACGTTGACCAGAAAGTGATGTTGTGACGGGCCGTTTATCGGCGTAAGTAAAATAGTATTGTAATATATTAATATTACTTTTAAGAAAATGTTAGTTATGCATTTTGTTAACATTTTTGCGGCGATTACTATCTTCGAAAGTTGGCAATACAATAATTCCAATTATAATAATTAAACTTATTAAACTTATTATTTGTACACAACAACACATGTTATGACAATGTAAATATTATGTCCCTTCGTCAATATGATTGTATTCCTTAAAATCTACTACGTTCAAATACATGTTTTGTTCGTTTTAACAAAATTCTTGTTATCGATCCTTTTGAAGAGGACGAACGACAACTCTATTTGGGGATTGTTTTTGTGTAAGGGACTACAATACGTCTGCTTGTAGCAAAAGCATCAAATACAATACGCTGTCCAAACTTTTTGAAAATTCTTTCCATAAAATTATTTGTATAGTCATTTACCATGAAATCGTAACTAATTTGCTCAACTGACATGTAAACTTAAGTCTCTTCAAGTCTTCAATTGCCGATACATAATTTACATATAAAACATTTGAAATAATGATATTTTTCGTCAAACGTTTCTATAGAACACTGAACATATACCTATATATAGGGTGTCTCTGTTTTGTCTACTTCTTGGAGAACCTTTAAGTTTCAGAAGTATATTTTCTCCCTTCTGACTTTATTGATCATCAAATGAATTTATTCAAATATTATAAAATATATATTAAAACAGTTTCATATATCGCGTCATTCAAGTGTCTATTTACTGTTATTTTCAAAATCATACAAGTACTGCAGTACTAGTTTTTGCTATTGCACTCTTGACATACATACTTTGCCCCCTAAAGGAAGTACATTTGTACTTTGATGATACATTTTTTGCGCAGTGAATCTGCATTGAAGGTCACTTGGACACGCGTTACACACGCGAAACAAACCAGCATGTGCATGTGATTAAACGGTATCGTATAAATACAGTGGAAGCGCGCTCTGTTTTTATATTTGCCTTGTTGCTGTGTCATCACATTCATCGAAGAATCGAAAGCAATTCAGAATAAAACCGACGAAACACAAGCATGGTACGTAAATAGTTGATAACTTTAGTTTGATATTCATAGTTTGTAAATAGTTTTACTTGTAATTGTAGGCTCCTTATTTCAAAACTTCGGAAAACACATAACGTTCTTTCTATATTCTTATCAAAGACAGTCATGGCGTAGATGATTCAGATATAAAATTTGATGACCTATATCGTAAATCAGGAAGTAGAATGGTTTTTGCTAGATTCGCACACTATGCTGACCGAAAAGCCATTGTCACAGCTTTTCGCTCAAAAAGAAAGTCAACTGACTTGCCGTTTCGTATATCAGAAGACCTTCCCCATAGAATATCATTAGCAAGATCCGAATTATATCCATTTTTTAAAGAATGTCTGGACTCTGGCAAATCAGCATATTTTAAGTATGATAAACTGATTGTTGATAATGAAATTTACACATATTGCAAAGACAAAAAGTGTCCCGTTTCTGTTAAAAAATAGGAATTCGGCCAAAGCCCAAAATCGTGTAAATATGACAGTTTAAAATTGTGTTCATTAAATATTCAAGGATTACGTAAATACAACAAACACAACGAATTTATTACATTTTGCAATAAATATGATGTCGTCTGCATTTGTGAAACTTGGCAAACAACGCATGATAACTATGATAATTTATTACCTGGCTTCACAAATTATGATTGCCCAAGAACATCAAAATGTTATCGAGGCTCAGGTGGAGTATCAGTCTTTATAAGGAATGAATTATGTAATAATGCCATTGTTAAACGTATATACCCGGAATTCAAAGAATGTATTGTCCTTTATATTGATAAGCATATTGCAAAATTAGAAAAGAGTATTGTGTTATTTTTCTGCTACGTTGCACCGGAGAATTCACCTCTTTACCAAGACACGTCGGAAAACGGTATAGATATCCTTTCTCAAAAACTGACATGTATTATCTCAAACCTTGGTGATGTGTCCCTCATTGTAGCTGGGGACTTAAATGCTCGAACCGGAAACCTAGAAGATATCATAATAGATGACGACATTGATCACGTATTTAACTCATGCACAGATTATCCCGGTGACATATTTGATATGAACAGAAAAAATCGCGATGAAAAAAGCAACCGTTACGGTATATCGCTTATTGAAATGTGTTGTACATTAGGGATTCATATTCTTAATGGACGTCTATTTAGAGATACAACCGGGAACTTTACATGTACAGCAAATGGAGGATTGAGTGTTGTTGACTATTTTATTGCGTCGACCGACATATTTGATCGTATACAAGACTTTAGTGTTGAAGACTTTGATTTATCAGATCATTTTCCGGTTACCTGTGAAATTCTACTTGATACTGTAAACGTGAATTCAACGGAATTTCACTCATTTCCGAACCTTTATGAACATCAAACGTATAAATGGAAAGAGTCGCTCAGAGATACATTTATACAAAAATTCACACCATTATTTGAAACCTTTTATAATGATATTATTCAAGAGGAAAATATCTACAACACATGTACAACTTTTATAGACCTATTTAAAATCGCCGGTAAAAACATGCTTTTAAAAGTATATAAAGGTAAAAACAGAAGTCTGGAGGCACATCATGAACAACCGCGTTGGTGGGACTCGGAATGTGCAAAGATGAAACAACTGAAATATAGCAGTTTGCGTAAATTTAGACGAACACAACATAACATTTCCTACTTAAGCGAGCTATTTTCTGAAAACAATCAAGTTTTAAATAATCAAGATATATTCAATAGTCTTTATGATAGAATAGATGACACAGATCTTGATTGTGACGTCACAGACGACGAAATCATGATAAGTGTTAATTCCTTGAAAAATAATTGCGCTACAGGAGTGGATGGAATATGCATAGAATGTTCAAAGGTACTATATATTTAACAATACCATACTTGAATAAATTATTCAACAATATACTACATACGGGACATTTCCCACCTACCTGGGCAGAAAGCATTGTTACCCCAGTACACAAGAAAGGAAATAAATCCGATCCGAATAATTACAGGGCAATTTCTGTAGGAAATAGCTTGAGTAAAATTTTTATGAAAATCCTCGCAAATCGTTTGACCAAGTGGGCAGAATTGAATAACATTATAGATGAATGCCAAGCTGGTTTTAGGAGTAATTATTCAACTATTGATAACATTTTTAATCTTCAATCTATAGTACAAAAATATATTAGTAAATCAAGAGGACGATTATATGTGTTTTACGTTGACTTTCTTAAGGCCTTTGACAATTGTGTACATTTCAAAATATGGGAAAGTTTAGAAAGGAAGGGAATATCCCCTGAAGGCAGATTTCTAACGTTATTCCGAAATATTTATTCTCAACTTCGGTCATGTGTAAAAGTATCAGGACCTACGATGAACGGGCTGACTGATTTCTTTCAGTGCGCCAAAGGAACAAAACAAGGTTGTGTGACGTCATCAATCATTTTTAACCTATACATAAATGACCTTGTGAAATACTTAAATAATAAATGTCAAAATGGAATCACTATCTCACAACATACAGGAGAGATGTATTGTTTATTATTTGCTGATGATGTCTCCAGTATTGCACACACGGCTATAAATCTCCAAAGACAAATAAATGAAATAAGTAATTATTGTGCTGAAACTGGGATGTGTATAAACCTTGATAAATCTAAGATAATCGTTTTCAGAAATGGCGGTCCACTAAGACAATATGAGCAATTGATGTATAATGAAAATGAAATAGAAGTTGTCAATTGTTACAAATACCTAGGAGCATACTTTACCCCGAAACTCTCATGGACTAAAACGAAATATGTACTAGCCATACAGGCGACCAAGGCTGTTAATGTTATTTATGCTTATCAGAAACATTTTGGTTATTTTAGTGTTAATGATGCTTTCAAACTATTCGATGCTATGGTAAAACCCATTTTGACTTACTCATCAGAGATTTGGGGATATAACACATCTCGACAGATCGAAAATGTGCATATATCATTTTGCAAAAGGATAGCATGTTTAAATCAAAACGTTAATTGCAAGTTTCTTCGCCCTTACTGAATGCGGACGCCTTCCAATTAGTGTAACATATATGTCTAAATGTGTTAAGTACTGGCTGAAATTAACGGAAATGCCACAATATCGGTTACCAAGACAATGCTATATTATGCTTAGAAACTTAGATGAACAAGGACGAATCACATGGGCAACTCATGTTAAACGCATGTTATTTCAATTAGGCCTTGGTTACGCATGGACAGCGAACGGAGTCGGAAATGTTGATACATTCATGCAAGTATTTAGGACACGAGTCTCAGACTGCTGTAGACAAGAGATAATGTCTGACATTAATTCATCGCCTAAAGCAATTAGTTACAGAATTTATAAAACATCTATTACTGACGAATGTTATTTGTCACTGAGTATGCCTTATAAATATAAACGCGCATTAGCAAATTTTAGATGCAGTGGCCATGACTTGAAAACTGAAACAGGAAGGCACTTAAATATTGAGAGAGAATTTAGATTTTGTTCATTTTGTGTTAAACGTAATGCGTATGTTGTGGAAAATGAAGTGCATTTTTTGATTGACTGTCAGCTGTACAACGACCTTAGACACAAACACTTAATTTTTTGTAATTGGAATGTGATTCTAAACAGTAATGAACGCTTTAATACTATAATGTCAGATACAGCGAAAGACAATATTAGAAAACTGGCAAAATTTATCTATGAAGCAAATAGTTTAAGAAAACTTCAATTAACTGAACACATTTAAACATATATACATGTATTGTAATGTTTTTAATTTATTTATGTGCCATGAATTTGTTGAAACGACCGTTTCTCTATGTAACCAATTACCTTTATGTTTAAATATTATATATAAATTAATAGTTACCTCTTCAACACTGATATTAATCATATTGGCATTTGTACATTATATATTTAATTAATATTACCTTTATTTCAACTTAAATATTCAATTACCATTAAACTAATTCATTGTAAATATACTCATAACTATGTATATTATATATATTTATATCTCACTCTTTGTTAAATTAAAATTCTGAATGTATTTTGGGCTGAAGGCCTTATATTACTAATAAACTCATTGTCATTGTCATTATCAAAATTCATATATTAGATTTCAACTTCTTAATTAACAAAGATCATTCTTAAAACTGATAATTACTGATAACATAAACCAACACACTACTAGACCTTATAGTTCAAGAAAGAAATTTGACAAAAAAGTCCATAAAACCTGCATTTCTTTGCAATCTACTGTGTTTCTAACGTGGAAACCGGTATAAATAAAAAAGTAAATTATGTTTTTAACATATGTACGTGTGAAAGAGAGGTCTGCAAACATCAAAATGACTTGCGTTCCGGATCATTGATCCAGATAGTGTCCTTTGCCATCACAAGGTAACCTGGATGAAAGAATCACTTCATATGATAAAATGTAACCCGATTGTGAAAAATCGCTCTGTCTGTTTTTGAAGCAAAACGTTAAAATGAACGTTTTTAAAGCGTTTGTATGTATATAAAGTGAGCTTTGAAGAATTAGCACAATGAGAGATTTTTTGTTCTTATGGAGGCGTGCTGTTTTAATATTATCCTGCAGTAATCAAAAGTTTTCTACCTTTGTTGTAACAATTAATTGAAAAAATAGAAGAAAATGCTATCTAGAATCATGATAGATTAATCAATCAAATGATATGTACATAAATGTATTTTAAATTATAAGCAGTATAACTAAGTAAATAAGGATAAACAATCGATTATTAAGTTTCATTCTTATTGATTTTCAGAAGAAGATAACAATCGTAGCTGTGTTTGCTTTTCTTTCCACAACAAAGGCTGAACCAAAGGTAATCTTTATTTTTACAATTCAAAGAACAATTTATCACACATATACAAGTAAACAACCGAATTTTTTTTTTCGCTAGTCACTTTCCTAAAAATGTTTTTCTTTTGCTTTTCAATATAAATTGATAAGCTGCTTGCAGCAAGAAAACAAACGGGTTCTAAATAATTCATAAAGAAAATAAATTATGCTGTATTGGTAAACAGCAAGTGATATTGTGGCATTTATATCTCCATATTAATTTTAATTTCTTTTACAATTTTCTTTCAAACACCCATTTCATTTTGTAATTTGCATTCATTAGAAGAGAAAAAAATGTGTTCACCCTATTTAACAATTTAAGGTATTCAAACGAACCCGTTTTAAACTGACTAACTTAAAGTTGTTTTTTTTTTCCTTTTGATAAAGAGATAGCCGTTACGTTCAACCGTATTGTTCTGTTTTCATATGTTATTTTATTGAAACGTAAAAAAATATCCAAACATCCTTGTCCAAAATTTAAGCCTAGTCTAGTTACTCTTTGTCTGGATTATCAGAATTATGGTTTCCTGTAAATTGTGACTTTCTAACCTTTTTTGTGTTGTTACATGTTCTTGTTAAGGGCAGTAGGCCTTTCTAAAATATTATTTGCTTCGTGGTGCTGACTACAAGTAGAAAAAACTCTTTTATATTTTTTATGACACAAAAATCATTGATGCTATATTAAATTCCAACGTGACAATTATGTCACTGTCTAGACTTCCCGAAAGTCACATAATTATATCATTAAATGAGAGCATATTATTATTCAAAAATAACCAAAACTAAAATTTCAATTATGGTTATAATAATTTAAAGATAAATAAGATAAAAATATTTTTGTTTCCATTCTGATATCATTTTGTCTTTACATTATAAAACGAACTCTAAAACTCTAAAAGATTTTGATACATCTATTTCTCAAATTTTTCGAAAGGAAAGTAGTATCAAGTATGTGATTTAAGTTTGTGAAACTGATTGGAAAGTTTGAGTACTAAGGATTGAGTAAATTACATTGAATTTGGTCATTTTCGTCACACGACACTTCTATGAAGAAGTCCTAATCATCGGGTAATTTCATAAGCGCAACGTTGAAAAAACAATTTATTTTTTATATCACGATTTTGTTTTGGACCCGTTTACATTTGTCTTTCGAGAATTTGTGTAATCTTGCAATCTTGGAGGGTGTAAAAGCTAAGGTATTTGAAGGTTTCAGTTGGACTGTTTACTCACACTTGGATGATAGGAATCTCTTGACGTATTTTAAATTACTAACCTAATATTTTAGCAATTTTGTAAACAATACATGTTGAAAAACTGTAGCTATAACATCATACTGAATGGTTTTGGAAAACCTATAAATAACATCGCATCATATTTTTTTCTCCATTATTCAAGTTCCTGCTGTTAGAATAAAGCAATAACAAGAAAAGCAATGGTAAGTGGAGTTTCTTTAAATTTTATTTTCTTCTTCAATTGTTTAAAATAAATCATGATTAAACATCACTTTATTAAATTTGTAAATGCAATACTTTTAAATTATCCACATTATCCTAATTGGAGATAATGAGTTCAAACTACATTTTACGTATGTATTAAATTCACAGACGATAAGAAACAGGTCTTGTTTTATACGCGTCATGTCAGGTTTTGAATTTCATAATATTTACAAGAACATTTAACAGAAATATATACACCTGGAAATAAGTGAAGCACACCCCGGAAATTTAAAATTGGTTTTGATTAAAAGCACTGTCATGAGATAACGACTTAATTGAGCTAAGTAAAAGTAATTTGATAAGTAGCGATACCAAGATTATAAACCAAGAAATCTATAAGTTAGGTTTATGCTTAATGAAATGATTGCAGCATAAGGAAATGTGATGTTTTTTACCAAACATATTAATGTTTATAAGTATGGTGTTGGAACGTTTACAAAACATTTACTCGTGGTTATTGTTGGAAAATGTTGACGATTGCGTAATCTAAAATTACATTATGTAGTCAAATTTTTAATAACGTTTGTAACCGTCACATGCTCGGATAATAGCCTCAACCCTTCTCCTCATACTACAAGTAAGGCGTCTAATGCGATTTTTAGTAAAAGCTTGCCATTCGTGGTGCAGAGCTTGTTCCAGTTGTTGCAGGTTTTTTTTACAGATGGTTCTTACAAGTTTGCCCAAATGAAATTAAACATTCTGGTTGTGGTTATGTCAAAATTGAGGCAAAATGTCGTGTGTGCTTAACTTATTTCCGATAAATTCACATTGTCATTTCAAATCTATTTTGTTACAGTAACCGTTTTGTGTATTCACAGGAAAACTCAAGGTATATCATTTTTGTTCTTGCCTGTGTTATCTTAAGGACCGAAGCAGTACCAGAGGTAAGTTCATTTTCCAAATATTTTGCAATGTTCAAATAACCATCCAATCTGTTGTTATTAAGATTATTTTGTTGAAGAAAGCATTTATTGATGTCAGAAACGGTTTAGCTCTTGGTATCTGTATCACTATCCATTTTTTGCAACTCAAAGACTTACCAGTAAAAGTGCCATTAATGCTTGAATTTAAGTCACGATTTAACCATCATATTAATTGCGAAAAGAATGTCTAAAAACGTTTAATAGTCCAAAGCTGATTCCCTACACGATACATTAAGGCAATATTCCATAATACTTTTATCGAAAGCGGCGTTTTGTTCAATTAATGATTTTTGACATTTGATAATTTATATATATACTGGCATGCGAGCAGTTCCCGTACAGAAGCAGTACCCGTATTTTTCATTTAAACGCTTGATTTTTACTTGCATTCTTCAAAAATTCATTTCAAATTAAGCAGATACATAAACAAGACAAAATCTAAGTGTCAGTTCGGTAGTACGTATAAAAAGTCTCATTTTAAATCACTTCCACCTGTGCGTCGTCAAAACGTGACCTTGTTTTCTCTGGGGGATTCCGTCCTTGCGCGCATGCGCAAAAATACTTACACGTGAGGCTTGTTAAAGGGTTTTCCACTAATACCACCTGTTTACAGATAAGTAGGCAATGTGATGAAAACTTGTTTAATTATCAGAATTTTGACCAATATTACTATATAAAATAATTTTATGGCTTTGATACGTAAAATATCATGCATACAAGCATGCTATTGCATGTGAATGCGTTGGGGTAACGGTACCGGGTAATAGATACCCGCGTTTAGTCTACGCTCTATTTCCTGAATTACATCTATTTATCTCTTAGATAATGGTCTGTTCAACAATTGTAAATGAAAAATAGGTCCGATATAATAAACTTATATAATTACAATGGGTTAGATTTTATGTACGGGAACTACTTCTCTTCATACAAAATAATGGATAATTTCGGTACCCCATTTGAGGCCTCATAAGTAAGGGTTATTCTATGTTTAGAACATGATGGAATTTCCATGATTTGTGTTACGAGCCGAATATTGATGTGTAACATTTAAATTTTGGTGAGTGATCGTAATAAAAAATAATGTTTAAGTAACTATGATTTTTGTACGGGAACTGCTCGCATGCCAGTATATCTTTTTTTTTAAATACAACATTGACTTTTGTATCATCCGGAAATTAACCTATTATAATAAAAGACGTGACCTATGGAAATAATAATAACTGCTAATGTACATCCTTTATTCAGTATCGAAGAGTGGTAGGACATATTGGAGATGCTGTAAGGGCCTACGAGGATGTGATGATTGACGAGGAAGCAGAACTGATCATAGCAACCGTCGCCAAAGTAACATCCAAGAAAGTCACACCATCTATTGCGTTCCATGACTTTTCTGTGGTATATTTACATTTTAATTTAAATACTGCATATTTGCATCAATAAGCAACTATATATGGTATGTTCACATACCAAATGATTACTATTCATCAATTAGATTTAATTCCTTAGAGAATATTTCAATATACGTCGTACCATTCCTTATTTCTAATGAACAGAAGAGTCCCATCTCATTATTTTGTTCCTATAACTCTCTCTAGAAATAAAAACAACAGCAAACAAAACAACCTTTCTATTTAAAGCAAGTATTTATTTTGAGATTTTAAAACAAAGTATTACATTTTAGGGATACAGTGTCATTAAACTTGTTGAGAAGGGCGTTTGTTACATAGAGAAAACTAGACATTCAATGGACTATTTGACAGATATTCTTTATCAAGCAGAAAGAGTAAGTTGTGAAATTTAGATGCAGTTCTTGTCTAAATATAATCGATTTGACCTATATTGTGTATGCATACTAAGTTTGGTATGTGATAAATAGCTCGAACATTAAAATAATCGGAATCATAATGACCATTCTTGCCTTTTACATGGGACCATGTTATATAATTGAATATTTTAATTTTATTTGCTACACAAATGTTAATTTTAACATCTAACTTTATCAATCAATTATTTGTATGAAATGTATAGACACCTTGTGCTTAAATTCAGGACAATGGTGACTATGAAATCAGGCAGACATTCAAGTGCACGTCAAAGACGTTTGTAGAACCGTCAGAAGTGGTAATGTACGGAGAACGGATAGCTGCCTTCTGTAAAGACTACGAGTCGGTGTTTGTTGAGAAAGACTACACAATGCGCAGTAAAAGAGAGACTATTGCTTTTGAGGAAGAGAGTGGTAAATGTCTTTGTGTCTACATTGCATTTGTTTACTTAAATTTGTTACTTATATGACATATTCAATTAATGTTTAATTTTACAAAAAAAAAATGAATTTGGTTCACAAAAAACTTAGACTCGAATAGGATCATTATTTTCTCTTGATAATTAATGAATTATTTTCTCATGATGGTTTATTAAGAAAACAAATGATGAATCAAATTATAAATCGGTCACTCTCATGTGAACAAAGTATAATAAATATATTTATTATACAAGATAAGATGAAATAAATTACACAGAACAAAAACGATATTTTAAGAGCATGTCAATGAACAAAAAGGCCCCAGACATGATATAATTTTGGCACATTGACAAAAGATACTGTATGTCGTCTGGTTAATCAAATATACTCAAATGAGATAATAGTTTGCACCTTGTTTGATAAATGTCTGTTTTTTTGTTTAAGAATAAACTTATTTATGATTTGTTAAAATGTCTAAATGCATTTTCTGTTTTTCAGTGTGGTGCCTAATATGCAGCGGAAGTTGCAACACCAATCCTCCTAAAGTTTTGACAGATAAACGATGATTACAAATTAACTATGCTACCTTTCTATCGGTCATTGTAAATATCAACTATTGCAAGTAAACAGTTGAATTGTTTTTTACTGTATTTTTGTATGTTTGGTACCAAGCGATAACACGAGAAACTCGAAAAAATTTATTCTATTTGTACAAACGTCATTAAAGACAAATATTAAAGAAATGTTTATGGACATCTTAAATCGATAGACAACGTGATTTAACAATGGTTACATGTCCATGACAGTCATGTTTTGCAAAGGAGAAATATTGTTTTAAATTTACGTGTATTGATCATGCAGTGAAATAAATATAGCAAAACCTTTAAATTTTCTTATTATTTATCATGTAACAATTATTATAATTGTATTAAACAAAACAAAACGAAATTCATCTTACATTGTAACTGAATGTATCTTAAGTTGTATTGTTGGCACGTCACATGCTGCGATAATCAAATCTTATAATAATAAGTAATAATATTAAGTGTTTGTTATATGCCTCTTTAATATTTTAGTCCACCTCCTTAAGTTTCGACTGTTCAATGAAGAACAATGGCATTTACGTGGTTGGCAATAATTATGTTATTTTTTATCAGCCAAACGCTGACCCACTAATGTCACATAAGAACACAGAAAAAATGCTTTTAGCTGCTTTCGTTTAACCAATAATAAAAAAGGTTTTTAACACCTACACGTCCCTATTTAGCTGTTTCAATCGTTAATTCTTTTCTGTCACTCGAGAGTCACCTTGTCATTTTAGCGGGGGATTACTATATCTGTGCGTTCTATTGTTTAAGATACCCCCCACCTTATGTGAAACAATTATCAGTTTGACAAATGATACAACAAATGACTCCAGTTTTTTAAACGATTTTGTATCCATACCGCCATATCTTGTAGAAAATGACAGAGGGAAGTCCGATTATTCTGTACAATAGAAATAAATTTGGGAATAGTAATAAAACGACGAGTTTGGAAGAAAAACTAAAGTCTGTTTTTGATTGAATTTATACATTGAATGCCGTCTCCAATGCCTCTCACAATATCTTATCTTTATTATAAAAAACAACATTGAACAATTTTCCGCATCAAACAGGACAATAAACAAATTTAGAGAAGGCAATAGTCAAAGGAGAGCTCTTAATACCCGGTACTTTAAATATCAGAGTTCTAGAAGTAAAAATGTATACGCGAGAAAATTGTACATAAGGAATAAACATAACTGTGAGACTGATCGTTCAGCAAACAGAACAGTATGTCCAATATAAACCCCGACAAATACAATTCATCACATACACTGTCCATAAACAAGTTAAATCAAACAATGCCTGCAACATTTCAATTTTCCCCGAATATATTGCGTTGAATTTCTTTTTTTCCCTCTATTTTGTTGAAGTGAGATCAGGTGAAGAAGATGCTATAACTGTGGATACTTTATGCCAAAGCAAGTTAAATGATTCGTGGTCGTTTAAAATATGTACAGCAAATATACATATAAAAGCATCTCTATGATAGACAAAGTCGAAAGGGTAACATATAAAATGTCGAAAGCAACTTTTCGCATTCTGAATAAACAGCAAAAAAATAAATAAATAAATAAAAATAGGAAAGAAACAAAAATAAATGAATAAATGATAAAAATAAAATGAATAAATGATTTTAAAAAATCGTCACACGCCCTTTATGTGTTACACTTGTAAAGGTAGCCTGCACTTTTTTGCCAACACAACTGCGTTTGCTGGTTCATTGTCATATTTATAACATTTCTGAATATGCCCTGTAAATCGTAGTCTTTCTTTGTTTCTTTTCATTCTACCGGTGCTGTATAATTTATTTAACAGGAACGATAACGTTGTTATAGAAAGTAATTTGCATTTGATCCATTTTTAATTAACAACGTTCTGAAGAATTCATGAAATTTCACAAAAAAGCGCAATGATTCTTACGAAAGGTATTCTTACATACATGAAAAACATGAACGTTGTCCAATGCAAACTTTATACTAGCCTTTTAAGGAGGACTGATGTTCTCTAACAAAATTTATAAAATTCCTTATGTGTGTCTTTATCATTGAAGTTATTTAGATGAATGATTTCTTGTTGAGCTACTTTCCGTCATTCGAGCTAAGCTAAGGCAACGGAGAGTATTTCCCGTCTGATGAGAAGCATTACTTTGGCGATTACTGAATTGTTTCCATAATCATATTGACGATTCTCAAAATAGTAATAACTTAGAAACTTTTATATTTAATACACTTGCATAATGTAAAGAAACAGAATAAAATGTTTCGGTGATAAAAATACTATTCTGCTACAATTATATTCATAGTGATCCAACCGTAAGGCAAAGGCCTTTTACATGAATAATAGTTTCAAAGGAAAAATACAACGATGTTTTACCATATAGTATTATGTATTTTGAATAATTCTTTTAACAATCGATTTGTAACTACAAACAGCAGATATATATCTTTTTATTTTATGCTTTTCAGTGGATTACTGATTTATCCGTGAAAATTATATTTGATAATTTCACAGTGAAAATTATCAAAATATAATTTCACTTTTTTCAATGGCGAAACTACTTTTTTAAGATTTTCCCCATGTGGTACCTCAATTTTATTTTTACTGACAATTCTGTCAGGCTGTTAAAAGAAATAGCAAAGCTGAAATAGATAAATAACTTACATGTCAAAAGTAATAAAGAGAGAAAACTTACTTCTATTCCTTCAAATTCCAATCACCAAATTTCGTCTCTAAATTTTTTTGTTTCGTTTTTACAGTCTGAAATATACATTCCTTCCACATGCAAAATTGCTCTTGATGACATTTGGGCATATTAAAGTATCCTACGAGCAATAACTGCCGTATGCTTTATGAAATATTGAATAGCATTGACAGCCATCACTCGTAAAATAAGTAAAACAACCCAGCGTTCCTTAGCAAGCTTCCAAGTTTTCCATTTTCCTAGCTCCTTTTCTGAATGTTTTCACTTCTGTCAACACTTATTTTTTGTCTGTTACAATCCTCAAATAAGTTTTCTTTCTTTTAAAAAGGTGTATGACTAACAAACCCAAATTATATCCTTCTGAATCTTACAGAATTATTTTCCTCCCATGAAATACACAACTTTAAAAAATGGCTGCCGCTTACATTTTACAAAGCCAGGTCTAATATAAATTCGCAGTAAGTAACAGAAATAAGGATGGATGGTTGGACTTTTTCTCCTACAAGAATTGTTTGTTTTTATTATTAAAACAAGCGATCATTCATTTTTTTTAAATAAAATGAATAAATATCACCGTCATTTAACCTTGATTGGCGGACTTATTTTTCAGCTCAAGACTTCTTGTTTTAAATGAGAAATTCCGTCTAAATGGGGCTCTCAATGGGGGAAACAGATTTTAATATTAACGTTAAAATTATAGAAATTTCGTTTTAACTTGTTTTTAAGCATAAAATAAAAAGAAAATTTGTCTGTTTGTTGTGTAAGATGTAATTTTATTTCATCTCGTGAACTTTAAAAACAGTATTCTCACTCGTGGCTACGCCACTCGTGAGAATACTGTTTTTAAAGCCCACTCGATGAAATAAACTTTCATCTTACACACAAACAAACAAATATCCTCTATATACACTGTACCATAATAATATTCTGTGGAATAATTATACTTATTCCGGAAATTTTGAATTAATGTATTTCGTTTTAATGAATCAAAAGGATACACTTACTTACAGACTTAATGAAAGAAAACTGTGTATATAGGAAGTCTCAAGATTTACTTTTACTACAGTTATTCAATTGAACCAAAGCTACTTATATTATTATTCTAACTTTGTTTTATTTTTAAAATAGACCTAATGATTTTAATATCATTTGCTAATCAAATGGGAAATAAATGGGAATAATGATATTTCACAAAGTAAAATTGTAAATTGTCGAACCAACACACTATAGAATTTCATTTACATTAACTATATCAAACTTGATACGTTTTAGGTTTCAGTTTACCTGTTACAGATTTATGTACAATGTATATGTAAAGAAACATATATTTAAACAAAGACTTCAAGTTATAACCCCCTCTTCGCGCAAAAGAGATAAAATCACTGTGACAATAAATCTGAAAGGCATTAGAAACATTTATGCTTGACTATAAACATTAATGACTAAAATGACAAAAACAATTTAATATCACTCCATCCATCAATCTACTCTAAGTATGGTAGGTTAATTCGACGGCAATATTATTACAATTTTTGTGTGTGAATTTATAATTATGTTACTTATTTGGCTGGTGAAAATGGAAAAGGCCGGTTACTCTCTATTTAATCCGGAAATGACGAACATGGTAGATTTTACAGCCGCCTAACAGCACTAAACATATCTGTAAAATAAATGGTATACCTATTTACATTTTGAAGATCGTTTTTAGAATGAAGGAAGTTTAGGCTATAACAATAGCAAGGAAGATAATATATGATACTAGCACATTTTTGTTGTTGATTCGGATGACAAAAGGAGCAAATAGATAGCAAAATAGTATTCTATGGTCCATTTTAAAATCGTGATATTGGTTTAAACATATTTATTTAAGCTCGATTGCGAAACAAGTTCTTGCAACTTATATTAACCACTTTCGAGTCCGCTTCCTGGAACCAACCAGTACTGGTGTCGTATGAAGAAACATGGTCTAATCTAATCGTGATATACTTTTAGCACTGTGCATTAGGCGGTTTCTGTATAAATAAATAATCCAATAATCGCATCCCCCCCCCGCCCCTTACAAAAAAAAAACTCGAAAAAAAGGGAAAAACTTTTGCTTATATACAAACCTATCATTTTGTTAATTCAAAAGTGTAATTTATTATTGCATTGACGTATGGAAGGTCAGGACAGAGTAAATGATATGATTAAACACTTCTTTAGACTGGGACTAAAGCAGAGAGATGTTTATTTACTTTTACAAAATAACATTTCGCTTTAACGAGACTAATGATGATGATGATGATGATGAAGATGATGATGACAATTACTATTATTATTTATTATTTCTTGCATTGAGAAACTTTTTAAAATATAAATAATATTTGAACATGTTGAAGAAATGATCGCAAACAGACGGAAAACATTGGAGTTTTGTTTAAAAAAAAAATAAAATAAAAGATTATAAACAATAATGAGGGCACAAAAACATCCAAAGGAAACAACAAAGGAAACAATACTTCACAATAGAAAAAAATGTGTTAATCACATTTAAGAATGTATGGCATACAAACAAAGTAATGTTAAAGATGAAGATAAAGATAAAGATAAAAAGGACGTTCTTCAAGTTCATTCCAATTGTTTTGATCTCATAAAAAATTTGTGTCTCTTTTTATTTAACTTTAACAGTAAACAAAAAGAGTTTTCAAACTTCCTCGTCAAAACTTAAAGTCACGTAAACATTTATTTTAGTGAAGTTATTTAAAAAAAAATAGTTATTATAGATAACTTCAGCAATCTAGCTCTGTCATTGTTAAAAGATAAACATAAATACATATCTCATAGACAAAGAACAACAGGAAAACAAAGCGTGTTATATGTGAACGGCGTAAAAAATATTGGCAATAGAGAATCTCCTATTTAACTATTTATGGTGACGGATTTGTGCCATTTTGTATTTTTGCTCCGGGGGGGGGGGGGGTCAAGCAGAGAAAAACAAGAACATGCAGTTTAAGTATCAACCATATATGAAACGGTACCTCTAAATTTGAATCCGTAAAACTTCTTTGTATTATATAAAAAATTAATGATATTTTCGTAAATACAAACTTTATTGTATTAGTTACGAGGGTTATCGCAGAAGTGAAAAAAAACGTTGTAATATTAGTAATTATGAGTAAATTCAAAAAAACATTTTACTCCGCGATGCGACAGTCGACAACATAAAAACATTTCAAAGTGATCACTTTGTCACTATTATGTGCTTTCGCCTTTCTCTTCGCGTGACATTAGACGACAAATGAAATTGTGACCACATTGACGTATTTTCGCTCCGCGGCTAGGGGAAGACAGGCGAGGTTGAGGAATCAGGAAAAAAAGGAAACTATGACAATATGACCACTTATTTTCGTTTTGCTCACAAAAATACGACATGGCACCAGTCAGCAATCATATACACAAGTTCCGCATAAGAGCCATAGATTGTGCGTTTTTTAGGTTAATATAGGTAGAGCTTTAAATTCATAACATCAATACGTCAGATCATGTTGATCTTTACAAGGCAAGCAAGGTTGCTATTATTTTCAAACGACAGCGTTGGTTACTAAGAGAAATATAAATACCGGCCACATAACTTTCTGTTAAATCCTAGAAAGTTGTCAGATTTATAGGTCAGTATGATGCAATGTTATTCAGCAGCTCTAAAAATGTAAATATTTGAATTTGTCCTTATCTTACTTAATAATAAATCATATCCTGGTCAAAACTTGTCCCATTATTTTTAATATATTCCAATGAAACAAACGACAAGTTTAAAGTAAAATATTATACTATTAGGTTCTTAAAAGTTTTATTTTCAGTTTTAATATGTGCATGACAGCCTGTAACAACGAAATACTTCTTCGTAAAAATACAATTATTTAATTAGAATAATAAAATAGAGCACATTGTAAACTTAATTACCAAAATCAACTACATTATAACATTAAAAATAATTGTTCGATTTGGTTGTCATTTTATCTAAGTATACAAATACTGAAGTTTTATTGCCCAAGTGTGCAATAAACTTATCTCTCCAATCATTTCAAATGATAGTTAATGTATCATTAAAATTTATGAAAGTGATTATAAAGAAACAACTAGAGCTTATATAAACAAGGCCGGCATAAATGTATCTTTTTTTTTTCTATATTTTTTTACATACATAGTTTGTACATTGTCCACAATCAATATGAAACAAACATAGACATGCAATGACTAATGATTATTATACCCCCAAAAACGAAGTTGGGGGGGGGGGGTATATAGGAGTCACCCGGTGGTCGGTTGGTCGGTCGGTCGGTCCAGACGTCCGTTGCATTTTCCTTGTCCGGAGCATAACTTGAAGACTAATGGTTGGAATTCAATATAGCTACAAACAATGGTCAAGCACATTGAGAGGAAGTGCAGTGCACAAGAACCATAACTCTATCTTGACTAATTACAGAGTTATAGCCCTTTGTTACTTTTCCTTGTCCGGGGCATAACTTGAAACTACTGGTGTGAATTAAAAACAACTTCATACAATTGTCAAACACAATAAGGGGAAGTGCAGTGCACAAGAACCATAACTCTATCTAAAGTAATTACAGAGTTAATGCCCTTTGTTACTTTTCCATTGCTTTCTTTTGTCCGGACCACAACTTAAAGACTAATGGTTGGAATTCATTATAACTTCATACAATGGTCAAGCACATTTAGAGAAAGTGAAGTGCACAAGAACCATAACTCTATCTTGACTAATTACAGAGTTATTGACCTTTGTTCCTTTTCCTTGTCCGGGGCATAACTTGAAAACTACTGTTTAGAATTAAAAACAACTTCATACAATTGTCAAACACAATAAGGGAAAGTGCAGTGCACAAGAACCATAACTCTATCTAAAGTAATTACAGAGTTATTGCCCTTTGTTACTTTTCCATTGCTTTCTTTTGTCCGGACCATAACTTGAAGACTAACTGTTGTAATTCATTATAACTTCATACAATGATCAAGCATATTAAAAGAAAGTGCAGTGCTCAAGAACCATAACCCCATCTTGACTTATTACAGAGTTACTGCCCTTTGTTACTTTTCCTTGTCCAGAGCATGACATGAAAACTACTGGCTGGAATTCAAAACAACTTCATACAATGGTCAAGCACAATAAGGGGAAGTGCAGTGCACAAGAACCATAACTCCATCTTGACTAATTACAGAGTTATTGCCCTTTGTTACTTTTCCATTGTCTTTTTTGTCCGGAGCATAACTTGAAGACTAATGGTTGGAATTCCATATATCTTCATAAAATGGTCAAGCACATTTAGAGGAAGTGCAGTGCAAAGGAACCATAACTTCATCTTGACTAATTGCAGAGTTATTGCCCTTTGTTACTTATCGTTGTCCAGCGCATAACTTGAACACTACTGTTTGGAATTCAATACAACTTCATACAGTTGTCAAGGACATTAAAAGGAAGCGCAGTGGACAAGAGCCATAACTCAATTTTGACAAAATACAGAGTTACTGCCCTTTGATACGGAGCATAACTTAAAAGGTACTGGTTGGAATTCAAAACAACTTCATACAATGGTCAAGCACAATAAGAGGAAGTGCAGTGCACAAGAATTATAACTCCATCTTCAGTATTTATAGAGTTATTGCCCTTTGTTCCTTTCCCTTGTCTTTCTGGACTTATTACAGAGTAATTCAATAAAACTTCATCAATGGCCAACCACATTGAAAGGAAATGCAACATACAAGAACTACAACTATCTTTAATTTCCCACAACCATAACTCTATATTTCAATTCTTTTACAAGGTATTCTGTTACTAGTAACATCCTCATTTCCGAAGCAGTCTTGTGGGGGTATTAATCACATTTAGTGATAGTTCTAGTTTGTTTAGTAAAGCAGATAAAATTGAGGATTATAATAAGCCTCCCTTCTGTATCATTACATGCTGAACAAATGGTGTGACAAAGTCATCTAAATAAAAAAAAATGAACACTATGATAGGTTTCAACATTAAGAAGTAAAAGAAAACCATAATGGTCATAGGTAATTATTGTGCTAATTATTCACGATTTATAAAAGAAGAGGCCTGGTCATTTGTTAGCCATACACTCGACGCCTTTATGAAGTCGTCACATTATTCAAGATGTGAAGTAATATCATCAGCAATTTTTTCTATAAGATTGATTGTCAAATAATTAACATGTTAGTTTCTGAACGGTATTACATTTTCTCCTGATACATTCGTATAATCTTTAAGAGTATAAAAGCTAAAGAGTTCATGGTTTAGGTAAACTGTTGTAAAAACTAAATTAGTATTTTGACCTAAATAATTTTGCTAACCTTACATAAAGCAGGTTTGTAAATGTCCCTGTTGTGGTACAGTAGTTGCCTATATGGTCATGAATCATAAAACTGTAACATCATCACACTGAATGGTTTTGGATATCCTATAAATAGCCGCGCTTCCTATTACTTCTATCATTCAAGTTTTCCACCTGTAAGAAAAAAAACTTTAACAAGTGTACGAAAAGGAAAAGCAATGGTAAGTGGAAATTCTACAAAGTGTATTTGCATCTCACATTGTTAGTAAAAAATAATGTGTTGACATTACTGAATCAAAATAGTGATTGTATTGTGTTTATATTATCCAACTCATGTGCGATTGTTGAAAATCAAGATTTGTGTTTCGTATATTCACTGCTTCATATAAATAATCGTAACATAAATATTATTATTATTGTGTAACATTAGTAACATAAGAAATATAGTTTTTTTTTAATTATTTTTCAAACTATCTCTACTGATGCAACATTACAGAAAGTTGACATGGCTTTAACCATAATTCTTATGGGTAAACAAAATACTACATGTATTCTAACTACTTAAGAGTTAAAGCAAAAATCCTATTCGGAGATAGATTTTGTATAATCCTGTACGAAATTTTGGCACGGATTCTGGGCGGAATTGGCACGGAATTGACACGGAATCAGTGATTTCTGGGCGGACCAGGAACGGAAACGCAAATTCCGTGTCATTCTGTCTCACAAGAAAAATATTTTGTTCACTTTTCTGGGCGGAAAACTAGAAAAATTCCGGCTGGAATTTTATTTGGAGCAGAATTTATGCTTAAACATTTCAACTTGGACAGAATTTTCAACTTTGAAATTTTCTTGGGAAGGAATGGTCTTCACTATGGGCGGAATTCTATACTTAAACATTTTTCTTGAACAGAATTTCACATATAAGATGTCTAAATCATAATTGTTAACTCTTGTTTTTGCACTTGCAGACAATGAAATTTTACCAACTGTACTTATTATTTTTGTTGAAGCATGATACTTGACCAATAATTACAGGTGTATTTTTAGAATAAATAGGGTTATTTTTTAGACATTAAAATATGCCTAAACAATGTTTTTAAATATTGTGGCAAATGATATATTGTCAGACTAATTTAGCAAATATTTTTTGTACTGAAAAACAACTGTAATAATCTTAGTGTAAAACTTGAAAACATTCACCTCCAAAATGCTTAAGTTTATAAAAAGCAACATTGAAATAAGAATGCTGTTTAAATTTGAATATCAGGACAGCCACAGGACAAGATAGTGTGCTTGCCATTTTAAACTCTTAAGAAATCATGATTTTGTTATAAAAAAATAAACAAAAACAAAACAAAAACATTGCATGAAATAATCTCATATAGTATGCCCTTTTAATCTATATAGAATTGATCAGCCAATTATGCCCAATAATTGCTTTCATTTAGGTAAATAAATACTACAATATATATCCACTGAGATTTTTCACTACACAGATCAGAGCTCTGATAAAACTCAACTGACCAGCAGTTTCCCACCATCTTAAATTCTTTGCATGACTAATTTACTCCACTGGTCATTCCAACAGATCAGGCTGTTCCATTGAATTATTTTGGGGAGAGATAACATTATAAATTTCATATGCAGAATTTGTCTAGGACATTGCAATTTTTTTTTGTTTAGAAATTTGTAATGATTTTTAAATTCTATATATATATCTATTTGTTACTTGAATTTTTGTTACATTCAATGAATGGAGGTTGAGATGATGAGTAAATTAACCCTGTTTTACATAATGATTGACCTGTCCATGCAGTTATACAGTTGTGAATTTTGAATTCTAAGATATCTGGGTCAGCAAAAAGTGTGCAAATAACAGAGGATGTACTTGATATTTTAACAATTTTGGAGATATACTTTTGTTTAAGATCTCAAAGTGTTTTAGTATTGGTATGATAAATAAGTGTGAAAACACGGGACAAGGAGATGAACAACATAATCAGGTAATTATAAACCTTTAGTTACATTAATGCTGAAACAAGTTTTATATCAAACTATCAATGGTAGCAAACTAAAATTTGTAACAAGAGGTCAATGCTGTTTTTATATTTTCAACTTCATACATTTGTTTTTTTTCTGATAATTGTTTTAAATCTTTGTTACATGTTTAATGGCTGTAAAATATAAATTATTCAATGATTCTATATAATGATTGTGTGTATTGTATAAATTAATAGCATGTAGTAGATCTTTTTCATTTCCTGGAAATTAAACAAATTAAGTCAATTTGATTAAATAGGAATAAATGGTACAAATTCAGAAGTTTTGTACAGCTGAACAGGGTCATCATAATCATTTATTATTTTACATGTATGTGTTGTGTTTCCAATGGAACAATCTAAAATTACATTTTACACTCATATTTTCAGACTGGGAGTTAAGTGCTGACTGTGAGATGCAAGGTGTTTCAATAAAGATGTGCAGTATTAATCCTGAAAAGGTATATTTTTAAATCTCAATACTTTACTATTCAACATCTTTCCTTGAAAAAATACATAACCAGTAATAAATAGTGTCACAAATAAAGCAGTTAATTAATTCTTATACAGAGCAATTCTTAAACACTTGTGCACTGAAATAAGATACTGCGTAAGCTTTAGTATTTTTGAATATGCATAAGCACTGTTAATATTTAATACTGTTGAAACATAAAATTTGATATTATCAAAAAATATGAAATATAACTGCATATATTTATGCAATCAAACATAATTCATTACTACATTTTTGTTTAATTAATTATTAATTTTATTATTAAAGGTGAGCACAACCACAAGAAGTTCTTGGAAACACAGGCAGTGGACTTAAAACAGACATCAATTAAAGAAATAGTAATTTAAATAATCAGAAACATTTGAAACAAATTTATGATTGAAACACTCTCAGCAAAAAAATTGCAAAAAAACAAAGTGTTGGATTCTAAGAAAACCAGTACCTACCAAAACCTGCAGGTAGAAAAAAACTGTTTGTGTTATAGTGAATGTATGGTATTCTTTTCTGTATTTGGACTAAAGGATATGTATTAAATTTTGTGTGAAAGAAAATTTAATGTGATACATTACTGATAATTTTATCCCAAAAAAATGTGATCATGTTAAACTCATAAAAATTCCGCCCCCGTGAATTCTGTCCCAGAATTCCGCCCAGAATTTTGTTTGACAATTCCGTTCCAAAATTCCGTTCCGAAATTCCGCCCAGAGATTCCGCTTCAAAATTCCGCCCAGAGATTCCGCTTCAAAATTCCGCCCAAAGATTCCGCTTCAAAATTCCGCCCCAACTCATTTGCATATTTCGTCCCAATTCCGCCCAGAATCCGTCCCGTTTCCGCCTGGAATCCGGCCGGAATCCGTGCCAAAAGCAAATGGTTTAACACTTGTATATTTGGGGGAGAATTTAAATTTCTGGGCGGAATCTGCCATTGAATTCCGCCTCATTTCCGTGCAGAAAATTTCGTACAGGATGTAGCGATTTGAGCGATCAAATCAAAATATCAATGTATTAACTATTTAAAGCTATGTGAATATTAAGATTTTTATTTCTATGATTTTTTTCTTATAACTACTAGTATGATTGTAAATATTTGATTGTTGTATTTGCAGGAAATTACTCAATGTATCTTTGTGGCGCTTGCCTTTCTGATTTTAGAAACAACTGCAATACCCGAGGTAGGTTTACTTTAACTTTACATTGTTATCCGATAATATGATGCTCCCTTATCCTAGTACATCGATTGGTACACAGTAGTAGACCTGGTATACCTGTTGTTTGGGTAATTTATTCAGTGTTGAATCAAACAGATGCAGAAATATCATCAAAGATTAGAAATATAATAATAGTGTTTTCAAGAGGTATTTCTTCTGAAATTGAAAATATTTTAAACAATTTAAACAATACAATAGATTTGTCATAATACAATACAACAATTATTAATTTAGTTAAAGTAACATATACTTGTATATAATAAAATTGTCGAAAGAACTTATTTTACAGATAAGTGTTACATTTCGTCGCTTGAAAAACGTTTTGTTCTAAGTGCCAATTTGTTGTTTTGAGAAAAAAGCATGTAAAGATTTAGTATTGCATAACTTTTTTATTTATTGTCGGATTTTGAAAATTTAAAAACTACTAAACGTGATTTCGAGAGAACATCTCAATATCGTTAAATATATGTGGATTTTAATATTCCCTTGCTTAAAAACCTTAAAAAACATTTCGAGATAGAACAGTCCTTGTAATTTTTTTTCAAAAATTGTTAAAATCAGAGTGTTCAATGTGACTTAGAACATTATGTCTTTTAAGTTGAATTGGTTTATACCATATAAAACAGTATGTTTTATCTTTAAAAGGCTGCCAAAAATGCTCTGGGCTAATTATCCCTTGATTAGTTGACTTTGACACTACATTATTTCTTAGACCATATGTATCTAACTACATGAACTATGACAATCGAAATCTTTTTAAAATCCTTAATTCCATTACATTATTAAATGACATTTAAACAAATAATTCAAATAAATAAAGATAAAATACCCACATAAATTTTATAGACATTTTATCTATTTTTATAACTTTGGCTATTACAATTTAATACATTCAAAGTAATTCAATGTCTGGAAAAAGAATATTATACCCGCAAACGGGAATAGAAAACTTTCAAATCTTATAGAATGCTGGAAAAAATCTTTCAAGATTTTTTTTTTCATGAAAATTCAAAAGATGGTTAAATTCAAATTCCTTCCAAAAGTATGAAATAGTAGTAATTATTTTGTTTTGCGCCTTACACGTTCTGTTTATGTTGGTAAGAAGTATTGAAGGTATGTAAAAAATGTTTTTATAACTTAAGTAGGCAATGAAAACATATCTGCTAGAAAAGACCTAAAAGGTGGAGCAGGCATGACTTATATTTGAAAAATGTCATATTAAAAGATTGTTCGTGTACAAAACCATTACAAACATAATGCTATATAAATATTCATTAGAAATTCAAAGACAAATTACAAGACAAACAAAATATACGTATAAGAATATTTTCCTCCTTCTGTCTTTGGTATAAAATGTGTTTACTTTAAAGCAATCGATTAGTTATATAACATTAACGCATTCGAAAACATATATTATAGGTAAACGTATAATATCTATAAATTTTCTGAAAGGCCTTTTTTGCCCCAGAAATGCTTTTATCTTAATCTCTCAAAAGCCTGATATTTGGAGTTCTGTTATAGTTTCCAAAATATTCCACATTGGTCAGTAACCTAAACCATCTGATGCTTTTGTTTCATATTGGCAATGAGTACAGTTACAGTCATTAAGTATTTTGAATGGAAGTAAAAATACTACACTGTTGACCTTTAGCTACTTTTATATTAAAACATTTTTCATTCATAGGTATATAATTCAGGCGAAAAGCATCTAGCATGCTGTTTATCATTACAATTTTTTAAACTCTTATGTGTCTGTTATAAAGATAAATAATTGGATGTGCCTTTAGTTAAAAAAACGTTGGAACATATAACAATTTTCTTTTTTACGAATTTGTTTGATGAAATTGTATGATCACAGTTGTTTCTATCCGAAAACACACATCCGAAATTACTTTCAAATCATGATCAGTTTTGCTTGTTGTTTAATCACATGCAGTAAATTTATAGGACTTAATGATAAAATGTAAATGATTGGAGGTAATAAATGAATACATAATACCATTCAATACTTATATTTAGTATTGATATATGAAATAAACAGAAAACCATCTAACTCAAAATTTTTCGTACAACATGGCGGGTGTCCTGTATCACGTGATTTTATGCTATGTTTTGATACGATAATTTTGGATTTAGAACAGTATGTTGCATATATCCCACAGGTCACGTGACATTTATCGATGATATGATTAGTCCAGTAAGTTAGAACAGTCTATTTATCAAGACATACTAAATTTGTGGAGATAGAACAGGATGGTTTTGTTGTAATTCATTTATGAATCTCTGAAGTACTAATATAACATGCCAAGGAGATAGAACAGTCCATTACGGACAAAATTGTGTATTTAATTTGTTTTTGGAACATTGGGAGATAGAACATTACAGTTTTCAAGCGACGATTTGTTTCAGTATAAGCGCTTCAATGAAAGAAATGATTCTTTTTTTATTATTAAAAGCAATCTTTATTTTCGGTATGTGATGAATAAAATGTTAAATTGGTGTAAGTCCATTACTGAATTTACTGAAGTCGATGAATAAAATAATATTATTCCCGCCAAAGGGCCTCAAAACAGAGTTTCATCAAAATCGTTCAATAATTAATTATGTTATGTTACATTAACTAGTATCGAAGAGTGGTAGGACATTATGGAGATTCTATGAGGGCCTACGAAGATGTGATGATTGACGAGGAAGACGAGCTTATTATAGCAACCGTCGCCAAGGTTTCATCCAAAAAAGTCGATCCATCGATTGCATTCCATGACTTTTCAGCGGTATACTGTATATTCTATATACTAGTTCATTACATAATAAATTATATAAACTGAGCAAATAATGAATTTATTAATTACGTATTTTTAATGTATTATTGATATATTAAATAAAGTGTGATCTGTATCATGAATTCTACACTTTTATATCACCAGTGTACGACACTTAAAATTAATTCAAACTTCAACTTAAGTTTGGAAATAAACGGCTGTAAGTGTGATGTGGGGCATATATATTAAGCCGTTAAATTCATTGTTTGTGATGAACAAACTCAAATCTCATTAAAGTCATGTCCTAACTGTAGTTCCACCTTTCGCAACGGAGCGAAAACGATGATCTGATTTTTTTTGTCAATTCATTTCTTATATTTTAATCATTTTTCCCGTAAAAAGGTTCTATTGACATACTTAGAAGACAATATTTCATTTTAATACTCGAAACACACTGTTTTTTTTTGTTCAATGTTCAGGGATACAGTGCCATTAAAGTTGTTGAGAAGGGTATTTGTTACATAGAGAAAGCTAGACATTCCATGGAATATTTAAAGGATATTCTCTACCAAGCAGAGAGAGTAAGTTGTGGAATTTAAATCCAATATGTTATTACAGAGCTTTATCTAAATATAATATATTTGACCAAAAGTATTGTTTTTGATTCAATCTACAAAGTTAACAGTATAAATGTTATTTCCATAATCTAATATTTAACACATTGTACGGAAAACAAAATAAAATGTATGGAAGAAAATAATTATGATGCTGCTACTTCCCGTAAGTATAGAATAAAAGTCTAGCAATCATTATTCATGCACCATTCGCTCTTAAGGATATTTTTATTTTATACTTATTTCTTTCATTATTTAATACTTTGGAAGTATTCTTTTTTCAAATTCAAGCACCAAGACATCAAATATAGATTTATACACATTAAATTGTGTACCAGTAAAAATCGTTGAAATTCGATTATCATAACAAATCTTTTTTTAGGTAAACTATTCGCAAACAATATATTTTAATATATATTTTATTATATGAGGTTAAAACAAAGAAACCGTTATGACCGTATATATGTCTTTTCACATCGAAAACGAGATCATGGCTAATTGAATGAAGTCAATGTGATTTTATCAGACAAGCATTTTAATAATATTTAAGATATTCACTTTAACCTGTATACAAATCGTGTAATTGTAAATATGGTTTAAATTCAGGACAATGGTGACTATGAAATCAGACAGACGTTCAAGTGCACGTCAAAGACGTTTATCGAGCCGTCAGAGGTGGAAATGTACGGAGAGCGGATAGCTGCCTTCTGTAAAGATTACGAGTCGGTGTTTGTTGAGAAAGACTACAAAATGCGCAGTAAAAGAGAAACGCTAGCTTTTGAAGAGAATAGTCGTAAGTGTATTCGTACTTATATTTATTTACTATATGTATATTTAGCTCATACCGTTATAGAACAAAACCCGAAGAAACAAACAAATAGTTATCATAATAATAAATATGTTGTTTTCCTTAACCATTATTGTGCGGATTAAAGTGAAAATAAACAAAGGTCATGTTTTTTAATACTTTTCAAGAGCATGCCGAGGAATGAAAAATGAGGATTCTATTTCCCTGTATATCATCATAAATATATATCTAGTTAGCTTCAGCAACTGGTAAGATACCTTCAAATATCATTCTTATTGAATAAATAACTTTTTATGGCTTACCCTTTTCTTAAAAGAATCCAGAACTGTAATATGTCCGTAGCTAGTGTACCGTATTGCAACGTTTAAAACGAAAAGACCGACTTCTAAACATTTTTTGACGTTTCATTTTCAGTGTGGTGCTTCATTTGCGGAGGGGATTGCAACGCTTAAAAGATCGTACAGTTAATCTGGAGGAAAACAAAAGTTGCTATCAAATGTAAAAATGAGAAATAATTATGATGATACTATATTGTACATTAAAATCATAGGTTAAAAAAACTAGTTTCGTTTATGTTAAACATTATACATAGCTTTCAAGCGTATGCATTATGTGATTTCCAAAAATCAACTTTTGTCAACATATTCTTGTTTTCATTTTTCTTCGCAAAACATTGTATACCATATCTTTTTATTGTGTACCGCTCAAACTTTGATAAATCATTCTTATAACTTTTAAGAAGAACTATTCTTACATGTTGACATGCTTGAAATGTAGTGCAATAAACGAATCAAAGTTTTTTTTATCATTATCCTTATACAAGTTATATTTTGTACCTATTCATACGTTCGAATCCCGACAGGGACTTTTGATTCCTTCATGTGAGTAAGCTATCCAGCTAGCTTACGGAACGTCGGTTGTTCTACTCAGGTGTCCGTACGTGCCTGAAATAATGCACGGAATGGCACGTGAGGCGTGAGGTCTGCCTCCACAAGTAAAGCTGGAACGTCGCCATATGACCTATACTGTGTCGGTGTGACCGACCGTAAACCCAAGCAAAATAAACAAACATACATACAAAACTTATTAATACACAAACATGGTATATATTGTTAAATGCTTTCATGCGGTATTTTTTTCAATGATCCATGCTGCCATACTCAAATAATATTTCATAGATATATGCCATAGTGTTCATCATCGATTACACACATGCCCTTGACAATAACCTAATAGAGAGTGTATACCTTCAGCTTTGTATTCTCAATAATTTATAAATAGATCAAAAGTCAGATTTATGAATATCTTTCCACTTGTTATTTTGAACAAGCAATATTCAAAAAAGAGATATTTAAAAAACTTCATGTCTGATATTTATACAAACATAAATACAGAAGTGTTTGACAATGGCAAAAAACATTGTTTCTAAATAATTTCACGAAAGCTAGAACATCCGAAAATGAAAGGTACTTACCATAAATTGCATTCATGTTACAAAGAATTACAGGTACGTTGGTCTTATCACGACCGCTTTCTGTAAAAATGTTTACGGGTAGACGTCTGTAAAAATGTTTACGGGTAGACGTGCGGTATTTTAAGAGAGCGTGCATACGATTTAGGCATGAAGAGTGTACCATTGTTGAAGATATAGAAGATGCGGTGTTTTTAGAAGTTGAAAAGGCATACAATGTATATATACACTTAACTGACGATGCCATATAGAAGTCTATATGCAACTTAATTAATATATATCTTATATTCTAAACGGAAGATCCAATTATTTCCTCCATAATCTTCACAGTTGTCTTTGTCAGAGTATAGAAGTCACTGGATAATATTTTGGTATCTGTAGTACCTTAATCAGATATATTTAAGCATAACTGCAAAGTGGCTCTTACTCGGCAGTAATTAGTATATACTTAGCCGCTTTTTTCATGAAGAGACCAGTGCTGACAATTGTAATTGGCATATTTTAATTAACCAAGTCAGGTGTTTCTAACACTGTAGCAATGTGAGGATACTTTCAAATTTATTACATAGATACTAGTAATACATGTGGAGCACGCAGAGACAAATGATTACACAGTAACAGTAACTTACAATAGCCAGACAATCATATTATTATTGTCATCATAAAATTTAAACTTTTCCTTAACGGTAGTTTGACATTATCTAAAACGCTAATTAACTACGTATATTTCACGACGCACGCTGTTCAAAACATTTGTAATGGCAATATACCATGTCATTAAAAATCGTATCTATACTTTATACTTAAGAATTACAGTGTCGGCTTGTGCGTCTAGAAAATCTATGTCACAAATTCCACTCTTTATGCTTTATGTTTTTTTATCAAGCCTGATCGCCCACAATTATTCACTTGAAGGGTCCGGGTAATTTAGAGGGAAAAACATACTTTGTGATCGGAATTAAATAAGAATATAGTTTTTTGACGTTTACTTCAAAAAATGCTATATATATCAGTGTCAACATGTGTTTACATATACAAATGTAATTCGGCAAAAACATGAAAGGCAGAGTAGAACTTTGGTCTCCCTGGTTCAATCCTATATAAGAAATGAAGAATCCGATTTCTGAAAGTTAAACCAAACACAACTTTCCACTACCGTGCGCATTGATTTGAAGACTTGACCAGATTTGCCACTTGCGTTTTTTTACACAAAATGTTTTGAAACATGCTTTCTATATAATCAAATCATTGCACTTGAACGATATACTCTTCATACTTAATTGATGTAATTCGAACTGTTCTTAAAACAGTCTGTAAGATGAATACACAGCTGGATTCGCCCTGTAGAAAACAAATCTAAATTGTTTATAATATAACGTCTCTTATTTGGTTGACTTTTAATTCAGTAAATTACAACAAGAACATGTATCAACGTTTTTACCACGGTAGTTAACTTCACCATTTACGCCCCCTTTCGGCGTTATAAGAATTCAGTAATTACTATTTATCAGGATTTTGCTACAATGACATAAACCTTTCTCCCGTTAAGCTATCTATACCTAACATTGTTTTATAATTTAAATGAAATATTAAAAAAATCACTGCGCTTTCCAAATTCCTTTTTATAAAAGACATGCGCTTTCCAAATTCCTTTTTATAAAAAGCATGCGCTTTCCAAATTCCTTTTTATAAAAGACACTATAGTATAATTCATCGCCAATTTCATTATTAATAGATTTCAAAATGAATACATTTGTGAGGATGTGATCGTGAATAAAATGCATTTGACACGTGGTGGGTTACACGTGCACCGATGAGTGCTGCCATCAGTTCTAGTCTGGGTAAAGTTATCTCTTTTACAGGTGCGACTCTATTCTTTGCAAATACAAGGGTAGATGTATGACCGGAAGTAAGATACGCTACATCACCATAAGCACGTGCACTTGCATCAACAAACACGTGTAAATTAAAATCGGCAGAATTTGCTGTATTTTCAGTGGTGGGAAAATATGGTCTCTGGAACTTGGTCTGAATTACGCTGTTCAGGTCGATGCTCAAATCAGCCCAGGTGTTAATGATATTAACCGGAAGTGGTGTGTCCCAATCAAATTTCTTCTTCCATAGGTCTTGAACTAGTAATTTGGCGCGTACAGTTACTGGGCTAAGCAATCCTAGGGGGTCATATAATTTTGAAGTCTGTTTGAGAATAGAACGTTTGGTTGTTCTCTCAGAGTTTACTATCGTGCGCTGTACAAAGGACATCTCGTCATTATCCGGGTCCCATAACATTCCTAATACCTTGACAACTTTATCCTTGTCCAAGACTTTTTCAGCTACTGCGAGTTCACATAATTTACTGGAGTTTGAAGTCCACGATCGCAGATTGAATCCTGCTTCGGACATGAGAGTACGTGCGTAGCGGAAATAGTTAAGAAGATCCTGTTCTTGTTGAAAACTTGAAATTACATTGTCGACATACAGGTCTCTGGTAATTATATTAGCGGCAGGGTTACTTGCATTCAGGGTCTTGTGTTTTAGTAATGTAGCATTGAGAATAAATGGGGAACATGTGGCTCCAAAAAGAACAACTCGAAATCTGTATGTCACAAGCTGGCTTTTGGGATCTGTAGGGTCAGATAACCATAGAAATCTGGTAACATCTCTGTCATCTTCGTGTAGACCGACATGTGAGAAAGGCTTTCTCTATGTCAGTTGATACTGCATATCTACCAAGCCGAAATCTTAACAGAAGGGTGGTTAGATCATTCAGCTCTGGAGGTGTGGATTCAAGGCAATCGTTTAAACTTGGACTTCTTTCTGATTGGCGGCAACTACAGTCATAGACTATTCGTATGGGCGTTGTTGTGGAATTCTTTTCAACTCCATGATGTGGTATATAATGCACGCGTTTTTGCTCTGGAACTTTCGTCTACTCTTTCAATGAAACCTCTATTTTCTTGTTCCTGTATAATATCGTTATATTTCTTCAACATTTGGGGCTTCTGACTTAGGCGTTTTATTGTACATTCTGTTCTTTTCTTTGTAATGTTTATAGTTTTGAAGGGAGGGTTTGATGATTCTGTTTCCATTGGCAACTTCGCTTTGTAATTTCCGTCTGAGAATGAAATACACGATTTCTGGTACTGTTGTATATAAGAAGAGCATCGGTATCTTCACAGTCTCCTTTTGAAACACCCATTGATTCTATATCCCAAAATCGAGTGAGGTCTGTCGTTTCAGATACGTGGGTTGCTATGACTTCCATAACATTGGAAGGTGGATAACTACTCTCTACATGAAGTGGGCCGGATAAGAAGTAACCAATGCGGGAACTTACAGCAGTGGGTCCATCACCTCTAATAATTTTGTCGCCAACTATCTGCCAGTAAAAAATCAGCACCAATTAATAGTGATATATCGAATGTGGTATCCATGGTAACAGGGTGAGCAAGTTTGAGTCCTTGTAGATATTTCAAGTGTTTGATGGAGTTGCGATATACATTATTGATGGGCTTTGCTATCACGGGAACAATCAATACTCGGATTGGGATTAACATTCCGTCGTCTGCTACTAAATTTATAGTTGTCGTATTGAGATGTTGAACGCTGTGCGCTGGGTCGCCGAACGCTGATAAATGTATAATATCTGTTCCATCAATATTCAATTGAAGTTTATCGGCTAACTTTTGGGTGATAAAAGATCTTTGGGCTCCTTCGTCCATTAGAACATTTGCTTCTGCATATCGTCCATTAGCACAAACAGGGGCTGTCGCAGTTTTTAATAAAACATCTGACTGGTGGGTTTTTGAAAATAATATAGTTGTATCACCGGCTTCAATATTAGTACTCCGGTTACGTCAGACTGTTGTGTTTCATGACTTCCTATGGCGGGCTTATTTGGGTAGTTCTGGGGAAATGTCGATTGGGAATGGCTGCATGTACTAGTATGATGTTTACCATGACACTGGCGACAACGCGACTTGGACGGACATCCAGACACTTGGTGACCTTTACTTAGGCAGTTAAAACACAAATGTTTTATCTTTATAATTTGAATGCGCGATTTAACATCACTTACTTTCTTACAGTCTCCCATATGTATTTCATCACAGTAAACGCACTTTTTCTTTGAATGCTCAGTCCGGTATAATGACTTCCGGTTGTCTCTATTTCGTGCGGCGGTTTAAAATGATGCTGTTGGTATGAATCTTTCCTGTTTAGTGTTCTGTGACTCTCCCGCTTCCATAATTTCAATCTCTCTGTTTAGTGATTTGCGTAAGTCTGGAAGCGTCCAACTTCCGGTAACATGTTCCCTAGCTAAATGACGTCTGGTTTCAGGTGGTAATCTTTCAAGGATTATTGGGATTAATAGATTGCCATATGTATCTTGTAGTTCACCTAATGATTCTAAACCCCGGATGTTTGTCTCAAGCATATCGTAAAATTGACGTAATTCTCGAATATCGTCTGCTGGTGTTGGTAACTTCAATAATGTCTGCATATATGCGGAGGTGATTTTTTGTTTCTGTCCGTAGCGCTCTTTTAATAAACACAATGCCTGACTGTAGTTTGCATTCGTTAACGCGAACCCATCAATAGTTCTTGCAGCATCTCCCTCTAGCAATGACTTCAGGTAACTGAATTTCTGCACGTCTGTTAAACTGGGATTGTTGTGCACTGATGATTCAAATGAGTCCCAAAATGTCTGATACGTCAAGAGATAACCACTAAATGTCGGCATAGAAATTGTTGGCAACTTGTGATGAAATGAATTAGACAGAGGTATGCAGGTTCTGTCTCTAATGTAGTCCATCTGCTCGCCGTGATTGCTGGATGATGGTTCTGTTCGTGACGAGTGGTTGATATTGTCTCTGTCTACGTCTCTTACGGAATCTGATAAAACCTGGAATTTCTTATATTTCTGTAGTTGACGTTTTACACGAATGTTGTACATAGCGGTTTCCTTCACCTCTACTGCTGTATTTTCTGTATCAATCTTGTTTAAAATGTCTGCATCAGTACTCGCCAAAGAAAGCATAATGTTTTCGATTGTTTTTATGAGAAGTTGAACATCTTCTATATTATTTTCTCTAATTGCATCTTCGATTTCCTGCAAATGTTCTGCTATAGTAGCTCTGTGGCCCTCTCTCACTGCTTGTAGTTTATGAAGATTCATGGTGGTTTCGGTTCACGGCACCATAAAATGTGAGGATGTGATCGTGAATAAAACTAGGCGTTGTGTACGGTTCGTTTCCTTTATTCAAACTGAATGTTTACATACATAGGAAATGACGTTACGTTTAAAACATAAGTAAACAATTCGCGCAAAAGCGACGTTACGTAACGTCGCGCCAAATCTACAACAACATTGTTCAATTGCCAGGACGAATTGTCTTAAAAAATGATGAAAAGCGACCAGCACATTCACCACACAGTGAGGGCGTTGGCGGTGACACACTCGTTCGCCACTCAGTTTGATGAATCATTTTCTATAATAGTGAACAAAATTGTGAACTAAGTAACCATTATAGAAAACTGTTGTCAGTGAAATGGTAAAAAATATGAGGTGATGAATTAAGATTATATGAAAAAAGTAAGTGTTTCAGCTTCTCTTCCTTTCTCGTAAACACAGCATAAGCCTTTCCACATGCAGAGTGCTTCACCACCGCGCTACCTGCAATGTAGCACATTCAATGCTGATGGACAAACAAAATCGTTGTTAGTTGTGTTATCTAAAAGTGCTTAATCACAATAATGGATTTTTATCTTATTGTTTACATAAAACGTTCTTTTGAAGACTTCTATAAAAGTTACACTTCTTCATAAACCCTCATGTACAAACTCAATCAAACCGAGACTGCAATGTTCATGTAACTTTATTGTGATTAATGCTTCCGAATGATCACTTTTGTTCCACATTTTTACATAAATGGTTCCAGTCTGATGCATACCCTTTAGCTAAAATATGTTATGTAGCATTCATTGCCTATTAGACCTGTATGAAGAATATATTTATCATTCACTCTGGTAAAAATGGCACTACCCTGGGCCGGCCCCTTCGCTTAACATTGAATGAATTTGATAGAAAAATAAAATACAAAAATCCTCTTCTTTACTATTATTCGTGACCCAAGTTTATCATTGGTTTACAACAGTTATATAAATTACAGTGCCAATGTCAGAATTCGACCTACCATAGTGATCACATACAAATTAATATCGATTGATGAGAAAAATAATGTTAAGAGCTTGAATAATTGACATATAATAGTGTCAAGTGAACTCCTACAACGCCATATACATTATGTCCCTATGTGAAACCATTCGCTGTTGGTTACATAGCTTACAACGTACGTTATCTTCCAACCAGAAACTATAATGACAAACATGACTATAATCTAAAAACCTTTCTAGCTAGATATCAAGACCCGTCACTTATCATTGTGTTTCTATTCTTTTTTTTTAATTCTTTTTTTTTTATTTAAGATTTAATTTCAGTATGAATAGAAGCATGTCACTGATAAAATGCCTATCAAACTTTTTACCATTTATGTTAACTATACGTTCCATATTTTATATCAGGTGTATTTCGTCAAAATACATGCTATAACAATTATTTTGTATAAAACATACATATATACAATACAGTACAGTCTCAAGACGACGCATCGATTTCGCACGTTTTCTAATGTGCGTGACTCAAGGCGAAATGAAAAAAAAAACGGCCTAATGCAATGACGGTTCCGTCAAAGTATAAAACTTACATAACAATGCACTCGCTAGTGGAAAACATCAAACAAGCACTTTTTTCTTTTCATGAAATATAAAAACCGAATCGCGTATTACCAATATACATGTAAACTTTTAGTAAGAATAGCGTTGGTGTACCTTTTTTCATGCATTAATATCTGCAGAAGACCTAGGCTTATTTGAATCCCTCGCCGCCCTGCGGTTTCTTGTTATAAAACACGTCGTTGTAGTTCGGAGATTTAGATTTCCGTTACATTTCGTGAAAACTAGAAACATGCTTCCATTGATATATTTATGCTTATGTTCATGATCATATATTTGTATGGACAGATTGTTTATTGTGTTCTAGAAGAAATATGGCAGCAATGTTGAAATATCAATGTTCATGTTTACAATCGCAGCATGTTGAAATATACAGTTACGCTACCCCGCAAAATGAACTTAATCATAATATAGACATTAAAGTTTAAACAGCATACAAGTAAGCAAAGTATCATGTATTGTCAACATGTGTGGATAAGATGCATAATATTAAGTTTTTAGTTTTTTTTTCATCTTACAAAGGCCTCCTGGCAAATTACAGCATAAGATAACTAACATGTAATGTAATGAAAATACAATGAGTTGATCACATCTCTGTGACTATACCATATAAATAAGCACTATATTTCAATAGACAAGATAAGCAATTTGTAAAAAGTAGACAGGCCTTGTAAAATGTTGTACATTAATAACATTCCGTACATTACTTTATCAAAATATTAAGGATCAATAAGAAAAAAAATATATTAACGTAACATGACCACCTTACCCGCAAAAATAGTAAAGGAAGTGACGTGTACCATATCTAATTTTATAACGTGCAATTTTTAAAATTAAATCTTTAGTATGTTTATTTATAAAACACAGACGAACTTATTTCTAGCTTTAAATTTTAAACACTAGGTGACAGGACGGGTCATGGTATGACTGTTAAATGCTCAATTTAACTTTTGGTGTACATGTATTATCTTACAAAGTCTCATTTTTTATTCTTTTTGTATTTAGTCGTATATTGTCTCAACAGAAACTATTTCTCTTAAAACAAGACAAAAAAGAGATGAGTATTACAAAATAAAACCTTTTTTAAAAAATCATTGTAACTTCAAAGCACATGCAAGACGGTCATTATAAAACATTTTGTCAGTTCACATATCGTGATCACCAACTTTGAATGTCAATTCGGAATGGTACGCCATGATACGTTCAGATAAAATCATGTCTTCTTCTTGTTTATTGTATAAATTTAGAATTCTTGTTCATTCTCTAGATAGGAGATTAAGAAGAAAGAATAGTTAAAGCCATTCATTTTTGAATTCGTCCATGTAAGTACCAGTCCTAACTTGTTCACGCCGTCACAGTCCTTACCTTACTTATTCACGCAGTCCGGATCCACCTCTTCTTTATGTCAAGGTCCAAGTAAAGTGGAATAGCCGATAAATTACGTTTTGTACGCCCTTTCAAAACTGGATATTTATCTTTTGTTACCTATTACACTTTTGTGTAAGATTTTAGATTTTCATTTTTTTGTACTTCAGTGCAGTTTTGGTTATGAAACGTACGAGGTCGATAGGAATTCTTCCACATGTATCTTGTTCAAGCATAATAACACTAATTTCGCCTGTTGATAAATCACCATTTACTCAAATTTAAACAATCGAATCAATGTCTATATTATTAATAATATTATGTTTTTGAAAAGAAACTGCCCTTCCGGCTAAATGATGGTGATTAATACAATTATATGTTTCAACCATAACGGGAAACAATTGTCAAAAACAGGCATATGATAAAAGGAAATAAAAAAGATAAATACCTGAAAATAATCATATATATAAAATATACAAATAAAAAAGAGAAATAATACTGTACATATAAGAAAAGATAATACAATATCAAAATCAAATAAACTGTAAAAGCAGTGAACAAATTCATATATTTAATTTGATAGATAATTATGCATAAAATATAGTCGACATGTATTTCTCCATAGCCAGAAATATTAATAATCATGTCATATCTTTCCAAATTAATTATTAACTATTCATTTTTCACCTCTTAAACCTTGATACTTTATTGATAAGTTATATCTTGTCTTGCTAGCAATTTCATTACAGATTCAAAATGTAATAAATTTAATTAAATGTTTAATTATCACTTTAAAACTATTATGGTTTCATTTTATATATCTTTTTACATTAATTTTATTCATTTATATTTCTTATAATACTAATTGCATATGTTTTCAAATGTAGCATTTGTTACCCTTTCCAAAAGAAATATCAATTTATATACGCATCTAGAAAACAAATATCTAAGTGCAGTCACTGCAATACATGTAATTTCTTTCTTTGTTCTTTCTAAAGGGAAGTGCACGTGCAGCAGTATTTTGCTGATTCATACTTTTTGCGCAGTAGATCTGCCCTGAAAGTTATATGGACAATGCAATACACGTGTGACACCCCGGCTGGTTTATGGGATCAGACGGTTGTGTATAAATACCGTGGCAGTGTGCTCCGCTAGCATACTTGCCTTGTTGCGTTGTCACCGCATTCACTGAAGACAAGAAAGCTATTTTACAACAGAAGAATGGTAAGTGACTAGTTGCTAGTTTATTTTAAAGTAAGTTTTGTAATTCAAAATTAATATTTTAATTGAATTGTAGTCTTCTTTTTAATGGAATTGAAATGCACATATAATAAAATACTTTTTTACAGATTTTACGAAAATATTGTACAAAGATATGTAGAATTATATAATTTAAGAAAATTCACTATGTGAAATATTGCAATTATTTTAATACCTACGTGATGTTACTAATCTTTTCACATTTAACTTGAATAACGCTTGATGTTAATATGTTATTTAACAATTGACTGTACAATACGGGAATATATTTGGACGAATACACAGGTGGAGAAACCATGCTGGAAGAGACGCCATGCGAGTCTTATATGATTACTAAAGCTGTGTATGAGTGTAAATAACTTATAACCGTATTGTTCCTGTTCAATGTTAACTTATATAAGTAGTTTATTATTAATATCACTCATATTGAGAAAACGAATATGTGACCTATCATTATCTAAATATAACAAAATGCTAGGTACATTATTTTAAGTTCAAATACATTATACGACAATCAGTTTTGCTTTCGAAAGAGGCATTCAACGTTCTTAGAACAATATATTAGATACACTTGTTGTTTACGGTTTCATTTGACATGACAGGGGATATTTTATCGCAGAGCTGATAAATGCTGAATGGTATTTAGATCTCTGCATTGATCAATAGAAAATAGAATTGAATACTGTAAGGAATAAAAGGTTATTTATAATTATACCTGAGTCACTCTAGATTAATATCAAACAATTTATGAAGTAGCTTTCCCATGTAGTCTGTCATGTGGTATTTATAGCAAAATGCTTGTCAACTTTATAATTATCGTTATGTCCTGCTCTGGACTTACGCAGGAACCCTCTTCAAATTCGTAATTTAATTATTTTAGAGCGCATGATTCTTATTTTATCAAAATATCTTACCATTTCTTAAATGCAGCATTGAACGATGTGTTACTACTATTATAGGTTTATTTGAAACTTTCATCTGTCATTATGGTATACATGGTATTTGTGATCTTTTTATGCTAAATATGTTCAAATGTTAAAATGTTATTTGAGATAAGCAAGTTTAAATGTTCCACATGTAAAGTGATTCAGACAAGAATATACTTGGTGTTTTATGAAACAAAAATATGAATAAAGGTATGAATTTATTAAAATCGTTAACATTACTGTACTGTTAAAAGCTATAAGAAATAATCTGACACTTGACTAATTCAAGATGCATTTTGTTTCTGAGAATATGTAAATATTACAATAAAGACTGAGAGAAAATCTAAATATGTGCTTTTTATTTTCATAGGAAATCGCAAAGTGTGTCTTTGTGGCTTTTGCCTTTTTGATTTTGGGATCAAATGCCGTACCTGAGGTAAATTCGTTGAATATTGTATATTTAGTTTTGTTTACATTATAAAATGCGTTATTTGTTTACATCATTATTTTCCTTGCTAAGCTTTTGAATCATATTTTCTTCTTCATATTTTCAACTTTGAATGTATGCTAAATTTGATACGTCCATAAAAGCGTTTACAGACTTAGATATAAAAAAATAAAAGATTTTTTTCAGCGATCCGTTAAATACGCATTATTTCAAAATATGATTGTAGCCTCTTACAAACAATTTATTTTTAATAGAAACAGTCATTTTGATTAACACTTTGTTCTGAGGTAGCACTTTTGACGTTTATCAACAGGCCACTCTGTGACCGAGTAGTCAAATTCGCCGACTTTTGATCACTTGCCAGCGCTATAAGCTCGAATCATATTACTATTTGGATTATTCATGCGAGGGAGCTATCCAGCTACCTTAAGTTAAAGAAAGAAAAAAAATGATATTATACATACAATAAGATTTTGTTTTATTTAGTCGGGCCATATCATTCCGAAGAATTTATGTTATTATTTTTTTTAAATATTGAAACGATGAGTCAATGCATTTGTTTTATTTAGTACCGGAGGGTTTTAGCCCATTATGGAGATGAAGTTACAGCATACGAAGATGTGATGATTGACGAAGAAGCAGAGCTAATCGTTACAACCGTCGCCAAGGTTTCATCCAAGAAATTCACGCCATCAATGTCATTCCATGACTTTTCTATGGTATATTAACATTGTATACTTTGAAAATGTTTGATCAAAATGTACCAGAATGCTTTAACACATTTTGATGCGTATGTACAATACCTTAAAAGCAATTCAGTTTATTCATACTATTATGTCTTTTCTCGAGAAATACTTTGAATAAATAGCCGCAGAACTTATTTTAGTTGTTAAATATTTCAATCAATAAATACTTGGTTACTTAAGTGATTTTAAATAATCCAATTACTTCTAGTGATAACTGAATAGTGGTTCAACTCCTTCATTGATGATTGAATATTGGTTAATCATGTACAACCACTCAAATGATTTTTTAAAAGACTATATAAAATTTAGTATGTGTTTTATTGTCCATGCTTTATTTTCAATTCTGTTGTGAAATTCCTTTTACAAAATTTTCACTTAATGATTAATACACATGTTTTGTTCAAATTGCAGGGATATACTGTCAATAAACTAGTTGAGAAGGGAGTTTGTTACATATCGAAAAATAAACACTCTATTGAAACTTTGATAGAGGTCCTCAACCAAGCAGAAAGAGTAAGAAACACTATCATTTCAAACAGTTCTATATGTATGCAATCGACATTTTCATAATGGTATGGAATTATGATGAAAAGGTTTAAGCAGTAGCACTTTTTATCCAGTAAAAAAGTTACATATTCATAATGTGACCATAATGTGATTAAAATGGCAAATTACAATGACAATATCTGACGTTTTATACAAATAATATAACTGCTAATTGTAGATTGATACTATAACAATTTTAGATTGTTTCTATATAAATGTTCTTCAAACTTATTCATATACTACGAAATATACCTAAATTCATTTATTATATTCAGGACAATGGTGACTATGAAATCAGACAGATATTCAAGTGTACATCAAAGACATTTGTCGAACCGTCGGAGATGCAAAAGTACGGAGAGCGGATAGCAGCCTTCTGTAAAGAGTACGAGTCCGTGTTTGTTGTAAGAGACTACAAAATGCGCAGTAAGAGAGAAACTTGGTCCTTTGAAGAGAACGCCAGTAAGTTTTTCATATTTTTATCAGGTTTGTTGCTAATTTGCCGCAAGAAATGACATAGATGGCTTTGGTGTACATAAATGATTTATATCACAAATGATTTTTATTTCAATGTAGCGTAAATATTTTGTTAAGTTTGTTTAACAGATGAAACATCATGATATATGCTGCCAATTTAAATGCAAGGAACGCTGGCGTATTCAGAAATATGCATTTACGTGATCGTGCAAATGTATAAAGACTTAAATATATTTCTATGAATACCACGAATAAATAGTAATAGTAATCTCAAATTAAATGGATTAAGTAAGACTTATCTAGTATTTTTTCAATATCTTTAACACTACATGAAATTTTGTTAAAGACACAATTACAATGTCTAAATGAATCGTTTATTAATTATTTTTTTACAGTTGCATGTAATGTTTGCATTGGAATTTGTGGGTAAATCGCAGTTGTTGGAGAAAAAGACACATTTATATATGTAAAGATAAAAGAAAGTGTTTTGATAATGACAATCATCATCAGCAGTTGTAACATTTATCATGAATGTACTATATAAAGCCTTTCAGTGATTATTTTCCGTTGTCTTGTTTAATGGTCAATTCATCTTTTACTTCTCAAAACATAACAAACGTTGTAGATGTTTTATACATCTTTATACATCTATAACCGACTTGAAACATTGTATACAAATAGTTCTACTCTATGTTAATTCAATACGGAACAAAATAAGCTTTAGACAGTTTATATAAGCTTAAACACGAAATGATTTCTTTATGTTTACATGTATCGAATATGTAGTCCAATAAACATAAAACAACTTCTTTCAATGTCGTCTTATTGTCTATTCTTACACAATAGAAGAAACAGAATCCCTAAAGAACGCCAAAAACGGTAAAATTGAAAATGTTGCAGACGGGCTGTTTACGGACGGTAATGGAAAGGGAAAGTTACCGTCCACATATCCCACCTCCCTAGCAACGGCAAAAGCAGAATTGGTGAATTTTGAATTAAGAAACATCCGCAGATGTGTTCATACGGCGATTATCTTGAAACGTTCAATGAAACACCTCTGTTCCATTCCATGAAAAGCGGCGTATGATCTACAAGTAAAAGGATCCGTTTGCCTTAAGAAAATAGAATTTTGAAAGGTGATCAGCTTCTTAATTATTGTATATAAAAATTTTATCTCGCAGGATCAATAGAAATTCTATATGAAACAATCCATGCAACTACATGAAATGATATCTAAAGTTTACTCGATTGAGGTGTTTATTGTTTGTCTATATTACATACTCTCCTAAAACAATACCAAATTGTTGACCATCTATCATTCCTTCTGCAAAGATGTTTGATATGCCTTAGATAATTTAGAATAGAAAACCAAACTTTAAAAGTGAAATGTCTGTTAATAGTCCACATATCCGGATGATAATATGTATTCTTGAATTTTACATGGGAAATTAAAGGAACGTCGAAGCTGACATCACTACAATTAGACATATGTACAAAGACATGTTGTTCCATGTTAATAATAAGAAACGGCAAAATACTTTTATGAAGTCGTAATTTGATTGCTGAATATTCCTGACCGAACATTTTGAGTAATAACAAAACCATCACACAATTTAAATATTAAACATGTATTGGTGCTATTTGAAGGTTCCAGAATATTGTTGTCCTACCTGACCGTAAAGACATATTTGAATTTAACATATTCTATAAAAACTGTTTCAAAAATTATATTTAATGTGAAGTTTTGCTTTTAACCTCGCCTGCAGTGCTTATTGGTTAGCTTTTACGTTCGTTTGTAACAGTTGTCCATCTAACGTCCGCTTGTCCGCCCGATGTTCACAATGTTTTGTACGGCTACTTCTCTGTAAACATTTTGCAAAATCTGATAAAAACTTCATTTGAAGTTTCTAGCATGTTTTATTAATCAAAGTTTTTAGAATTCTTCGATTCATAACATATATCATTAGGTCACAGAAGCTAACAAATCTATCTTAAAATAGCAAATCTTTGTCTCTGGAAGCTCATGTGAATCTGTGAGGTTATAATACACATATATCATCCTTGTTTCTCATCGGTTCAGGGGCTATGATAAAAAGTTCAGCTACTTAACTTTCTCATAATTTAAAGATTGTCAATTAGGACAGAAAAAAAATACATGAATATTCCTTCGTCTACGATCTAGCGCTATCGACTTCAAATGGCGGAAAATATAGGTCACCACAAGGGATTGCAGGCTTAACAGTTACCCGACAGCTATATATTCCTTTATGCCATAACAGTCGGCGCATTATCCTTTTTCATTACTATTACATAGTTATACATGTAAATTATTCATCAATTAGATATTACGAAAACTTATGTTTATCACTTTTCCTTTTTTATCATACCTTTGTTCCAGCTTAGACTTTACACAATATTATTCATTTATCTAACTGTTGATAAAGGATTCATGCATTCTCTTAAATAACTTTGTCTTAGTTATGCATATAAGTTTGAAGTATGTCCCCCAAATAAATAAATGACAAGAATTTCGCTACCATACTATCAAAGGTATCACAACAAAGTGGTTGCATTATCAAATCATTGTACATTACAATGTAAAATAACGTGACTGTTTGCCAACATTTTCAAATCGGATGATGGATAAAATATGCAAACTTAATATTAGAAACATTTTATGCATGTTCTTACCTTTTTCAGAATGGTAGTTAACTTTAACTCTATATGTTATATTGAAAATCTTGACTTATTTTAAATGAACTATTTCAAAAAGAATAAAGTATCTTCTTTTCTTGATAAAAATCTCTTTCCACATTTTTACAACAATTACGTATACCCTATTGCTTGTCAAGTCCGACATGGTCACAAAGGGCTGAACACATTCATCTTTTCCACATCCTTTTATAGCAGTCTTGGTCACAATGCTATAAAGGCATCTTTCTTCTTTTGTTTGTTAAAAGCTATGTGATATAATTTTTTATTTTAAACCTACAACTATCTCAAAATTGAATATGAACTTCTATGGCATCTACACATGGAGGACAATGATCCTTTGCTCTACGCAGATTGCGCATGCGCGAGAAAATACTACACCCGGTAGATTTTAAATAACAACGGACCTCGTCGTAAAAAGTCTGTAGATGAGTCTTCTGTGTTGTTTGACCGTAATTTGCACGACTTTGAGAAAATCTTCGTTATTTTGTTTCTTCAATGTTCTCGAAAATCCAATTATTACTAAATTTCTAAATATTTAAGTTGTCTTTTATTGTTACAGTTATCTCTAATGTTTTAACGCTGAAATGTTGTATTTTGAAAAGGATTTTTAAATTTGGGAAATGCCCCCTTAAATCTTTTAAACCCCCTCAAAAATTACAAAGAATGCAGACCGTTTGATTGATCTGTACTAAAATAATGGTTAAGTGAACATCCCTCACCCCCCCTAGCCCCCGCCTGAGCGGTCTAAATTTTAACATTAATGGCTACATAATATCCAAAGGGACAGAAAATAAACAACCTGAATGAAGTACGGGGGCAACTTTTTACTGCTGCCACACGGCACTTGACACCTGCTGTTGTGAAGTATAAAATTCTGGAAACAAAGTGATCCCTCGAAATCATTAATCCCCTCAAAATTACAAGACTGATGACAGTAAATATGAAAATATATTAAATTAAGGCAGGTAAATGTATAGTGCATACAAACCGCTATTGTGGAGTTATCCTTCTTGAAAGCAAGAATGAAAATAAATAACATAAATATATACAACGAACAAATATACATGTATATATGTATATGGATATTATTTATTTTATCATTATTTTTTAAAATGGAATAAAATGTAATAGCCCTTTAAATACTGAGTTCCTCGCTGTAAATAAGGTTGTCAAACAGTAGCCTATTTTATATCCTTTATTCATACTTTTTTTAGGCCATTGTTGCATTCTTCACATCAATTTAGCTCGCATCCTTGCATATAAAACTGAACGTGCTTTATGAACATGGAAGGAAACTTGCATTAACGGATATAATTATGCGCGCACGCATCGTTGGCTGGCTGCAACGAGGGCCCCCGGATATTTCATTATCAAATCATAAGTTTCAAATGACATCGTCTTAAGAGAAACTTCCCCCACAAGGATGTTTTTGGTTTGAAATGCATCCTTGAAGCTTTTCATAAAAATGTGAACATAAAACAACAACAATTATATCAAGTGACCTGCTTTTATAGAGATGCAGTTGGGGATGTGTGCAGTTTAATAGCAATTTGTACATCCCATGATGAAATGATAGTGAATGATTATGTTGAAATGATGTGTGTTTCAAGTGTTGTTTTTCCTGTCATGGGTTAAATAATTTAATATTGAATATTTGTTGAAATTTTCTTTTCTATATGCTTAAATTGTTGAATTTTTATAGAGGTAATTTTGAACTTTCACTGAAAGCAAAGACAAATATTTTAATGTTATAGAAAATTTAAAATTTACTTTACGTAATGACTCTAAATGTATAACAAACAAATTGTAAGAAAATAAAATATCGACATGATAGATTTTGGGTCATCAAAAGTTTTATGTTTAGGGTCAGATAACCAAACAAAGTTTGATGGTGGCACGATTATATTTTCACAATTTTTATTTCAGTCTTGAGTCTTCTATCATTATAAATTTAAGAAAATTCCCTGAGAAAGTATTTTTTTTTCTTCTTTGCCTTTTTAAAAGTTAACTTCTCACATAAATACACTTAAGTATATACATATACTAAATAATCCATAAAATACAGTCATATAGCGATTTATAAGTACAAGTATCAAGATGCATATCGATCTGGGCCAGTTTGTAAAACACGAGAAATAATTGTAAAAATTAGCAAATAAAAAACAAAGAGCGTGTGCAGTAACAAGCACATGTATTACAATTGGTAGCAATTTTACCGTTCTACATCATAATCCAGATGCACGTCTAACCAACTCCTAGATAATTTTTCTTAAAGTATAAAGCTTGTTTACATAGATGAGACAAAGGGTTTGTTTGTTTGTTTGTTTGTTTGTTTCATTTTACGCCTTTTCCCAACAGTGTTTCAGCCATATAGGCGGATAGTTTCCTAACCATTGTTCCTGGAGAGTTACACCAGTACTAGACTACCTTCCTTCGTGCTAAACTACCACAGCATCTCCCGGGGATCGAACCCACGCCAGAGAGGTAACTGGATTAGAAGTCCTCGACTCTAACCCCTCGACCACGGAGGCGGTTAAAGGTATAGAAATTTGCCGTGATACAGCATATATAACCACATACCACGAGAGCAAATATGTTTCTTTTACATTTTATTCATTTCTTCCACATGTATAGGGAATTTTCTGACTTGTGGTGTACATTTTATTGATCAATTTCATCATAAATGTCAAGAAAACCCCCAAAACAAACACAAAATAAAAAAACAAAAAGCCTTCGATTTTATGAGTTAATTATATACATATGTTACGATAACAAAAGAATAAAAATGGCGTTGCCTTAACGACGATCTGTTTGTATAAATAGAAAGTTTAAATATATTGTAATACCAACGTATCAATCGAGATAAGAAATTTATAATCCTAACAACCCATGAAGTAAACGCAAATGCGCCTGATCAATAGAAGTTAAATCCGTCGAGATAAGCTTGCATTTTGCAGACAAACTCAAGATTTATTTTGTAGTGTCAAGGATAAAAGTTGATTTGATTCTTATATAATTCTGTAATTCGTTGCATAAGTTTCATAAAATGACTTTCATTTGATGCTTGACATCCAAGTAGCAAATTGAAACTAATAAATTATGGGTGCTGGTAAAGGCAAGAAAGGAGAGTCTGTCATTCGTATTTTAATAATAACAATAGTAATTCTTGGATTGACATGCGTTGGTCTGCTAATTGGCTTGCTTGTGGCTTTACGAAAGGAAGGTGACGAGGATAATGGAATAGTTCCTTGTTCAGTAGATGACATATTCAAAGAGGAACACGATCCTGAAGTACCAGGAGTTTTCGATGACCTTACGGACACTGAGATTAAAGGACTAAAGAAATACTTATATGAACAATCAGGTCTGGATTTAGTGCTCCCGTCAGGAAATAAGAGCAACGCCAATTACGTATTTGTTGCTGAGCTTCATCTCCCTAACAAGACATCTGTTATTGCTCATCTGGATAACAAAGGGGAACGGCCACCTAGAGAGGCTAAAGTCATTGTAATCCGTGGAAAAAGTCCGAATAAAGAAATCAATGAGATCGTTGTCGGACCTCTCCCGACCCCGACAAAACATTGGCCGTTACCAGGAATCAACGCATCTTTGCCGTATTTCTACAGACCAATGACGGAAGCTGACTATGGTTCAGTTACACAATCAATAACTGATCAAGTTCACGAACGACTTGGGGATCTAATTCAAACATGTTTTGGAGCCAAATTAAAAGACTGTGGAAATAAGTGCATTGGATTTTATTACGCATCATCTTTTTCGCCAGCGTCGAGTGGTGAGCAAAAGAGAAAAACCTGGTATTGGCTGACATATGCTGTCGAATATTATACTCTCCACCCTGTTGACTTTACCGTGTTGGCAGATATCAAAGACACTAGCGTTGATATTGAAGTCGTTTGGTTTAAGGGTAACCAGTATAAATCGATGAATGACCTTTCTTCGTTATTTAGAAACAAAAGTGTGAAATGTGTTCCACAAGCATTTCCTACGGTTGACAAAAAACTTTTCACTACTCTTCATAGGAGAGGGAAAATACCTGAAACAGCTAAAAATAAACGGCAGCCCTGTTTTTGTTCAACCTGACGGTCAACGATATCAGTATCAAGGAAGACATGTGAACTATATGCAGTGGTCATTTGATTTTCGGTTTATCCACATCTTTTATGGGCCACAGGTATATGACATTAGATTTGAAAACGAACGAATTATTTATGAACTAGGTCTCCAAGAGGTTTCAGTATTCTAATCTGGACACAGCCCCCAGCAACGGTTTTCCGACTATATGGATTCCGCTGAACTTATAGGACCATCTGCACAGGGGCTAATTCCTGGTGTAGATTGTCCAAATCACGCTACATATTATGACACGAAGCATATTACAGAAACTTCAGACCCTGCTGATGTAACAAAGAATGTCTTCTGTTTATTTGAATTAAATACAGGAGAACCACTGAGAAGGCATCATTCTTACTATGAATCCGAAGGTAAATTCTACGAAGGCATGGTGAATGTGTTTTTAGTTCTCAGAACAATCGTAACGGTGGTTAATTATGACTATGTACTCGACTTCCGGTTTTACCAAAATGGCGTCGTCGAAGTAAAGAGCATGTCTACAGGCTATGCTTTGACTAACGCTTTCTCAGAGATGGAGAAAAAATATGGATTTCAGTTACATGACAATATTGTTGCGAGCTTTCATACACACATGTTTCATTTTAAAGCCGATCTGGACGTAAAAGGTCAAAGCAATAGATACGAAACTATAGATATTAAAACAGAAACAACACCAAATGAATTTTCTAGAAAAATCAACTCTACATACAGTCAAGGATATCTTGAGAAATCTATAAAGCGCAAAGAGAAAGATGCAGCTTACAAATTTAATTTTGAAACACCGAAATATCACATATTCTATAACAATAAGACAAGAGATACATACGGGAATCCTTCAGCATACAGGTATATTTCGATTTTTTCCTTTTATTATCACATCGAAAACGAACATGAACACCCCAAACATGTGCACCCCAAACATATAATTCCCTTTTTACAAAGGCGAACCTTTTAAGAATTTAAAAGGTGGACACTCCCCTACTCCACTACCTTGAGCTAATTTGCCGTATATAATAGAATGAATTTCAAGCCAAAACAAAGTTCGACAGTATAATGCCCTATTTTTGTCATAATTTCCAATGTCCAAGAAGCAATCACATAGATGTTCTTGTAAAATATGAAAGAAGAAATTGTGCATTTAGACAACGGCAAGTCAGTTTCAACTAGAAACATTTATATCCAACTTTAGTCAGCATAAAACAAGCTTCGGACTGTATTCCAGAAAGGTTTACTTACTTGATTTTCACACTCACTCACTCACTCACTCACTCACTCACTCACTCACACACCGACTTTTAATTCCTAAGATAACAACGTTCGTTGAAATGTTTTCTTACTTAAACATACGTATCTTGTATAAGTTGACGGTATAATATATATTATAATTCTTTTTTGCATAATCTGATTATATCTAAATTGTTATATCTACTTCTTTATACATTTAAACTGTACGAGGAAGTTCTAAAATAGAGATAAATAGAATCCCTAAGGAATGTCCAAAACTGTAGAATTGAAATTATTGCAGGCTCGGTTTGATTGTGCCTGTTCATGGACAGTACTGGAAAGTGCAAGCAACTGTCCATATCCCCTAGCACCGGCTTAAGGATTATTGAACATTAAAACATGTAATGTTTTAATTTTGACACATCCGCAGTTGTATTCAGGGGTGTTCATGTGGCAGGGGTCTTACAGATAAGCCAGTCGGCGATCGTTATCAGTTTCACGCTAAGATGTCTGCAAAATCCGCCATTTTGTTCGTTCTTAGCATAGTGTCAATAAAATGCTACAGTAGAAAAAAGTACTTGCAAATAAAATGAGAGAATATGCAATGAATATTTTATGTGAAATTATCCTACCAAAATATTTCTATGAAAGCTCAATGAATTAAGATTAAATATTTAGATACATCTGCTTCAATAACATCATACCTGATCACGGTTTTAATCTCACCGTCTGATGTATGCGAAACTTATTTTGAAGTGAATAATATTGCGTTTTATCACGAAACATATCTAATGAACAAATATACATATAATCATATATCATACTACAAAGTTACGCAAGGGCAATTTTCTCATTCAATTTCAACAATTTATGCACAAATGCATTATATATAAGTGATCTCGCATATAAAACCAATTTATATAAGATAAATTCATTAGTCACTTAAGTGGTATAATAGTTTCCTGTAAACGTCGGTACCGTGTTTTGTCTAAGGTTCTGAATGACCGGGTCACGTGAATCAGTAGGCGGAGCAATTTCTTCTCTGGCGTAATTTCAAGAGAAGATAGTGAAAGGAGAGACAACTCCTTATACCATACTGCAAATACTTCCAATATGTACTGAAGAGTTACCTCTCAATCTATGCTTATTTACAATATAACAATTGTCATATTAGACGCTGGGCTAGCATAACCCCCCTTACCCCCCCCCTGGGTATTTTTGTACACCTACATAGTATTGAAGCTTAGGGTATGTGCTATCGATTGGCACTTGTTGTTTAGCTGAAACGTTTACCATGAATCCAAGAGAACAAGTTGATTATCTCCCCTTGAATCATATTTTTTCTATATAAGTTTTATAAGATTTTTTCATATATCTTCTCTATGACAGAGTAAATTTGTGATCTAAACATTATTTTGAGAATATTTTGAGTTGTAAATATATGTTTTATGTTTTATACAAAAAGATTTAAGTTTTAACATAAAATAACATAATTAATGGTGTCCGCCATTTTAAAATGGCCGCCAATTATTGAACAGATAAACAATTCATAACAATATTTAATGTGTTTAAACCAATTCATACATAGTTTGATGTAATTATTAATTATATATGATATGCTTAGTGAAACTAACTCTATTCTAGGTAGAATTTTAAATGTTCTGCTCTTGAATATTATTTCAATTTTATAGAGATATGAACCATAAATATTTGGGGTCGATTTGAGCTGCCTTTAGTTCGATAAGATACTTTTAATTAAATTTCATGCAATTATTGACTTTTTGTCCTCTCTAGAAACTTAATATACTGTCACTTATATGAAAAACAATTTGAAAAGTTGGTAGTTGACTTGTCTGTTCCGTTCTCTTTCTGTATATCCATATGACTATATTGAACTGTATAGATGACCCGCACCACAATGACTATTTGACAGAAAGGCTGCTCGTTGAGTTCCACCAAAGGAAACTGTTCTTACTCTTATTTTATTTAAAATGACTTAAGCCTTTTGTTGGTAGTTTTTTATTATTATTAGAATAATAATTGAGATTAATGTATTACATTTTATTATCATTGTTACTCCCCTTTAAAAAACATTATAAAGTTACTTCCCCTATTTTCATTGCGCAATTAGAAAAAAAAGCAGAAGTATAATAGTATGCTTCTTCCTTAAAATCAATTGTTTTAGAGTGATTTTGTTTAATAAATCTTTATTGAAATGCAACACAGCATATGACAGCATAAGACACTGATGAATCATTTCGGACATTGTCAGTCATACTCTCAGATTTTGGAGTTGGAAACTGTGTAACAGTACTCTTGATCGGGACGGGACATTGTTCTCCTTGATGCAATTTCTGCAAAAGCAATTTGATAACAAATTTGTGCTGGGACCATTTCCATCTAATCCATCTAAATAACAACCCATACTGCACACGGAATTGTTTTTTCAAGAAAGAGGCCAGCCGTAAGATGATGATGATGATGACACTAAAAGAGAACAAACATCCACTTATATATCAAATATACAGGCGACTAAGGCATGCACTGTTAAATACAATCCTGAAGAATTGGCTGAATGCTTAATTACTGAGAAATAAGAACCATTTATCAATACTTATAAGTTTCAACAAAGGAAATGTTTCGGGTTTTGCTGTTTCATCTGACTATCTCTGGTTCATGTGTACATGACAAGCAGATTGTTCCAAGTTGGGCTGGCTGGATCTCTCTAACCTCTGAGTTGCAAGATACAGAACAGTACATGTCTACCAATGTACTTTAATTGCCCAAAGTACAAAAAATGCAACTGTTCAGAAAATTCTAGAAATTTCAAGTGTTTCAAGAGCTGTAAACCAACGATACGCATTTGTGACCTTTGATTTGGCTGCTGCTAAAAGGCATATTCTACAGTATGAAAAATCCGACCAAGTACAGTGATACTATCATACATTTAGGGGATTTTCGTTTGCTAGGTTCATTATACCTAGGGGCGATTGGCAAACGGCTTTGTAGAAGTGGTTTCTCAGAAATCCTGATAGAGAAGAGTGAATGTGTTAATGTGTTTACAGTTGAAGCTCTCGAAAGATTGCTTTTTGAAGATTTTGTAGCAGCAGTTATCCAAGTCCACAACTCTAGTGCATTGGAAGATATCAACCAAGCAATAAATGTGCTAGCTGAGAATCAAAGACATGAATACCTTGAAGATGTGTTAGCTAATGATTCTGTCATTGTACTTTACAAGAGGTATCAAGAGTTCAAGGAAGACATCGGAAAAGGTCACTTAGGGAAGACAGCACAGTTTTGAAGGGATTTATTGTTATGATTTGGCTGGTTCATCGTTTTATGAGAGCAACAAATTATTATGATCTTGACCTATACATATCAACATTATAAAATATGCTACAATTATTCTTTGCATATGATCATCAAAACTATGCAAAATATCTATTTGTATATGTTCTTATGTTGATAAATTGATTCAACACACCGAATCAAGAAAGCTTTTTCAAAATAACGGATTCAGTGTAAGCAGATCCAATGTGCCTGGCTCCGTAATGCTGTTAATATAACTACTGAGCAAATAATAAACAGATATGCAAAGTCTCGTAGAGGCATAATAGGATTCAGCAGCTTTGCTGCCTACTACAGATGGAGTCAAACACAACACTCGAGAGCCAGCTATGTTGAGGCTACATTCCGCATGGCCGGCATTTCAGCGGATTCTTCTACACACGTTGATACACAACCAGCAAATATAGCTGCATTTGGAAAAAAAAATGTCACGAAACTCAATGAATCAATAACTAACTTTATGAATCCATTTGCAACAGATAATTAGGATGTGTGTATTTGTGTAAGTTTAGGGGCTCCTGCACCAGAGGAGATCGAAAAGTGTCTGTTTGATGCCAACAGAAATGGACTTGAAGCACACAAAAAGCTCGCCCAAGAACGTCTGGTTGATAAAACTGTTAGTTTTTATGCTCCACTGAAGAAGCAAAACTGAAAAACCTTTGCCGATACAAAGAAAGTTAAGAAAGTGACATAAACCCAGAAACAATCTTGTTGAAGTTAAGGCCGCTGACAATGTCTTCGGTCAGCTTATCATGTTATCAGAAGAAAATGACATTATCCTTGAAAAGACCCTTACATACCCGCTTGGACCAGTACCTGGGTCTCTAGCTACAGCAGATAGCTTACCAACAGAGACTGACAACGCAAAACTAATGCATGATTTTGAAGGCGCCTTTACACTGAACAGAGGCCAGGTAACAAAAACATAATATACATATATCTTCAAGCACTTTCTTGTCTCCCTTCAACCCTTAAAGACGCGCTGAAAAATATTTTGAGATTTAACCAAAATGTGAGCGTGCAGACTTTGTGACAGATACGTACAAAGCAGAACTATTCAAATCTGCAGAAAGGTCATGAAGATGAATGAGTGATACATACCTGATAAAATGCAACAAAACCAAAGTGTTGCAAGACTTGAAAGGTTTTATTTGTAATAATAATAAAAATAGAAAATAATTGATAAGATTGATATTACAGGAATTGTCTAAAGATAAATATGCCGGGAAATTGGACGGAAGGAGAATCTTATGCTCGTGAAGAGACATGTGTATGCCTCCAAAGTAAAGATGGAAAAGTAGATTCCAGATCTACATATGTCTCAGGAGGAAGCCGATACCAGAATTATGCTACATATGTCACATACGGCTGAAAATGATGACAAAGCAATAATTGTACGATATCCTGATACTAATGTTATGATATTACTTCTAACGTAAACACAGTCTATCAACAGATGAATACTATTTGACACTGGTGTGGCTAATAATAATAGAAGACTATTGAAAGTAAATAAAACTATTGATAGATTATGAGAAGATCTTTGCAAAGCATTGATTGGGCTACATAGTTTCACCGGATGTGATACCACGAGCCCTTTTTCATGAGGGGGGGGGGGGAAATTAAAGCCATAAACATTTTTTTATATATCCTGAATATATACTTATAACCAGTTTTCAAGAGAATGGGCAAGAGTGTTGATATTCAAGAAGATTTCAAAATTCTAGAACAGTTTGTTTGCATTTTATAAAGGAAAGACAAATAAAGTGACAAAAATAAGTTGCGCGTTGACATTTTCAGACAAAATTTTAGACCGAATGCAGACATACTTACAATTACCTATGTTATTGACTTGCGTTCAATACCACCATATCTTTCCACACAAAAGATGCATATTTTTAGATCAAATTACCAAGTATTTGTGTGGTGAAATGCCATTTGTCAATTCCCAACTATTCCAAGTCCAGATAAATATGGTCGGAATACTGGTACAACCGGAGGTCTCACATATACATTGTACCTGGACAGAGGAAAATATACTACCACCATCATAGTTAATAAAAATGCTAGTGAAGTGTTAGAAGATGATTAAAATGAAGGTGATCTAGATGAAATTGAGATGGAAATTTATATTGATGTAATTTTCGAAGAAGATTTCGAGTAATAATTAATATGTGACTAAAAAGCTGTATTGCAAAACATTAGAAGGGGAGGGGGGGGGGTAATTTATATTCTTTAATAGCATTATCATTAACCCAAATTGAATAACAAAAAGTCTATTTAACTTCTATATTATTTATACAAACAACTTTTTATGATTAAGTGATGTTTTGCTTTTTTTAAAACAAAACCACAAAGTTTATATAAAAATGTTAATAAAATAAGAGGAAAATGGCGGCCATTTTGAATTTGGCGGCCATTTTGAAAAGTAATAACATCAATTTATTATGAAGTAAATCATTTTAGAGACCTTGTCTATGATCTAAAACAAAAACCACATAACAATTCATTTTGTTAAAAATCAATGGTTATTTCAATTAGGCTGTTTATTAAAAAATTGTGACAGGGGCAGATAATTCACATTGGCTTGTGTCTTAATGGTAAACGTTTCAGTCAGACAACAAGTTGCAAATGTCTTCCTATATGTTTATCTTTAAAACTACATGGGTCCCATAAAATACCCAGAGGGGGTAACCTTTTCCATTTCCAGCTCATACTCTATATGTTTAGCCTATGTAGAACGCTATTTGCCACCCGTAAAACCTCAAAGAACATTTTATCTTAATAACTTAAACAAATTTAGAGAAGAGAAGAATACCACGCTTGTAAAGTACATCACAAAAACAATGCTCGTGGTAATAAAAATCGTCATAATATTCGAGCCATTTTGATACAATGTATTACGGTTACTTAAAATATACAATATAGCAATAGAAGTCATGCAAAGAAAACCTTATTATTGACATTGGTATTATAATTTACACTAATATCTTTCTTCTTAGTTGATGTAATTGTAAGCTGACCTTAAAAATAATAAAAAATTCAAGATGGTCACAATTTATTTTTCTCTGCAAAACTCTTTTCACATAAAGAATTTGTACACAATACTTTTCCAGATCTCTCTTCTTCTACTAAATTTACTGACCCATTAGAGCAGAAACAGTAAACAGAGCGAAACGGAGATACTGTGTGCACTATTTCCTTCCTTCTTCCTTCCTTCCTTCCTTCCTTCCTTCCTTCCTTCCTTCCTTCCTTCCTTCCTTCCTTTCTTTTTTCCTTCCTTCCTTCCTTCCTTTCTTTCTTTCTTTCTTTCTTTCTTATTTTTTGTAGAACATATCGCGGTAGATAAACGTATACAAATTGTGTACAAATTATGATAAATGTAGTATCTGGCAGTGTTTGTAGCACTGTCAATCATTACGACATTTCATTTACCTTATTTGGACATTACGTTCTACTTAAAATATCATGACGTCAACAAGTCTTTTCAATACCGAAAATATATAAAAACCGTACCATAGTAAGTAGGAATTATTGCATTTTCATAAAATTGTAAAATGTAAAAAGTGAATGTTTTGCACTGTGTTGGTTTTCTCATGTCGCGGCAATATTTTACTACAAAGGATAAAACAAAACCAAACAAAAATATACTTGACAACGTTTCATTTGATTTCAGACTTATCCACAACGGTATGGTAAAGCAAATTATTCCAGAAGGTCATAATAAGGAACCAGCTATAAGTTGGGCGAGGTACCAGCATGCTGTGACTAAACGGAAAGACACAGAAGCTCATAGCAGTTCCATGTACTCCATGTTTGATACAGATAACCAGGTTGTCAACTTCCAGGGATATATAAATGATAATGAAAACATCATGGACGAGGTTTCATTTTAATAATAATAATAATAATAATAATAATAATAATAATAATAATAATAATAATAATAATAATAATGATAATAATAATAAAAAAATAATAACAATGTTGTTGTTGATGATGATGATGATGATATCGATGGTTGTGGTGGTGATGATGATAATAATTATGATGTTGATAAATTATGATGATGATGGTGGTGGTGATGATGATGATGATGGTTGTGGTGGTGATGACTGTGATGATGATGGTGGTTTTACTGATGATGATGATGATGATGGTGGTGGTGGTGGTGGTGGTGGTGATGATGATGATATTGATGATTTTGATGGTGGTGGTGATGATGATGATGATGATAATGATGATTATGGTGGTGGTGGTGATGATGATGATGATGATGATGATAATGATAATAATAATGATAATTATAATGATAATGGCAATGCAATAGATTATATATAAATATACTCGGTAGAAAATTGATAATCAATTTTTATGAAATTTCTTAGGCAATTGAGTAACGATTTATAACGCTTTTCATTTTGGGGTCAATTTGCACAATAAAATTGATTATACAATTGATTATTCCTTGGAATACGGAGTACATGTAAAAGAAAAAAAAATTGTACACGAGTTCCTGGTCAATTAGGGCGTTGATTTTCCTCGTTCTTATAGCATACGCGCAATTTCGTATTCTTTCGTGTTTATGATAGTATAGATTTGCCGAAAAGAAGCACAGAAAAATATTTTCAGTCCCTTCATGTCTAGAAACCTCCAAATATATTCCTGACATTAACAGTTCAGAGTGTGATAAATGGTGACTTGTTTTATCTGTCGCCTGTATAATGTGTAAGTCAAATTGTCAATTACATTTATCTAGAAACCCTATTTAGACCACCCCGACATAAGGACAGCCCGCTTTTAAAACCGATTTATTTTCATGATATGGCCATGCCATGCACAATTTGAATCCCGCTATTACGTCCACTAATGTCAGTCCCAATTCTTCATTTCATTATTTATTTGACTCCACTATTAAAAGCCACTTATGTCTCAGTAATCCATATTCATTTTTTCTATTTCTTAAGAAATGTCAGATAATTATGTGTTTCATTATGATTTAAATAAATAGTATATTTTGTGCATGTTAAATGTTTAACAAGTGAAGAAAGTACATGTAGTGTTGCATGTACAATAGTGGGTCGGAACTGTAAGAAAATACCAAAGAGATAAAATTGTTTTTGAGAAATAAAAATGACAGCATTTCTGAGGCATAATTGGCCTTTAAGTCCACTGTCAATCTGATAATACAAAATATCTTAAGAGCACAACTGTGCTGAATACCAATGGCATGACCAAACAAGGATTGAACAATGTTTTGTAATGATGCAATGTCTGAAAATTTATTTCAGAATGTTTAAATATTACTTTCGAACCCAATCTATTTTCAATATTTTTTGCCCGTATCGTGTACATTACCATTTGGTATAATTTGTATATATACTGTGAAACTTTTGTAATTACAATGTGTTTAAACTAGACATAAATCATTTCAAATTGTACAATGTCAAGTGACTGACTTATTTTATTTCCAAATTAAACGGCGTATTTAATGTTATACATTAAATCTGATAAGAGATCCAACAGTTTGAATACTTTTATCGTTAATGACATTTATTACTCTGCGATCATGGGAAAGATCATTCACACTAAACTGTCCAAAATATGGTACAATAGATAAACAGTGTCCGAGGGAAGGTCAAGTTCAAGATTTGGTTTAAGTAACTGGTACAGAATGAATTATTTATATACTTTATCAAATATTCTTGTATAATTTAAAACACTTTTACAGTATAAAATAACTATATATATTTATATATATTTTATTCTTTCATAGTTGTGTTACACATGAAAGAGATAGATTTAATGTGGAAACTTTCTACTTTTAATACTATTTTCAGGATCTTGTTCTGTGGGTGACACTAGGTGTTCATCATATCCCACACAAGGAAGATCTGCCTCTTACAACTACAACGGGCCTCTCACATAGCTTCATATTACAACCTTATAACTACTTTCCAGAAGACCCAGCTATGGCCTCACCTAACGCCGTACGAATAGAGCCGAAGAATGCCGGAGTTTATATAGAACGATATGGAACTCCTGATGAATCAAAGAATACCTGCGTCCCCAGAAAGACAAACTTTGAAAACAATATCAAATCAAATGCTAAACTGATTTTCGAATAGCATTCGTAATCTTTATTTTTCAAATATATACAGATGTAGTTTATCTATATGTACATTTTAAATACTAATAATAAATACTTTCATATCAATATCAATATAAAACTACTACGTAACTAAAACATGTATTATCTGAGTAAAATAGCTACAGATGACTGTCCAAGGTAAGATTTTTTAAGATTGCACTTAAATTTACAGTCATATCTATGCCCAAATTGTTTGTTTTTCTCAAAAGAAATATGTTCAAACTTCTTCACATTTTAATTTGTAGTAAAATTTTAAACGGACGAAACAAATTCTGATTCATCACATAACTATAGTGTCATTGTTCCTTTAGCAGTTTCAGAATATTTTATTTCAAGCACTATCATATTTATCAAAGGACCAGAAAAATATACAATGGAAAAGTTGCAATATAAATATTTAAAGGGTTTTGTACAAATAAAGGACATCTTAAATAATTGGTTTCCAATATCTGGTTCAATAATATTTACTTGCCCTAAATGCGATTTCTGTTTCGTGCGCCAAAAAATGTACAATGTATGAACAGCAAACATGAGGAGTTACAAGACTATCAAAGCATTTCCTAGAATATTCACGGAAATAACCCTTATTATGACTTGTCAAATGTTACAGAACGTTGTTTATAAACGAAAGTGTTATCAAATTTTTTATACACCCCTTGAATAGCAAGACATACCAAACAAAGCTATGCCAAATGGAGGCGTTATTCAGCAGCATTTATTCTGGAAAAAATGTTATTGTTGTTGTTGGATTTTTCACCGCACAAACACAGTATAGATTATATGGCGAATTTCACTTTCCAGTACGTTGCAACATTTACAAACGTTTTCTGAAATAACTATGTTTATCGCAATACTAGTCAGGACTATATTTGCATATCTTCAGACAATATAGACAAAGAATTCAATTTCATTGGGTTATGCTTTCTTAATATTTTTTTCTGTTCTCTTGAGTATTTCAGGTTCATTTTGAATAGTAAATAAATGATATTCAGATTCTTGAGGTGTATAAGGAAAGGGTAAGGAATAGCTAAGAATAATAATGTGTCTGTAATATCAATTATTTAAAATATGTTTTTGTTTGTTTTTGTTTTGTTTAGTTTAAAGGCACATCCAACATAATTTAGGTCATATGGCATCGAAACAGTGAAGATGATTTTAGTTACCATCGAGTGTTACAAACTTTAAGTAACAACAGGGGTAAAGACCATTTCACATGCTGGTGCTAAGAGATGTTTAGACTCCAGTAGGCTCCTCGATCACGCAGGGTTTAAAAGTGGTCACAATTATTCTGATACCTCAACCCTTATACGCAATCCCTCGTCTTCAAGGGGGTTATAATACGTCTAAGAAGATAGAACGAAAATTAAAATAACTTTATTTACAAATTAAGTACGGTATTATTGCAGGTAACTGTCATTGTTTGAACTGTTGCAGGCATGAACGGTGGACTGGTTATGGTGTTTTCCTCCTAGGATCGAGCCCTTCTAGGATAATGATTATGTTTTTGCGTAAGTATTGCTAAGTTTAAGGAAATGGACCCGGGAAAGTTTTATATAAGCTACAGACTTTCTCTACAGCAGAACTTAAAACACATTTAATTATAATTTGATATTAAGTAAAATGACATTATGCTCATATTTCCTTTGGATGAATGAACAATAGATCTCAAAAAGTTGTCTTTTCTGACGGTGATTGACCAACAGTTGATATTGAATATGTTTAGGATAGAATATACATCTACCACCTAAAATATCAAAAGATTGCCGAATATAGAAATACAATTTCCTTTGGCCACATGAGGTATTTATCGTTCATGTAAATTATATTTACATAAATTATAAAAATGATGGAAAATCTGGCAAAAGTGTAAACTTATTTGGTCTTAAACCTATTACCTCACTATTTAACCTTGGATGTGCATAATGTCACTTATGTTTAAATATTCAACAAGTTAAATGTTGATGCTGCACATCAAAGAGGCCGCCAAATGATGTGAACAGTCACATGTAATCTTGAAAATCGTTCTCTATTACAGTTGAATATCCGAAGCACTAATAATTTTTTCTCCATGTTCTTGGTATGTGCTCGTTGATTAATAATTAAGTTGCATATGTTTGTGAAAAAGAAGTACCTAATGCATAAATGCACAAAGTAATGCCATGTCTGAAATCCTGAAATGTTTATCTGTTGCGACGAAAATTGAAAAGTCTAGTCGAAGCAAAATTAATTGGATAACAAGTAAAATTTAAATGATTGGTATACTTAAATTAAATTCAAGATAAAGACAGGGGTAAAGAAAAATACCTTCGTTGGGCCAAGAATATGTTCATTTAAATATTGATACGAATTGCATAATGTTCGAATAATTTTGAGGACGAACTGTTCTGTTATTTTACAAATAGCAAAAATATGTCTGTAATAACAAATAATAGTTTTGAATAAATTGTTAAATATAATAAATTAATCAATTTTTAGTTACGTATTGTTTTCTTATTTATTAAAGATTAAACTACTTGATTAAACACAAGCCTGGAATATAGGTATACAACCACTAAATGTAATAAAAAAATATAGGCAAAAGAGAACAATCGTCACAGAATCCTTCAAAATAACCTATAGTTAATATTTGTGATACATTTTAAATTAAACGTATTTTGTTTTCACTCAGTTACCCAGTTTTATATCTTAAATGTTATATATTTTCATGAATTAGCACACGTTTTGTCTGTTTTGCCCAAAAAATTTCCGTTTTGCCTGTATCGCCAAAAAAATCTCCGTTGCGCATTTTAGTCATACCCCTGTTCCCTGCCCGAATTTGGTTCCCGTTATTAGACTCTGAAACAGTTACTTTATGGTTGAGCTAAGCGTGCTTTCTTTACGGTTGAGAGAGAACCGCCTTTCTGATAGTGGGCGTGGTTTAGTCTTTGTAACTTGCATCCTAATGTTGTAGGGAAGTGGTATTGAGTTGTCCTCGTTCCCTGCGCCCCCCCCCCCCGTCAACGAAGGCTAAATGCTAGCATACAGAGCATCATATTACATTTTGCGACACGTTAAGGCGGAGCCGTACTACAATAGAGGCGGAGCAAATGAAGTGAGTGACACTGCCTCAGTCGTTACCTCTCTCAACCGTTAAGTATTAGAACGGTCGACTATAGACTGGCTCCTATTTCCTTTAAAACAACATCCACGGAAGTCAGTGTATGCTTAAGCGTCGCAGCATATGTGTGTATACCTCGAAATAAACGAATATCATATGACATTAGATATATGTCCCGGCACAGTGGTATTTTGTCTGAAAATTAAATAAATTTAGTGACAGCAGATGACAGACAGATAGACCTGATGTGGAAAGTACCTCACAAGAGCAACGATAACAAAGAAGAAAGGTGAAAGCCAGTCTTAATAAAATTAGAGAAGAGTAGTTATGTAATTCTCCCTCGCCCCTATCACCTGCAAACGCAGTATTTAATCTTCAATATCTTATTTTTATTATAAAACATAACCCTTTCCCCCACACACAGATATACAAATTTAATCAGACTGACTTTAACTAACTAACTTCATAAAGATAAAAAGAATAAACAAACTGGTTCATTTGTTCAATATTTGTTTCGAAGGAACTGATATGTTGAATTTCAATGGCATTGCAATTGTTTTCTTAAAAAAATGCTATCCATTCAATTAATTACGGATGGAATCAACTCTTCAAACCAACTTACATGCAGATATTTCCTTGACTTCCAGGTAGACAAGCCCATCATCCTGTTCTCCCTTCTACAAGGACAAACGGAACAACAGTTTCTAACATTATGAGTATCTTGATCATCTTGAAAAAGAATCTCGCTCGACTATGTCTCTAACAAACGTTACTCAGATATTGTCTCTCAAAAACTACTATAAAATTTTGGCAACTGTAAAAGTTTTAGACGAAATAAAACAAAATAACAATAATAATATTAAAATGAATCTCTTTTTCACTTCAAGGGAAGTGAATGATTTAGATTACAATACTGGTGATTCATTTTAATTCTAACTAGGTTTTCCAGTGGATAAACCTGTATTTTACAATGATATATACCACGGGCCCATGGGAATATTTACAACAGTTTGTGAATTTCTTTTGATAGAGTCGTATTCTTGGATAACTTATATGTTCGACTCATTGTATTGTACACACATTCTTTTATGTAAATTAAAAGAAAAACAGGAATACAGTTATGTGCGTTATCCTTCCACCTGCTTTACTAGATTATTTTTAAACAGACTTTTAAACATCGGATATTGTTGTAGTAACTTGATTTGATCATCTGGACACGTGTTTCACTAAGAAAAGATCAGATCGGGATCAAATGAATCTGATTTTATTTTCATTGTTTTATAGTACTAAAATTTATCGTGTTTTGCTAGAATTAATTGGTAAATATTCAAAATGTAAAAAAAAATTGCTGATTTGCAAAGAAACCAAACTAATTTGGGATAAAATCAACAGGTAACAAAACAAAAACAAAACTATTCGGATCAAAATAAGGATCAATTTAAGGATCAGGATCAATATTTGGATCAACAGTAAAATGCCCGTATCTTGCCAAAATAACAATGAATTTATTCTAAAAGTTCATTAACTTGCTATAATTGCAAGTCCAGTTTTATCAAATTAATATTTATAATTTAGTTATTTAATCTATGAGGATTAACTATGAAGAATATGAGAGTTTTAAATTTGATCCTGATTTTGATCCTGATCCTTAAATCTTTGTGAACACGGGGCCCTGGTGGTAACATGTCGTGTGTGATTTTTTTATTTAGTGTCCTGTAGCAAATTTCAGGGTTTTGTTATATGTTCGTGAAGTTGGCAGCTAAGCAGCCTGAAGTTGGCAGCCTAGCAGCCTGAAGTTGGCAGCCTAGTAGCCTGGCAGCCTAGCCGCCTAAAGAAAACTAAGAATATAACAACATGAAAACAATGTTTGTACTATCCTGCTAGGCTGCTAACTTCACAAATTTCGAAGCGTCAGAATGAAAAAAATATGTTAAGATAAAGTTCAACATCTTAAAAAATAAAGATCACGATATTGAAAAAAGGCGTGGAATGATCTAAAGAAGTGCTACTAATGAATTTCCGACTGTTTTCATGTTGTTCTATTCTTAGTTTTCTTAGTTTTCTTTAGGCTACTTGGCTGCTTGGCTGCCAACTTCAGGCTGCTAGGCTGCCAACATCACGAACATGTTTTATGTTCGTTATTTAATCCTTTTTGGCACTCAGAAAATGACAATGAAAAACATAATTTATGATAATTATTTATCACAATTCCTTATCACATTTTTTTCTTAAATGAGATGATTTAACTTTTATTGAAGATATAACTTTGAATACCCCCAAAAGTACAGAAATAATTATCGTTCTTTGAACACAAACGTAGTTCAAATAAAAAAAACTAATAACCAGAGCGGGTTTGTTAAACACAAATGTCCCCTGTTCAGATTCTTGTCAGTAATATTTTCAAAAATACCAATTCAAATTTACCCATTCACTCAGCTATGGACAGAAAAATGGTATCCCTTAAATTGTTTTTAAAAATGAATAAAAATTAAACAAATAATAATAATAATAATAATTATAATAATAATAATAATAATAAAATGTAAATAACATAGTCATGCCGTTTTGTAATTCTGAAAACATATAAGTTGGCAAGTCTTTGCTACGGCTTGTGATTAAGTTGAAAAATATCAACTTTATCAAATACAAATATATATGGAAGACTTTACCTTGAACTCAGTGACCCCAAACTCCACCCAAACCTTAAAGACCACTTCCTTGTAAAAATCAAACATTGGTAAAAAATACAAAGTTTGTATAAAAATGTTTAAACGAGAGCTGTCACTTAAAAGTGACTTATAATGTCCCCGAAATGAAGCTTTGACATAAAATTATCTTATATTTGTTATTGAATATGAGTCTGAACAAAATGAAGACCAGAAAAAAATAACATATGAACGGCAGCAGGGAAGTTCTGAAACGACATATACAGCTATGATTTTGACAATTATTATTACCTGTCTTTTTTCAGATGAAACATGGTTAAGTAACTGCATTTACTTGTTTGTTGTGTGGATCAAGTTTCACTTAACATTTCACAAGCGCTGACAAGCTTATTTTACTTGATAATTAACCATCAAGGGGCCATACCTTTGCATAAAAAAAAAAAAAAACAAAAATTCAAAAAAAAAAAAAAAAAAAAAAAAAATCAAGATACTATGCACAACTAGGCAAGGATACAAACGACAAACAATCCTGTGAAGTTTCACTTAAATCCCCAAGCGGTTTTGGAGATGTAGCGTGGAAAAGCTTATTTTACTAGAAAATTGACCATAATTGTGCTAAAAGAAAAAAAAGCGGAAAATAAAGACACTATGCACAACTAAGCATTGTAATTAACAAACCTGTGACGTTTCACTGAATTCCCCCAGCGGTTTTGGAGATGGAGCGCGGACAAGACTACCGGGCGGACGGACGGAAGGACAGAGGGACAGTGCGATTCCTATATACCTTCCTTCGGAGGAATGAGAAGTACGCGATACAATTGTCTATTTTGATTGTTCGAATAAATTTGAATAAATGCATGATCATGAATGTTCTGGTAAACTGTAATTTACAGTAAATATCTGGGAAAAAATGTCATACATCGGAAGCATTTAAATCAGCAAAATTACATGAAAATTGCAGACTCAGTTTGAATGAGTTTGTACATGAGGGATAATGAAAAAGTGCAACATCCCTCACGCCCCCTAGCACCGGCTTGAGCGGTAGTCAATTCTCAACACTTAAAGTGGCACGATGGACCAGAAAAAATATAAAAACACTGAAGTGAAGTACGGGGAATCCTTTTACGGCTGCTATGCAACACTTGACATTTGCTGTTCTGTTGTATAAATATCCGAAAAAAAAGTATGCCAGCCAAAACTATGAAAAAAGACGATAAGAATTATGCAGCTTACAGTGCGCGTGGCTGGAAAAATTGATAATGTACGGAAATATTTATGTTATCTAACAAATTAAAAAAAAAAACAAAAACAAAAAAAACAAAAAAACAAAAACACACACACACACACACACATTTGAAAAAAATAAATTAGTTCACTCTTCTTTTCTTTAAAGATTAAGTACACATGGTTGTGAAAATGTGGTTAAATTAGCATTATCTTGATTGTTGTTAACGCTTCTTTGCATCATATTATATTATTAAATGGCTTTATAATTATAAGACAGGGACATTTTAATGCGCCAACCATACCGTTTTTACATTTCAATCCACAAAGCGTTCTTTGGTTATCATTAAAATGCTTTCTCCATACTGTACCCTTGTGCCATCTTCTACATTTTATTTGATGTCCTTCAGACTCTTGACTCTTACCCACTGACCCCTTACTCAATCTAAACACTATGCAAGATATCTTCCTACCAAATAAGAAGACATCTGTACATAAATAAAGGCTATATGTACAAACGTTTAAAAATCTATTTTAAGCACTGGTGACCTTGACCCCACTGACCCCTAACTCAATGCAAGGATGGAAATTATCATCCTTTCAAATATGAAAAATATCAGTGAAAATATAAACTTTAAGGCTATTTTAGCAAATGCGTAGAAATCTTTAATTGGTGTTCTTGCCCTTATTCAATCGAAAGGAAGAATAGCATGCTAGTTACCTTTCAACAAAATATGAAAAACATCTGTCGATAAATAAAGGCTAAAAGGGCAAAAGTGAGAAAAAAAATCTGTTTTTTAGCATTAATGACCTTGACCCAACTGACCCCTTACTCAATCCAAAGAAAGAAGACCATGTTAGTTAGCACGTTATCTTACTACTAAATATAAAAAATACAACATCAGTCAAAAAGTAATTGCTATATAGGCAAACATGTAGAAATCTATTTTTGGCATCCGCGACCTTGACAAACTGAACCCCTACCTCAATCAAAGGAAGAGTATCATGTAAGTTATCTTTCTGCCAAATATGAAATACATCTGTCAATAAATAAAAGTTGTATGGGCAAAAGTGTAAAAAACTATTTAAGCACTGGTAACCTTGACCGAACTGACCCCTTACTCCATCCAAAGGAAGAGTAGCATGCAAAATATTTTCCTATCAAATAGGAAATACATCTGTCAATAAATAAAGGCTGTACGGGCAAAAGTATAAAAGTCTTTTTTTTAGCACTGTTGACCTTAACCCAACTGACCCCTAACTCCATCCAAAGAAAAAATATCAGACAGACAGGCAAGTTAGTTTCCTACCAGATTTGAAATACAATTGTCAATTAATAAGGGCTTTATGAGCAAAAGTGTAAAAATCTATTTTTAGCACTGGTGAACCATGACCCGCTGACCCCTACCTCAATCAGAAAAAGGAATACCATGCACGTTATTTTCATCCCCCGCCGAATTTTTGAGTTATTGCCCTTTGTTATTTTTCATACTTTTTGTCCGGTGCTTATCTCAAAAAGTATTTGAGGTATCAACTTGAAATTTCATAGGTTGATATATCATATTAAGGAGGAGTGCAGTGCACAAGAATGATAACGATACCCTGAATAACTTTTGAGTTATTGCCCTTTGTTATTTTTCAAACTTAAATTTTGTCCAGAGCATAACTCAAAAGCCTTTGAGGTATCAATATGAGACTTCATAGGTGGATAGATTTTACTCAGGAGGTGTGCAGTGCTTAAGAATGATAACTCTACCCTTCACAATTTTTGAGTAATTGCCTTTTGTTATTTGTCATACTTAATTTTTCACCTAAGTGGAGCATAACTCAAAAAGTCTTTGAGATGTCAACATGAAACGTCATAGGTAAATAGATCTTATTGAGTAGGAATGCTGTGCGCAAGAATGATAACTCTACCCTTTATAATTTTTAAGTAATTGCCCTTTGTTATTTTTCATACTTTTTTTCCGGAGCTAATCTAAATAAGTGTTAAAGGTATCAACTTGAAACTTGATAGGTGGATAGATCTCATTGAGGAGGAGTGCAGCACACAAGAAAGGTAACCTACCCTGCAATAGTTTTTTTTCAGTTATTGCCCTTTGTTATTTTCAGCCATCAGAATTCACATTGGTTTCAAATCTGTTATCACTTCGGCATCAGTTTTCATTACCAAAAGACCTCTTTAAATTGAATTATTCTGCTCTTCTACATATATATTTTTCCAATGAGCAAACACATTCGGTGGGGGATGGCAATGTTAACATGGCTCTTGTCCTACCAAATATAAAAGGCATCTTTACATAAATAAAGGTTGAATGGGCAAAAGTGTAAAAATATATTTTTAGCACTGGTGAACTTGACACAACTGACCACTAACTCCATCCAAAAGATAAGACCCCAATTTTATGTTCCTACCAAATATAAGAGACATCTGTCAATAGAATAAGGTTAATACACCTGTAAAAAAGTAGCATTCTATTTTTGACATAAGGGACCTTGACCCAAATGAACCAGAACTAAACCCAAAGAAAGAGGACCCCCTTATCAGTTTGTATTAAATATGAATGACATCAACTAAAAATAAAGGCTGTAAGAGCAAATATGACTTGTTTAAATTTGTTTTTTTACACCAGTGACCTTGACATTGACATTAGAGACCCTTACTCCATAAAATAATTAGAGGACCGTTTAAGGCATCCACCTACCAAATATGAAAGATATCATTAAATAAATAATTAGGAGATATTTAAGATAAATCCAACTTGCCGGAAAACCATATTTTCAAAGTGATAAAAGGGTGGGAAAATGGATGATACAGTTATATAACTTGGCAATATCTGATAAGTAAGTGTGGTAATAATGATAATAATGAAGCCATTAGTATAGATATTTATATACAACTTGCCGTTTAAGGTTAAACAAATATTCATTTTCTAAGTGCTGAAAAGGGCAATAACTTGGTAAAAATGATGAAGTCAAAGTTATGTAACTTGCCCAGATCATGTACTTTGTGTTGATAAGTAAGTGTGTAAAGTATAAAGCCATTAGTATAGGTAGACAGACCAACAGACGGTTCAATCACTTTATGCCGGGGGCATAAAAAGTTAGTTTTCAAAAATGAGTTCCGTGTCTGACTTAATTTTGTTTTCAAAGTTTGTTTTTCTAGGGACGCAAATGTTCTTCGGTTCATATGACATGCCATATCGTTCTATGTAAACTCCTGAATTCCTTGGCTCTATTCGTACAGCGTTTGGCGAGGCCATAGCTGGGTCTTCAGGAAAATAATTATACGGTTGTAATATGAAGCTTGGTGAGAGGCCCATTGTAGTTGTCAGAGGAAGATCTTCCTTGTGAGGTATGTGGTGAGCACCCAGTGTCACCCATAGGACAAGATCCTGAAATAAACAGTAGAAGAAATCAGAAAAAAATCCAGTGTTGAATATTAACTATAAAAAGTTCTATATACCGAGTTACAAAATAGTCGTGAAATCAATACTTTTAGTTTACAATCCTTGAATCTATTTTAAATCGATTGTGTTGGAAGTTATAAGCTTATTTAACCACTCTCGAATCCGTCTTTTGTAAACAGTACTATGCAATGAGTGTACAATTTATTCATGTAATAAAAGTAGTAAGTGATTTAGTATAAGCATCCTTTTATCTCTCTTTATGGACCAATTTATTTTTATCGTGAGCATTTGATTAGTGGGTATTATTTGACAAACCTCGTCCGTGATGTTTTCATCATCATCTATATATCCCTGGAAGTTGACAACCTGGTTATCTGTATCAAACATGGAGTACATGGAACTGCTATGAGCTTCTGTGTCTTTCCGTTTAGTTACAGCATGCTGGTACCTCGCCCAACTTATTGATGGTTCCTTATTATGACCTTCTGGAATAATTTGCTTGACCATACCATTATGGATGAGTCTGAAATCAAACGAAATGTTGAACGAAATGTTGTATGGTCTCAAAGATAAATCTATCTTGTATTAAATTATTTCTGTGATACTTTCGGTGTTGTTACCACCTCAGATGTCATCTCGGTAATTCTCTTCCAGTAAAGATGAGAAGTCGACATATGACCTAGAAAAAAGTGTCGATGTGACTTAACTCCACCCCACCTCTTCTCCCCCAAACAGTTTATTAACTCCGGACTATATATATAGCTATTCGCACTTGATCATATCTTTCTCAAATGAAAGAGGGTCTGGCGCAATTTGAACCGGAGCGATAAAGTGCGAATAGTTCGGAGTTAAAAAAACTATTCGACCACGACTGCCTATTGTATGTTTATATAATACTACGTTTTACTACATTTTCGTTCAGCTTATTTTTAATGTTTACTCCTATTCGATTAATACAATTCGGTATTGCACGTTACAGATAAGGCCACAGCGTAAATACAGTCGTGCCTATTTCTGAACTCGATGATTTAGGAATTGTGTCTAATTTTTTTTGGTCAAATTTAACTGAATCGACAATATATTTCCAAAGATTGACTGTAATGAAGGTGATTGATCAACGGCTGATATTGAAAAATGCATTGGATAAAAAAATCTGGCAAAACTTTCGGTAATGTAAAGGTTAATAAATAAGGTACACACATAAGCATATACATGGATTTCGGCTCAACAGCTCAAACATGTACTAAATTTATAAAAACAAATATGCTGAATGTTCCCGGGATTGTTTCCATTACTTATTTTAAAGACCAGGTTTGTTTCTTCTATGCGCACAATTCTTAATAAAATAAGATAAAATGTAAATAAAGAAACAATGTTTAAAAGTAGTAAACAATAGGACATATCCTTATCAAAGTTTCAAATAGATCTGTTTGTTTTGGTTTAGCCTCTTTAGAAAGGTTATCTAGCTAAATATTTGCTGTATGCAGTTTACAAAATGAATGTTTGAATTTTGAATAAAAAAGAAGATTATTGTGCATGCACGAAAGCACTAACTTCGTTCCCTGTATTTAAATATGTACACATGTTTCAGCTAGTTCAAATAAAATTAACAAGGAAAAGAACATAAAACATGACATATTGAACAGTAGACGCCAGCATACTAGTTTGTATTTAAACTCATCATTGTATAACCGTTCAGTTCTGTATATTCGTACGAGTGAGATAAGAGAAATCCACTCCCGTTGTATCCTCTTTATTACTATGTGGGTAGGCTAAATTAAATTCCATGATTTATTATAGGGCCTATTTTATATGGATCTACTTAACTTTAAAATATGTAAATAAGTTTTATCGGCAAAATATATACGATAAAAGGTTAGATGATATCAAAGCTTGAGTAAATCATCCTTATATCAGGCAAAACCCATATGGAAATATTTGCCCTTTAAACTTTCATAGATAAAACTATTTAATATCTGCACAAGCTAATCTGATAAACGACCAGGTAACTCAAGAAAATTTGTTACAATTCTCATTAAAACAGAACGGAAGTTGTATCTTTAATCTTTGTATGATTTTAGAACGACAAAATAACCAGTGGAATTGAAAATATTGAAGCGCTGGCCTTAGGTTTAAGTGAAATAAGTACAAAAATCAGTTAAGATAAATAAATGTAAAAACTAGATGTTTATATTACAGAGCTTTCAGGCTTTTGAATTGTCTATTTGACAACGACCGCTAATATAACAAGAATTTGTAACAGAGTTACCAACGTCCCCCGCCTCGGGGAAGTTTTCTATGAAGCATAAAACGGTGATATTTCAAAAAATTGAGGTATGGATCTCAGGATTTTTAGTCCAAAATTATGATCAATGCTAGATCTGCAAATGCAACAATAAATTTATTAAAGAAATAAAATGAAACACGAAATTTAAAAATCTATCATGTTTAGCTTTAACCTCTAAGTGTGACTTTGACATTGGAAGTAGGGGTGCAGGTGTTGTACATGACATATCGTCTTATTACAGTTACTTTTTGTGCCAAGTATTTTCAAAATCCCTTGAACTATGAAGAAGTTATAGATCGGACACAAAATATACCCTATAACAGACTATGTTAATCTTTGACCTCTAAGTGTGACCTTGGAGGTAGGGACCCATGTTTCGCGCCTGACATATCGTCTTATTATTGTGATTGTTTGTGCAAAGTATTTTTAAAATCCCTTGATATGAAAAAAGTATTGACTGGACACAAACTATACCCTATAGCAGACTATGTAAATCTTTGACCTCTAAGTGTGACCTAGACCTTGGAGGTAGAGGCACAGGTGTTATTGCATGACATATCATCTTATCATTGTGACTATTTGTGCCAAGTATATTCAAAATCCCTTGATCTATGAAGAAGTTATGTACGGGACACACAATATACCATATAACAGACTCTGTTAACCTTTGACCTCTTAGTGTGACCTTGACCTTGGAGGTAGGGGTGCAGATGTTGTACTTGACATATCCTCTTATTATTGTGACAATTTGTGCCATGCTATTTAAAAATCTCGAAGAAGTTCTAAATCGGACACAAAATGTAAACATACTATGTTAGTTTTGACCTCTAAGTGTGACCTTGAACTTGGAGGTAGGAATGCAGCTTTTGCGCATGACTCATCATCTTATTATAGTGACTATTTGTGCCAAGTATTTACAAAATCCTTTGATCTATGAAAAAATGTTATGGACCGGACACAAAATATACTCTGTAAGAGACTATGTTAATTTTTGACCTCCAAGTGTGAACTTGACCTTGAAGGTAGGTGACCGGTTGTTGTGCAAGACACATTGTCTCATTACTGTGAACAATTGTGGCAAGTATTTACAAAATCCCTTCAAAGATAAGAAAGTTATGAACCGGACACGACATATACCATCAAATAGATAATGTTGACCTTGAATAAGCAAGTTCGACCTTGACCCTGGTGGTAGGGGTCTGGTTGTTGCGCGTGACACATCGTCTTATTATAACAAACATTTGTGCCAAGTAATTTCAGATTCCTTTGATAAATGACAAAGTTATGGACCGGGCACGAAAGTGTGACGGACGGACAAACGGACGGACGGAGCCTATTTCTATATCCCCATTTTTTCTTCGAAACGGTGGGGGACAAAAATGTGTACAGACAATAAAGTTTAATGTTGTGACGCTTTACAAGCCATAAGACGAAATCTATATTATTTTGCAAATTTTACATTTATTTAATGCTTAAAGTCGAGTAAATGATATATAGGATAAAGGAAAATTTATATTCAATCATTTACAAGATTTAATATCAAATCGGTAAAAAAACATGGAAATCGAGAGTAAAGTCAATGTATTTTCAGTTAAGTCTACACATAAATCCTTTTTGGTTATACAATACATTTGTATATGAGATGCTCACGTCACACAAAAAATGGCAGAAGTGAAGGGGGCAGAGAAAATACTTACATTTTCCGGCAATTAAACATGGTATACAAAACATTCAAAACAAGTAACAATTCACACAATACAAACACTGGAACGATCAGTGGGCAGTTTAAACCGGTTTTAGGCCCGCCAAGCCTCACTATTAGCCCAAAAATGTTACCATATGACGAGACAGTGTAAATAAAATGAATCCCCGCCAAGTGAAATTCTAACAAAAGTCAAGGATACATTAGACGAAATAAATAAAATAACAAGAATAAAGATCAACAAGGCAAAGGCAACGTTCACAGGACGCCGCCCTCCCGACACACTCAAGCAGGGCACTCAGAAGGCACCAAACAAAAACCCGGAGCGTACACAAGGGCGAAAGGATTGGGACATGCAATGCGAAACAACATAAACAAAAACGGGCCCATAAGGGAATTTAAAGGGATAAGGGCTGTAAGGGTGAAAAGGTGGGAGAGGGGGGGGAAGAGAAAATACCTACCGTTAACGACAATCCACCAAGACAGACATCACAAAACATGTAAGCATCCAAAAACAAGTAACAATACAGACTAGAAAAACACGTGAAAGAACACAAAGGGATACCGCCGGTAGTTAAACCACTTGGGAGTTTAAACCGGTTTTATGCGCTCCAAACCTCACTCTTAGCCCCAATATGTTCCTGAATGACATGAAAGTGTAAATAAAATTAATCCCCGCAAAATGAAATTCTAACAATGGTCATTGTTACATTAGACGAAATAAATAAAATACTTACAAAATTATGTAAATATGTAGAAAAAGGTTCAGCCTAATAACCATTACCAAAGTACTCGATGCCTTAAATGAAGGTAGAGCAACAAGAAAATCACCTACAAGGGCCTGACGAAGCAAGTCAGAAGACGAACATTAAGTCAATTCAGTCCCAAAGGGCTTTAAGAACTGTCCATCATAGAGTCTCCCACTTGGTCCGTCATATGTAATCAAAAGAGGAAAGCGTAGCGTCCTATTGTAAAAGGGTTGAACACCAAGCATACGGTATGCCTTAAAATAATTGGGTCATAACCTCTTTAAATAAACCGTTTGATAATTTAAGTGAAGACGGCAGAAAAATTACTATGACCCATGATCCTACGAAGTTTGTAAACCACATCTCCATAGAAATCAGGTTTGCCAATACCTAGTCGTAAAAGAGTTTTTAAATTACAATAAAATTTTAAAACTAAGTCTGAATTACGATGGTAAAACTTTGTAAAATATTTACGCAATTTATGATAGCGATAACCTTGTTTAAGAAGTTTGTTAGTAATAAATAAAAAAATGCGTTCATTAAAATCATCAACACGACTGCACGCCCTAGCAAATCTAATTAATATGATGTAGCATGAGGTACATCTCCATCTAAATGTGGATAGTTAACAATATTAAAATCAAAATCATCTCTTTTATCGTAGATTTAAGTTACTATAGTATTGTTAATGATAGAAATGTTTAAATCTAAAAAAGATGTAATAACGTCTGAAGTGTCAGTTTTATTCAATTTTATTCAATTTAAGTTCACTGGGATATATTTTAGAAACCAATTGATCCAAATAAGGATTATTCATGCTAAAATTATCATATAGGTAGCGGGAAGTGTTGTTAAATGCATTTATAATATCCTGATGCGTAGTAGGGGAAAGACTTAACATAAAATCCCTCTCATACCAATAAAGAAATAAATCAGCTATCAGGGGGGCACAATTAGTTCCCATTGGAATGCCTATTATCTGTTTGAAAACTGTATTACCAAATCTGACATAAATGTTATCTAATAAAAAAGAAAGTGCTTTACAAACTTCGTCACAGGTCCACATTGTATATTGTTTAATGATACCATTGGTAAAGAAAGCCTTCTTTGAATTGCAAGCAAGAAACGTGACCTGTTCTCTTGCAAATGTTTTTTTGAATTAAAGATAATAATTTATCATTTATAAGATTATGTGGCAATGTTGTATATAAGGTAGAGAAATCGTAAGTTCTTACAGATGCAGCTTGATAATTCTTAACTTTAAACTTATCTAAAATTTCAGTTTATTATATCAAAATCACCAATAATTATATGGCCAAATCCAAGTTACAGAATTTAGAATTTTTACAGTCTCAACTAGTTGGTGTATTAGACTCAACTTCTAGGTCGGAGACAATTTTGTTATAATTGAATATGATTTTTCTGACAGGTGTTTCATATTTATAGCAAATAATTGGAATCTAAGAGTTTTTGAAATATTTAGGAATAGCGCCGGTAACGCGTTTATCTCGAAAAATACTAGGTAAATCGATTAAATCAATACCTTTGTTTAGAAAAGTAACTTTAAAGGGAGACACAGGCAAAATTTTCATTTTCTTAGTTTTGAATTTTTCATTCATTATTCTGTAAATTTCCTCAAAATGAATATATCAGACAGTCAAAGGGACAAAACTTTTCTCCATATAAAGAATAAAATGGTGGTTTCCTAACTTGACCCGCGTGGGTCAGGTTAGAGCGCTAGCATTTCACAATAGTTGTCAAAGTGAACTCTGGAAACGTTAATGAACATGTCAAATGAATGACTTAGGCTTGTTTCAATCATACAATATCCACAATATCTGTTATTGTAACTTCAAGGGTTTGTTCAAGTCACCTGACTTGTTTTAAAACTATTTGTTGATTATATTGGCGTCTAAATTTTGTTCAGCATATATAGATATATTTACGCTTAAAACACAAAATATATAGAATTTAAACAATAATTCAAGCTGAAACTCCATGAAAAGTCATTTAAGCGTGATTTGAGTACATAAGATCATTTCAATATTTTTGTCATTATTTTGCCTGAATATCCCTTTAAGAATGTGCCTGTCATGTTCAGCGGTGGTGTCGATATGAGGTCTTAAAATATGCTGTGTAAAACTTTGTATAAGGTAGGCTGCAGTATAAAAAGGGTCAGTTTGGATAACTATGTTATCAGCTTCTTCGTCTAAAGTTTTAAGATACCGAAGAGAAAGAGAAGTTAGACCTGATAACATAGCATGTTTACCCGAATTAGTCAAGATGTTATTTAAATCGGAAACAGACATAGTAATTTTTAATTTACGTTTAATGTTACCATTTTTACATATTCCATGAGATCGAGATTTCCGCTTCCGTATGTTACGACTAAAACAATGTCAATACTGGGATCTTTAGAAATATTACCATGTTGAAAGATATTGTCATTAAGGCCAGGTGGAAAAGGGGTTTGTAAATTTTTAAAGTGTCTGGCTTTCACTTTAAAACCAGACGATATATCAGAATCGTAAGCAATTTGTTCCACTGGTTGAATTATTTCATGTTTAAAAGAATGGCCAATTTTTCTAAAGTGTTGATATAAAAGAGTCGTAAATTTGCTACGATTTCTCATTTTATAGAAGTGTTCTCGGAATCTAATTTTAAGAGAGCGTCCTGTTTGCCCAACATACTGAGTGCCGCAACCGGGAACATTTCATGTTAATACATAAATAAAATTGAGTTGACTTTCAGTCTATATTCAGAGTTAAAAATTGTATTAAATGTTCTGCCATTAAACACATAAATGAACATGTCAATATGTACAACAAGGTACAGCCTAATGACCAAAACCAAAGTACTCGATGTTTTAAAGGAAGGCAGATCAACATGAAAATCACAAATAAGGGCCCGAGGACGAAAATTAAAACAAATCAGTTTGAAAGCTTAAATAACTGTCCATCATAGTGTCCTCCTGATCTGATCTTTGTCCTTGCACTTTTAGGTTTTCGTGTTGATTTGTTTGTTTGATATATCTTTGTTTACAATTGTTTCTGAAATGTAACTTTCTAAAAACAGAATTATGCCTAACATATAATTAAAGCAAACGCTTTAATTATGACCGAGAAAAAGCATTAAAAAATTATATCAAAATGATTATATACCTGTATGCTGGAGGATTCCCGTATGTATCTCTTGTCTTATTGTTATAGAATATGTGATATTTCGGTGTCTGAAAATTAAATTTATAAGCTGCATCTTTCTCTGTGAGCTTTAAAGATCTTTCAAGATATCCTTGGCTATATGTAGAGTTGATTTTTCTTGAAAATTCATTTGGTGTAGTCTCTGTTTTAATATCTATAGTTTCGTATCTATTGTTTTGACCTTTTACGTCCAAATCGGCTTTAAAATGAAACATGTGTGTATGAAAGCTGGCAACAATATTGTCATGTAACTGGAATCCATATTTTTTCTCCATCTCTGAGAAAGCGTTAGTCAATGCAAAACCTGTAGACATGCTCTTCACTTCGACGACGCCATTTTGATAAAACCGGAAATCGAGTATATAGTCATAATTTGCAACAGTAATGATTGTTCTTAGAACTAAGAACACATTCTCTATGCCTTCGTAGAATTTACCTTCGGATTCATAGTAAGAATGGTGCCTTCTTAGTGGTTCTCCTGTATTTAATTCAAATAAGCAGAAGACATTTTTTGTAACGTCAGCAGTTTCGGAAGTTTCTGTTATATGCTTCGTGTTATAATATGTAGCGTGATTTGGACAATCTACACCAGGAATGAGCCCCTGTGCAGATGGTCCTATAAGTTCCACGGAATCTAAGAAGTCAGAAAAACGTTGCTGGGGGCTGTATCCAGAATAAAATACTGATATTTCTTGGAGGCCTAATTCATAAATAATGCGTTCGTTTCCAAATTTAATGTCATATACCTGTGGTCCATAGGATGTGGATAAACGAAAATCAAATGACCACTGCATATAGTTCACATGTCTTCCTTTAACTGTATATCGCTGACCGTCAGGTTGTACAAAAACAGGGCTCCGTTTATTCTTTGCTGTTTCAGGTATATTCCCTCTCCTATGCAGAGTAGAGAAAAGGTTTTTGTCAACCGTAGGAAATGTCTGTGGAACACATTTCACACTTTTGTTTCTAAATAACGAAGAAAGGTCATTCATCGATTTGTACTGGTTACCCTTAAACCAAACGACTTCAATCTCGACACCGGTTTCCTTGATATTTGCCAAAACAGTAAAGTCAACAGTATGAAGTGTGTAATATTCGACAACATACGTAAGCCAATACCAGGTCTTTCTCTTTTGTTCACCGCTCGATGCAGGAGAGAAAGAAGATGCGTATAAAAACCCTATGCACTTGTTTTCGCAGTCTTTTAACTTGGCTCCATAACAGGTTTGTATTAGATCTCCAAGCTGTTCATGAACTTGGTCAGTTATTGATTTTGTAACTGAACCATAGTCAGCTTCTGTCATTGGTCTGTAAAAATAAGGCAAAGATGCATTGATTCCCGGTAGAGGCTTATGGTATGTGGCATTTGGTAGAGGTCCCACTACCAGCTCATTTATCTCTGTGTTAGGTTGTTTGCCACGAATAATGATGACCTTTGCCTCTCTTTCCGGCTGATTCTCTTTGTTATCTAGATGTGCTATAACTTTTGCCTTGTTAGGGAGATAAAGTTCAGCGACAAATACGTAATTTGCGTTGCTCTTATTTGCTGATGGGCGTACCAAATCTAGCCCTGATTTTTCATATAAATAGTTTTTAAGTCCTTTTATCTCATTGTTTGTAAGGTCATCGAAAACTCCCGGAACTTCAGCTTCGAGATCTTCTTTGAATATTTCGTCAATTGAACAAGGAACTGTTTCAAAATTCTCGTCACCTTCTCTCCGTAAAGTCACAAGTAGGCTTATAAGCAGCCCAGTGCATGTCAACCCAAGAATTACTAAAGTCACTATAAAAACACGAAATGCAGACGCACCTTTCGGACCAGAATCCATTACCTTTTAGTTTTGATATTGCAAAGCCAGTACATAAAGTGATATATATTAAAGTCATATATATGTCACAGTTATGTAACATCAAATTCAATGTAAACTATTGTTTTATACTGGGCGCGACTAAGTAAATCCGGAGGTATATATGAACAGATTTAGCCTTTACTGATATTTCGCTATTTGTGTTTATTTTATTATGGGTTGTAAATTTTTTGTATGTCTTATCTCGAAAGCTACATTGGTATTCATAAATTTAACCAACACACATGTTAAACAGTTTTACTCTTAAAGATCCTTTATGTTATGTAAATATTTACAAAAAAATATCAGAAATGTTTGATTTGATGGTAAATGCGATAATTTTACGAAGAAATTATCAAAAATAAAATGATTCGAAAGAATCTTCGACTCTGACTTTGTCTTTCTAAATATAACACAATGGTACGTCACCAGTGACACATGATCGGTCACGTTACCCACAAAACAAACATGGATGCCAAAGGTTTTTTTCCGACGATAAGTATGCGACTAATTACATTCTTACTGTCGGTATTGTTTTAAATTTATTTGAAAACTATCTATCTGTGAGTGACGTTGCAATTTTTGTATAAACAAAAGTTCACAAACTATTTCTTAATAAGGTAAAACGGGTTTATTAGAAGTGTATATCTTACAAAATAAGAAATGGAATTTAAAATGTCATGATGACAAAAGTTTTTGAAGTCATTAGGATGCGATACAACATAGATTTACGAGTTCGAGCCTTAAAAGCTTTCATCTCTTTACCTATTTTTTTCAATTTTTACAATAGATGCCAATCTATAACACATGGAATATGGCAAATGGAATATGAAGGTACATTTGATATAATATCTTATATTTTTCATAGACCGGTGATAATTATTTTTATCTTGTGTAGTATATAGTAGTCATAATACTTGAGCAGTGAACGAGCATTTCGTGACAACTGAACTATAGTTGAAACAATTTGTGTACTTGTATGCAGTATATTTCTAGATATGGCTACATTGAAACAAAAGAAAATAGTTAAATGGAAAGTTGAAAAGTTAGTAGAAAATAGCACAACAATAATAACCTTTACAAGAAAAAAAAAAACAACAACAAAATAACAAACAACAAAATAATAATTATTTGATTGTAAAATACGAAAAATATGTTTCACTGAAGTGAAAAATAATTTTTACAGTAAAACAAAACGGAAAATGAAGATATCAATAAATTTTCACTATTTAAATTGTAAGTATATAATCATTACAAACAAATATTTTTGCGAAAAGTACAATCCGAACCATATGAAATGTCTTCAAAATGTGAGGATTGAAGTGTCGAGGAGAAGAAGTGTCTTGTTCCCACAATTAAACAAGTACTATTTTAATTTATTTTAGTGATGTTAGATTTGTGGGAAGCATTTTAATATTTACTCAAAAATTTGTTTAAAATTCTCCGTCTCACAAATTCCACGAGGAGGAGAAAAAAGCCTACATTAGGGCCAACGGTGGTCACGCGCGTTAATAGCACAACCTATGCACATTGACATCAACTGATATTCAAAAAGTCACTAAAACATTCCTTCATTGTCATTTTTGAAAATCGCCCCTTATGTCTAGTGACCTCAACTTTGACCTGTATTTTTAAGGAACCCGTTATCGACACTGTTACAAACTCAAAGAGATCATAGCTTTCCAATAAATAACATTTACATACATACATTATAATTATTCTTCTTTCCAAGATGACGTTATAAACATCATACTCCAACATAAAGTTTTTTTTTGTTCAGTTAGTAACGAGAGATATTGTTATTTTTTGGAAACAGTCAGTGTGACATACGAACACGTGCTTAATCATGATATTAACTTATTTAAACACCAGAAACACAAGCCGTTAGAAATCAAATCTGAAGTAAAACTTTAAAACTGACCAGACAACCAATGGCATAAACTGGAGAAACGTCATAAGACGCGTCGTTTCAGTCCAATTCGAGAACGGAATATCGAAGGGTCCAAGACATACCAAATAATCACTCACACTAACATACTATCGTGGAATATAGGCGGATTAAATAAACTTAAGTGCTTCTCAGTTAATTTGACATTTTTGGCTTATGCGAAACTTATTATTACAGGGGGATAAGGTAACTTTATAAGTTCACATACTCATTTTGATCATGAAAGAACCATGTTACCAAATACCAAGGATAGCAGCGGGATGTAGGTGATAAAATATAAGCAATATTATTTATAAAAAGCATAGTTAATATCTTTTCAAAATTGTGTTGCTTTGTTGAATAACTTTTCAAAATTTTACCATAATGATTGTAATGTTAGCATCATGTTTAAACATGAATCTCAATAAATGTAATTCACTTTTAAATGTTATAAATTTAGAAGTACCATGTAAAAATAATTTTGTATTTTCGTTGTTCCAACCATAAGTTAGGCATAGACATAGGCAGACAAGAATATACCAAAAGATTGTATACAATTTGTCAAGATAAAACATATATATTGTGACTTCCACGCTCTCTTTATAATGTAAGAACGCGATAACTATTTATTCAATTTATATTTTGGTGGAGAAACTACATGATTTTTATGTAGAAATAAGTAAACGTAATTTAATCACATGAAGGAATCGAAGCTTGTGTTTTATGTGTATGTTTAATGGAACGTATCAACGAAAATGTATATCATAATGAAGATTATTTGCATATTTACCTAAATATCGGGAAAATTATATACATATGTAAATGGACGAATGAAAACAGGTATAATAAAGTAAAAAAGTATTATTGATAAGAGACATTGCAGTGAAGCTTATCTCTTGCCCGAAGCTGTATTAAAATACATTCTTAAGACTTAATTGTCATTTAGATAACAGTATCAACAAATGAATATAGAAAATAGAAATGATTTTTGCGCGGATTTTTGACATTGAATAATTTTTGTTTAATATTTCCAAACGTATTGACTAAAAGCATCATGTGACCCTTTTAAGCAAAATTAATGCGCATGCGCGGCGTTTATTTTTTTATTATAGTTTGAATGACATAGTGTTATTTGTTATAGGTTTGATATATGATTTACGTAGTGATAAGTCGAACACGATAACGTTTACATTAATCAGTCGTAACATCATGACATAATGAGTTGTTCAAGTTCTTCAATTATTACGTTTTGCATTATTATTGTAATGTAGAAGAATTAAAGTGGATATAGACAAGTAAATGCGAGTAGCGTAAGGGTCAGAAAGTTCATGAAGATCTCGGGTTATGAACATGGATTTTCGGGTTCGAATCTCTTATTGTCACGTAACTTTTCATTTTCTCTTTTATAATGTTTGGCACAATTTAAAGTTAAGCTTATGATGGTTCAGCAAAGTTGAATTATTTGATTTTAGAAACAGTATTATCAGTTTTATTCTGTTTTAAACTCTGAATTCAATTCGCCACAGTTTTAATAATTTTGGCTCATTATACTGTATATGCATTTTCTTCCATTGCTTATTTATTACCCTAATCACGATCACTGTGTCGTCTTATACTTAACCTGTTGATCGCGAATATGTATATAACTAAATGTTCTCAAATAGCATTGTGTGAATGAAATTCACGGGGAACTAAATCAAGTTCGTTGTAAAACAACCCTAAAAACAAACAATAAAAGGACAAAATGCCTTTTTCATGATTCGAACCAGGGTTTCTACACTCACAAAGCGGACACTATACCAAAACGCCATTATGCTTAACACATAGAAAATTGTTGATTGATTTGGAGGTTAAAGATTTAGGCGATAAATAGTATGCTTTTATATCAAAATTATCGACCCCCTTGTTTGTCAAGATGTTAATACAAATAATAATAATAATAATAATAATAATTACTACATTTTTATAGCGCTCTCCTCAAAAATAAAATGTTCAAAGGCGCTTTACAATGGAAATATATACATTTACAATGACTTTAAAAAACAAACAAAACAAAAAATAATAATAATAATTACACACATATATGTATACATTTATAAAATATAAAATACCCCATGATTAATCTAAAAGTCTAAAACTCAGTCGATCATACGAAAAAATAAAAATATGTACATAAAAAATAACTTAAGACTTGAAAATAAAATATAGAGAAAGGTTAAAACTATTGAAATTTAAAAAATACAAATCAAGACAACAGTAAACAGATAATGAAAGGAATAGCGAATTCGGGATGTACGTAAAGTAGTGTGATCTTGACGCTCACGAGTATTATAACAACTGGGATTAGAAGACGGCGAAAAAGGAAAAAAAAGGAAAAGTCAGATTATTTATATTAGACGTGTATTGTAACAAAGATATTGGGGAGATAGTATCTATGAAGGGTGCTTTGTTTATTTGAGTAAATATTTAATTAAAAATATAGATAATCATCGATGACAGAAAAGGAATTTTAGTACTCACTACGTTTTTACTTTAGCGAATTTATAACGTTATCACAATATCTAATTTTAAACATGTATATTGATTTTTGTTTGGTTTTTACGGCGCATCAACATAATTTGGGTACGTCATATTGCGCCGAACAGGACAGATGATTTTGGCTATTTTCGTGTGTTACAAACATAAGGCAACGTCAGGGGACAAAACCACCTCAAATGCTGTAGCTATCAGATGCATAGAATCCATTTATTCCAATCCATTTAGCCGCCTTTTAGATAACGCTAGGATAAATGGTGGCTGAGATCCTGATGTCTCAACTCCCGACAATCCTTCAGCTTATAATATGATTTAGAATTTAGGGCGTAACAGTTAAAATAATTATATTTACAAATTAAATACGGTATTAATTCAGGTCTTGTCCGAACTGTTGCAGTAATTAGCGGTTGCCTGGTTGTTATGGTGTCTTCCACTTGATCAAGGCATCGCAGGTTCGAGCCCTGCTGGTATCATGCTCATTATCTTAAATGTTGTTTAGTAAGAAATAAACTCGGGAGAGTTTCATATAAGCTAAAGACGTTCTCTTCTGAAACAGCAGAACTTGTAACGCACTGTAAATTTGATAATTTAAGTGACATTATAATCATATATCCTTAGGCAAGTTGAGCTGAATTACAAATATATTTCAAAAGATTGACTGTTATGATTGTGGTTGACCAACAGTTGATATTGAAAAATGGTAATTATAGAATATAAAT